GTGTGGGACAAAAAAAAAAAAAACGTAATATCACAAGTTCAAATAAAATGGGAGTAAATTGATTGAAGTGTCTCATTGTCGAAAACTCATTCAAATAATTGGCCTTAATTATTTAGTTAAAATCTAACAATTATTAGTTATATTCAATGGCAGGTTGCATTAACTGTGCGGAAAAAAAACAACCTCAAAATGAAGTCTATTTTTCTATAACACAATAGGGAAATGTAAAATGAACCCACAACAGGCAACCACAGGAGGCGCCACTGAGTATTTGGTTCCTCTCGGGCTTGAACCCAAGCCTTACACACGAATAGGGCGAAGAAACTTTTGACTGAAAGTAGTGTTGTTTAAGAACGGCTTAACGGGATCATTACTGGATTAAAAGATTACCTCGGAATACAGTTTCTTCCGCAACCCGACCGTTATTACCACCAAGTGTAAATATCAGCTTGGTAGCGCAGGTAGACTTTGTCCCCCCCCCCCAAAACCGCTTGTTTATTAATAAGGATCATTATCAGCTCATACAAAACATAAGAATAACTTTCATTATCTATGTCCTTGTATTTATGAATTGTAGAATATATGATAGAAATAAAAACTGCTTGTATTTTTAGTATGTATTTACTTTATAAAAAGACGAATAATATGTGATGACATTCCTGCAAAAATTGAATAAATATGAATTCGTTTTTTCCGAGTTGTGTACAGTAAACTTTCAATATGCTTAATTAAAACTAAATCCTGTGGTTAATCCGGCAGTGTCATTCAAATGTCACGGTAAAGGCTCTGCTCTAATTGTCATATAGCATGGTGTTGTAGTGCATACAAGGTAGTAAGGGTGTGTGTGTGTGTGCATGTGTGTGTGTGTGTGTGTGTGTGTGTAGGCATGATTTGGGAGGTGGCAGGCAGTATGGGTTGCCTAATTGGAAACAGACTGTAAGCTACAGATACGTAGATGTCCATGTTTGTATTTATTTATTTTTCCCCGATTGTAAAAGCTTCAAACAACAACAATAGAAATTGAAGACACAGGTGCTGTTTAAATTTAAATTCAGATTTAGATTTTGTTATTAATTTTGAGGTCGACCACTGATCAGATGGCCAGAATTTATATTTCTATCTTCATTTTTTTTTTTCTGTATTTTGACATTGCATTTTCTGACATCGTCCTACGTTGATTAGCATAGTGGTTTCCAAGCTTTTTCTACTGTGTACCACCTGAGAAAGTACCACCATGATGACCAACATTAGCATATAGCAGCATAGGCCTTCCCTATTAGCTTCCACCACAGGAGAGATGTTTATGTTTAAATGTTGTATTAATTGTGCATGGTATGTTTCTGATTAATTCAACTGAAAATATAAATGTGAAAATATGAATTTTCCCCCCACGTACCACTAGAGAGCGCGAGCCACAGTTTGAGAACCACAGTATTAGTACATAGATCACCACCCTTTGTGAAACTGAGAGCTACGTGAAGGGCACTGAGTAATACGACGAGCTATTTCTTTGATACACACTTTCCCAAATAATTGTAATAATGATTTAAAAATAATAATAATAATAATAATAATGCAGCTGCCCCTGTGAAGTCCTGGGCCATACAGTAGCAGACACTCTTCCGACCTTCTTAATTGCACCCCCTGGAATATCACTGCGAGTGCAGCTGATTAAAAAGGAGCAGCAACGCAATTAATCACAGCAGTTTGACACTCATGGTGACTAGTTTTATTTTAAGAACATATTCCATGTGTACCTGAGGTAGTCCATGAGGGCTACGAGACACCTCTGGGCACCACGTTGGTGACCCCTGCAGAGAGATAGTAAGTAAAGTAAAGTAAAGGTCAGAAAATGGCTTATATTCACAATTATGATACATGATTTATAAATTATACTCACCTTATAGACCATGGGATGCATTTAAAGATTGAATTGCGTCAACTGCATCTACTGCACCGCCACAGCTGAACCAGCCTCCTAATCGTAGCCTGGACACTATCAACCTACTGCACCGCCACAGCTGACCCAGCCTCCTAATCGTAGCCTGGACACTCATTAACCCAACAATGCTTTGCAAGGTAAAGGGTTAAAGAGGGTAAAGAACACATTTGACTTTGGAGTACTTTGTACGTTCTCATCCTCTCAGTTATATGTCATTTAATATAGACTCCTAGTGATTATTATGCACTCGACCAACGATCATCGCATAAATCACAACATAATGAACCTTAGTATCCCTCAAAGAGTATGGTAACAATTTGAGGACTTTTAACCCATTAAGCAGCCAGTGTACCCATTAGTGCGAGTCTAGTTTAATATGTCATGCAAATTGAACCCTAATAGCATGCAATGAATATTAATATTGCAGGGAGGTATTTGGAAAATGTGTTCATTAAATAAATATCAATGGTATTTGGTACTATACAACTCTAGCTTGGATCAGTACTTCCTGGATTGTGGAAATAAAAACACCCGTGTCTCAACAACCAAGTTGCTATTTGTTAGAGTGGCAACAATTAGGGATATATATTTCTTCTAAATAATTATGAGCTCGAGGCAACTGAGGTATTTACTGATAGTTTGTAGTTATTGAGCAGTGTATTTTTGCTTACGTATATATATATATTTTTTTCTTAGCTTTTGTTGGGTCAAAGAAACAAAAAGCATCTAGAGACGTCTGATTGCTGTTATATGGAAAACATGCCAGTGCTCAAACAGCAGGCAGTGATGAGTGAGTGCTTCAAGATGGGTAATAAATATTAAAGCTTTAAGATTAAAAGTATCTTAAGTGTAGGCTTAATGGATGTGTGCACGTGGAGCAGCGTTTACCAACCTTTTTGAGGCATGGCACATACTTTATACACGAAAATTCAATGGCAAAAATGTCACTAAAAGTATGTGTATGAAACATAATTTAATATAATGATCTTCTATTTTTGCTTTACTGACTCAATGAGAAACCTGGGCATTTTTAGATGAACACAATCTTGTCATAGTGCCAGGAATTGAAGAAAGAAAACAAATATATAATATAATTTCTTCGACACTTCTCACTCTTGCTATTTTAGTTTTTATAGCCATCTGCTGCCACCTAGTTGTAGAGCATTCAAATCTTTCTGCCTGTCACCTGCCTGTTGCATTGACAATGAAAGACTAGTTATTTTCATTAAATAAATAACAATTTTCAGACCAAATAAGCAAGATCAAATTTCCGAAGTACTCCTGATAATATCTCACACTAACGTACCACAGCACAATAGTTGGCGGGCATTGACACAGATAGGTCAAAATATTGATTTCAAAATCCTGACATACTTGACATACTTGATATGCTATGGTTTCGACCAGTGATATACAAAGTGCCCTTGTAAAGTGCACCATCATCCAAAGCTGAGGCAGATGCAAACAGTTTGTTCTTCTCCTTATGTAACAGAGAGTAATGAGGTGACAAGGACACGCATAATGACCAAGGAACATTTCGGAGGGACAAGTGAAACTGAGTAATTCGGAGGCAAGGTTAAGGAGGCAGGACTGGGATGGTTTGAACCTGAACCTGAGGGACAAAGTACATGCACTGAAGTTTAGAAAATGGAGGTGAAGGAGGAGGAGGAGGAGGAAGACTGGACACAACAGTAACTAAGGAAAAGGGCACAAATCTGCATAACAGAACTCTTTTGCTTTCTATATCAGTAACTAAGGAAAAGGGCACAAATCTGATTTCATTATATTTTAAAAAAATGTTGAAGGATGTCGTTGTCATTACCTCACACTCCAGATGCTATTTTAGAGGCCAGACAATGCCTCTCTGACTTTTTCACTCTGACAGTCAGAAAACATGCCTTTTTAAAAACGCACCTGTATCAGTCTTGACCTTTAATTAAAGAGGAGAACATGTGAGGTTTTTTCTTGGAAGTGTCATCTTATTGGACAAAGATGACAGACCCAAACAACAACACTTAAAAAAAAAAAAAAAAATCCCTGGCTATGTACCCAGAGAAAGGTATTCCCGAGATATCAAGCAGGAGACGTGTCGTTCTCTGAAGCAGCTTTATTAGTCATGGCTGTCTCTCTATGATCAGTATGAACAGCTGTGATATAAAGTTTGATATTAAAGTGACTTATAAGTTTTAGATGGTTGTGCAGTCTGCTATCTTTTTTTTATAAACCCTCCCCAAACACTCTTATTCCAAACATACTGTTATGTAATGTGACACATGTTCATAGCAACTCTATATATTGACATTGAGATCTCAATGTCTATTGATTTTTATTACAGTCGTGGTTACATTGAAACTGTCTGTCAAGGACGACAATGGGCCACCGGGGAGTACAGGAAGTGGGTTTTACCAGTTTACATAACACCTGCTGCTGCTGACACAGAATGCAAAATAACTCAGTTGACTTTGTGTGTCAAGTTCACTATCAAGTACATTTTTTTTTAAATCCCAGTGAAATATTTTAAACTTTAACTGAACTTTAAAATCCAATAAAACAGACTAACCAAATAGGAAGTATATTTCTCAACCACTCATTGCTACAGGCATTTAAAAGGCAGCCATACAGGAAAAGGCTGATCATTATTGCTGATTAATTAATTAATTTAAAAGGGAAATGAAACATTTTGGTGAAAAAATAAGAAAATCAAAAATGAATTTTGAACTTTTTTTCAAAATAAACGTTTCCTTTATCTAATTACTAAATGTATGAAAATTAGAATAAATAATAACAAGATGCTAAGAATGTATTTGTTCTGAGAATATATAAATTTAAATTTGGAATATGAGTATTATAATAATTTAATTAAACTTAACTTAACTTTTTCTTTAGTTTTTTTATTCTGATTTAGATGAATTATTTCTGAATTGTTGCACCTCCCTCAGAGAAAACAAACAAAACACTGCCCCGCTTGAAAAATAAAAAAAATGAAAAGGGATAAATTAATTGTACTTTTGGCGACTTTAAACTTTAACTAAAACGGGTTTAAATACTGTAGTTTTTCCTTCTTTGCTTCGTTCATTTCTCCATTTCTTCCGTAGTAGTGACGTAATCACGCACATAGCGCATGCGCCGTCTAAACGTGGTGCTTTTGTTTCGGTTTGTTTTCATGGTGGACGTTGAATGGCAAAGAACAACAAGAGTTGTGAGTGAGGCTCTTTTGTACAATAATTGGGAATTATCAGTTTGTGCCGAACAAGACAAAAGTCCAGTCTTTTACACTGATGCGGACATTGTGTTAATATTGCTTGTAGCATAGCTAGCAGCAGCTACCTGGCTAACGTAATCCACAGTTTCTGTGTTTATGGGTTTTTTTTTACAAAAAGAGAGAGCATAACATTAAATACGTCTTTGGACGAAGGATTTTAGTTTATAACGAGTTACACTTACTGCGTTTTACTTGCTATGCTGTCTTGTGTTTCAGCTTTGCTGACGTTGTTTCACTAAGCATTAAAATCACAATCAAGACACCATTAAGTACTTTTTGTAAAATAAGTGTGACATTAATTTGACAACGTTGGTTTTAAATGACGCATAAGGTAAATAGGACGATCACCCAAATACAAATTATATTTAGATTTTTGCTGAACAATTCTCCATCAGTTAGTAATAAAATTTTAATTAAAAGGAGACGAAGTTAGAATTAGGTGTACAATGTGCAGCCTTAAAATTAGGGGTGTGTTTTATTTACAAATATTAAATATATGAGTATATTATTATATTCAAGGTGGCTTCTAAAAGGAAAGCACTGCTGTCTTACAAAGTTTACTAGATTTAAAAGTTTTATTTCTTAAAGACAAAAAATAAAAAATTAATACGCTCTCCACCCACCACCAATTAAAATATTGAACCATGATATATAAAAATTAATACGCTGTCCACCCACCACCAATTAAAATATTGAAGTTTCAAACAGGCAAAGTCTGTGTGTAGTATGTTTGTTTCAAAGCGTATCTTCAACAATAATAATCAGTGTTTACATTTCCAAATGCCAGACATGTCTTTTTAAAAAAGAAAAAAAAACTGTAAAAGACTGGAGTATGAGCTAAACCTAAGGAAATCACTAAATAATGCTAGGAATTATCCTAATAATAATTTTCCCATTTGTTTCCCCATAGAATTAACAACATGCCTTCTTTGGAGCCCATCGTCAGGTCGAGAAAGGTGGAGAAAGACGTGAACGGAGTTTCAACAGAGGTCGTCTGTACGGAGTTTAGTAATTATATTTTCATAGTCGTGACTCAGTATGGAAAAATCGGGACTTTGATATCTATTAAACCGGACTCTACCACCAGTGATATGAGCATTCCCACGTTCTCCACCAAAGTTCTGCTGGGCAACAATGAGGTACCTTTAATGTGTCAAGTATATATGTAACGTGGGTTTGTTCAGTAGACATCAGTATTAGTCAGCATAGGCTGACTCATTTTGTGGTGTTGAAGGGCAGATGCAGAGGTGTGATAGGGTTGTCGTCTGCTGCCTGTCAGTTGACTGAAAATACATCTACATTTGTAAAGACATTATTTATACAAAAGCCGCTTCCTGTGATGTAATTTCTATACTGGTCGCGCAATAGAGAGTAACTTTTCCTGTTAAAGAGCACAAACTGCACTCAGTCACAGGAGCTCTCTTTAGATCAACAGCTATCAAACTAAAGTGGTTAGTAACTGGAATGAGGTTCTAAATGAAAATGGGTTCCTGTTCACCCAACCTTCTGACAAATAAAAGCTTGTGCAATAGACCTGTTTAATCTCTGTCTATCCACTGAGTGGTTAAACTCAAGCACGGACATTAAACTAACTTTACTTGTCCGAACCTCCGCTGTAAAACTGACCAAGAGGAGAATGCTAACGTAGCTTGACACAAACAGCTGTGGTAACACCATGTCGGAAATAAAACATTAAACAACTAAACAACTTTGCAGTGGCTCCTCTTAACCTTTAACCTTATTGTTACATATATTATGAATTACGAACTTGGATCTTTCTAGCCTCACTGTAACGTACTTCCAAGCTAAGGGCACGTTAGCTTCACCTTGTGCGTGTGAGCTCCTCCCCGGTGACTAGTTAGTCAGCGCGCTAGGTCAATAATGCGTAAAATCGTACAGTTCCGATAATTAGCCAGTTGATTAGTATATCGCAAATTGCTTACAATGTACATATTCTGCGACTAGGGGCTCAGAACTATGGCTCAGTTGTCAACTGTCAAAATGATCATTGTTGAGGCTCTACTCAAGATACCAAATACAGTTTCCACATTGACAGAGATGTGAATAGCACTTTTTTTCTATGGAATCATATCATGTTGATAAAGAAACCTCAGTGCCAATAACTTGTTTGTTTGTTCCATCTGATATTTATATTCTTTATCACCTTGCAGTATTCCTGTCACCTATAATCAAACGCATGTTTCGTGTTTTGTTTTTTTTACTTTTAGCCACTGACACATGTCTGTGCCAAAAACCTGGCAGCCTTTGTGTCACAGGAAGCTGGCAACAGGCCGGTGTTACTGGGACTGGCTCTCAAGGATTCTTCTGTCGATTCCATACAACAAATGAAGGAGATGATTAAAAGCTCTCAAGTCTGGTAGAAGATCAACGAGCAAGTCGTCTGCGTGCTCCCGAATTCACAAGGCTGGTGTTTAAACGTTAAGAACTTTGATCTCTCTCTGAAACAAAAGCGACAAGAGCGAGTGCTTGAAGATGAGAATATATAAAGCAGTTATGTTTCCCTGTAATCCCTTTTGATCTGTTAAAAAAAAGAATGGATTTTTTTTTTTTTAGAAAAGTCATGTTTATTTGTTTTTCTCTTAATTTGTCCTTTCTAATATGTTTCAGAGAATGAGGATTAGGATTGATTCAGTTATGATTCGGGAAGCACTCGATACATCGTGGGTTTTCAGGAAATATCTTTCATTTTTGACTTGTTTTTTGTATTATGCAGGTCTTAAAGTGCTTCAGAGAATAAAGTGAACTTTTGTCAGTAGTCCTCTAGCTGTCTTTGGACAGATGTCGCTGTCATTTATGTCATTGGAAGATCGTTAGGCGTAGCATTGGATAAACATTTTTATCATTCATTGCCATCAAACTAGAGAATCAGGTCTGGACCTTTCTAATTGGGAGTTATAAGAAAACAGAGCATCAATTAAATAACATTATATTTCACCATGCAAATAAAAAGAATAATATTAAATCATAAAATTAATTATTTGTTTGTACAAGTGGTTCCTGATAGATCAACAAAAAGGGTGTAACCTGCTGTAGTCTGTTGACTGTGATACCATTATTTTTTCACTATGTTACATACTTTGGCGTTGATCTAGCTTTTCCTGTCCTAAACATAGCATTATTTTTTCACTATGTTACATACTTATGGTTTCAAACATGTAATATATCTGCTGTTCCTCATATTTTTTGCGTAACTGAACATGGATCTGTGGGTGGAGGTGGTTGCCTTCCAACCACATGCTGGTAGAAATAAATAAAACTGCCAAATCTCATTTGCACATTATGATCTATGTGGTACGCAACGTTGGAACGGGATTAAGTGATGGAGAATAGATGGAGGACTATACTTCTACTACAGAAGGAAAAAGAAGAATTCAAACCACGGTCAACTGAACTAAATTGTTAATAATATATGTTTTTATTCATTTAATATTGTATCCATGGAAGTGGGTTTTAACAATAATGTTTTCGTTTTTTTCGTATTTTTTACACTTACATGTGTCAGTTCAGCACACACACATTTCAATATTAGCATATATAACCTAGGTAAAAAAGTATTTTTAATTGGATATTTAATTTATTTAGGGGAAAAGGCTGTCAAAACCAAATTAACAAGTTAAAGAGTAATTGCACCCCACGGTAAATCAAAAATAAAATGATTAACCACGTTTTTGAAAGCTGAGTCCAGTTTCAGCTCCTCCCAGGCCCATTTACCGCCAAACCTGTAGAACCAAGAAATGACTTCATAAAACTTGTCTGACAACATAAAGAAGGCTAAAAAAAAAACCCAAAACAACAACAACAACAACACATCATATCCATTAGAGACAGAAACAAAGTCATTGACATCTATCCGGAAAAACAATGTTAAGGCTTTGGGACGCAGTGGGACCATAGTTAGAGCAATAATCCACTAATGGAGAAAACATTGAACAGCTGTAATCCTTACCGCGAGAGTACGGTCTGCCCAAATCACTCCAAGAGGGCATCAAAGGTTCATCGAGGAGGCCACAAGAGAACTTAGAACAACATATAACGCAAAGTCAGTGGTAATGATTCAACAAAAAGAAAAAGCCCGGGCCAAAAATTGCCTCCATGGGAGAGCTCCAAGGTGAAGAGCACTGCTGACCAAAAAAAAAAAAAAAAAAACAACCTACTGTTTCACATTTACCAAAAAACATTCTATTGACTGATTCTTACGGCAGTCAACCATAATGATGATGTGATAGTGAGACTGCTTTCCTCCTTCAGGAGGTGGTTTCTGATGCGTGTAAAACTAATTATAAAAAATTGACTGTTCCAAAGTCCTTAATATAATGTGGTGGTCAGTCAAAATAAGTGATTTAAACAGTACAACAAATACAGATATTACAAATGACCTCACATTCAAATGTAACAGAATGCCACATGTTATTATTTGCATATACCCATATCTAATTGCATGGCTCCATAAAAGATAATATGTAATTCTTAGTAGTTCAAATAAGAAAACGGATTATAAATAATTTAGTATTACATATAAAAGACTATATATATGTATGTATATATATAATAACAGGAATATCCATATTGGGCTTTTATATTCTTGAGGGGTAAACCTAGAACCCACTTCGACGTAATGACGTTGACGTCGCGGTGATGTCATGTGACGTTGTCACCTGTGCCAAACCTGTTTATCTGGCTCATTGTAGTCAGTGGCAGAACACAAATCCTGCTCGTTGACGCGGATATTTGATTTATTTTTAGCTGCTTCGTTTGGCTGGCACTTTAACTGAATTGTATTAAGTTTTAACTACTTTAATTTTACGTTTTCAGGCTCTATAACAATAAAGTTGTACTTTGCCGGCGTATGTGTGTGGACTTCGACCTGAGCGAAGAGACACCTGTTATCAACAACACGGAAGTCCAGTGGAACTGGACCTGCGGTCGATGAAGACGACCTAATGGCTGCGCTTCTTCCTCGCTTCATCTGAAGGACAATTTATTCCTCAGCAATTCCTGTGTTTAACGTTGGCATTGCGACAAATCTGGATTTGTTTGCTCTTAGAGTAGTTTAACAGACATCGAGAATCGACCCTTCCGGTGACATGGTAAGTTGTGTTGTTGACAGTAAACACAGCGCTAACAACGTTTACATTTAGAATTAGTGTCTCCGCGTGACTGTTCTAATCTGACGTTTCCTTGTTTAAAGACACCTTATTACAAACACGTATTCAAAAGTATTAAAATACTTTTGCGAAATGGTGATAAACCTTGGGATGACTTTGTAGTGTGACTAAATATTTGAAGATTTTATTTTTAAAAATAAATTTTAACGTCAAAATTATGATAATGTATTCACCGTATACAGTAAGTTCAGGAAATTATATATCTACATCTATATATGTATACAGTATATATATAATATCAAATGTATATGTATATGTATATATATATATATACACATATCCGTTAGGGCCTAATTTTTTTCTCCATTACCTAAATAATCACAGGTTGGACTGTAGGTGGACGTTAGGGCCTAATTTTTATCTCCATTACCTGAATAATCACAGGTTGGACTGTAGGTGGATTTCTGCTTCGGTTTCACCTATAAAACGTACTATGATATCTTTCTTTTGTCTGCTTTTCAGATGAATGTTTCCATGGAAGATGTGGGTCTATTGTCAGAGAATAGCTCTGTTCTTCGTCAGCCACTTCTCCTGGAGAAGTCAGAAGCATCTAACGTGACCATCATCGTCTCTGCTAATGGGTCTGTTCATGACCAGATGTTCCTGAACACAGTGGCCGCTCAGGCTCTTTCAGGGATTTTTGTCTGGTCGGCCTTGCTCATAACCTTCCACCAGGTGAGTGAGCTTGTTGTTTTACTGGTGTTATTTTTCTTGCCAGGGGGAACGCAAATCACAGCAGCTCTTTATTTACACTGCAGTGTGTGAGTATTTGGCTAAGTTAATGAAAATTCAGAGATGATTGAGGTGTTTGAGAGCTCAGCTTCCTTGCCAGAGGATGGAAATTAATGTCCCTGAAGATATAAATTCTCCACAGAGTGCAATGGCCCATCTCCCAGTTCTTATGACATCCAAGTAGAATATGCACCTTTTTTTCTTTTTTTTTTTTACAAGGGCCTGTTGGATCATTTCCAGTGTAATTTAAATGCTTGCAGTTAATGCCAAGAATTTCTTCTCTGCATTGACCCCTTTTATCTACATAGATGAACTTTGCTTGGTGTGGTCAATATTTAATTCTCAATAAATGTGTTGCAGTTTGCCACTTGCCACATTTAGATTTTATTGATCTATTTCACAATAATATGGTGAAAATTATAATTTCAGGTTCTGTTGAAATTTGATTTTATTCTTTCTGTGTTACCACTCAGCACTTTAAAAATTAAGAATTCTTCATGATCGTCAGTTGGCTTATATAAATGTTTTCTGGAGCTTTAACTATTGTTGGTGTTGCATTAGCATTTTTTGTTGTTGTTGATTTTACATTTTAATTTGATACCCTTTTGCCTAAAGCACTCTTTATGCACGTACCGTTATCAGAAAACAATTAAGTGACATATTTAAGTGACATTGTTTGATGCAATAACAAATGGATCACTATATAAACCTCAGAAAATATGTAATCTTTTATTGCACGTTATACCGCTTATTTCCATAAATCCTCATAAAAGACGACAGAGGAAATGAAAAGCAATACAGTCTTAACTTAAGGTCTGCGAATCAAATTAATTTGTTCTTGTTGCCAGCAAACCAGTAAACAGATATTTGCATAAAGCTAACATATTTGTTAAATCTGATGTTTATATGATAATTAAAACCTTTGAATACATCATATTCAAAGTACATTGGAACAGATTAAAAAACCAATGGTTTGGAAACAGGTCACCTTTATTCAGACTCAACTTCTGTAACTGAGTGTTTCCTCATGTGCGGGAAGAGTAACCCTCTGTGTGCAGATAAAAGCTTATCATCTAAAGATAATGAAGAGGGGGAGCTGAGCATTATCAACAGAGACGTCAGTTCATATTGCGATCACATTTTAAAGCAATATAAAAAAAAGAGCATGCTATTTTTTTCTACCATTTTCCACGAGCTGTTCAATGTGCTGCTTATGTAAGTTTAATAATTTTGTTTTAACCTATATACACAAATCCAGACGAAAATCCTCTGAAAAGAAGCTCAGTGCCTTGTATCTCACATCTAAACCCAAAATGGCCAAAACCCCAGATTCATGTTGTAATTAGTTGTTTGAAGCACTTTGTGAGCCTTTCATCACCACCACTCTGGACATGTTGCATCTTGTGAACCAAGAACCGAAAAGCAATCACTGTTTAGGGACTTGGGACTTGGCATCCAGCAAATTGGTTTCTGTCTGTTTAATATAGTTGTTGTTTTGCCAAACACTTTCCTGGAAGACGTTTTAATTCAACAAATATACAGCAAGTGCACCGTTGGGAGAGTGCAGCAGGTTTGCACCACGTATCTTCTCTGCCATGCGGAGAATAGAGTGGTGTGCGGTGTTATTGTTGCAATGCTGGTGATGTCTCTTCAGACCGTGCTCCGACGAATTGGTGTAGACTTTAAAACTCCGCACTCTGCATACTAACACACCTTGACCTCGGATCCTCTCTGCTGTGAAGTCGAGACCATTTTGTGCTTGTTTTCATTCACTTGTGTGCGTGTTGGAGGGGGTGGGGTTATTGATCTTATGCGATTAATTATTCAGCAGAATACATTTTCTTTGTGCTGCTATAGGTTTTGGTCATATGTTTGAATACAGCTGAGAAAATTACACTTTTATTTAATACTTCTATGGAATACATTAAGAATGTATTATTCAACAGGCAGTGTTTTGATTCGGAAAAACAACAAACTCGGATCTATTTATTGCATATACATGGGGGAGAGAGCGTTCTGTGGTTATGTCGCCATCTACTGAAAATTTATTAAGAAAGTCTTGTTCTCTCATTCAAATGTAGGGCATTAAAACACATTTTGCATGGGAAGTAGTTGCTGAGGGGAGCGTATGAACACATCGTCTGTACTTGGAAAAATGGCTTTGTTTACATTCGTCTGTTGTACCCCATACATTGGATACATTCATTTTCTTCCCATTGTATTGATTTATTGAGTTATTATTGATTTTGGAGGGAACATTTTGCCCTTGATTGTGGCTCCCAGGTGTTCTTATGTTTTTATGTCCTAGATTATAATGTTGTGGTACTTATTACTGTGTTAGCCTTTGTGTGAATCTGCTTTACAAGCCTAATTTACATTGTACGTACACACACTTCCATACAATAAAATTTGTCTGCTATATTTTACCCATCCCTAGGGAGCAGTTGACACTTCAGGTGTGACCGTGGAGTGATTTTGGTGTTAGCTCTTCACGCCACAGTCAGTCAGATCTTTTTGGATATTTGGTCTTTTCTTCCATATTAATGTTTTAAACTTTGAGTACTGTTAATATTAACATCAGATATCCATTTGCCCTACATTACGTTACGTACGTAAATCACGCCAATCACTGTCTTTAGTTGGTGGCGCAAGAATATTGATGTAGTCGAGAGCAGCCTGTGAGTGAAGGCCAAGGGCTTTTAGTTATCAAATGTTCAAAACAGAAATGAAAGACAAAACCACAGGAACTTGGGAACTCTTTAAGGAATCATTGTCACATTACACCGCCTGCTGTTGCAGCAGAAATGCAACCCGAGGCAATATCTTGCGAAAACAGAGACATACATGCACCACATGCATTTGGGAGAAAAACCCAGAAATAAAGTTGGGTTGTCTGGGCCTGGCCTAAAACATATATACTGCTGTCCGTGGTTGAGTAATGTATATTTTTTATCTCCTTCATTCCCTGTCCTGATATTTATGTTGTTGTGAATAAAATAAAGCTCTGAAGACATCCCTGGCATTGATGAAGACTTTGGGGTGGAATTTTATTTCAGGAAAGTTACAACAGGGTGACAATAAAAAGTCCACATAATCTTCAAACCAAGATATTTTTATAGTAGGTTGTGTGTGTGTGTGTCAGAAACTCATCCAAAGCTTGCAAAAGATACATGCTTTATTGAACAGTAACATTTAAAATGATTTTGACTTGATTTCAAGTTAAAAAGATATTTACAGAATGTTTTTGTATGCATCTTGTTTCAAAGTGCTAGCAAGAATTTGACTGTGTTTCACTGACATTTTTCTGTTTTTCTTTTAGATCTACACACACCTTCGATCCTACACAGTCCCCAATGAGCAGCGCTACATCATTCGCATACTCTTAATTGTGCCGGTGTACTCCTTCGACTCCTGGCTAAGCTTACTCTTCATCAGCAATGATCAGTACTACGTCTACTTTGACTCCATTCGAGATTGTTATGAAGGTAAATGTCACAAGCGCATACATTTAAATTGCTTCAAATTTCTAAGCTAGTAAGTTAGTGTCAACCAAGTCCAACCTCAGCACGTCTTCAGATCTTTGTGTTCTGAGTGTAGTTCCAGACGGAGTCAAAGACCTTAAAACCTTTTTTTGCCCTCAACGATCTGAGAGCTGATTTAAACTTTTAAATAGAATCCATTATGTATAAACAAAAGGTGACCCGACCTTTAGTGAAAGTCAGTGACTTTGAGTTGTATTTTACCCTTATCCTCATTTGATACACCTCACCTATAAGCTGCAGCTCTACGCAACATGAGCTGACATATATAATTTTCCCCGTTGCGCACTGAGCCTCGAAAACAAACAATTGAAACAAACTGATTTTTTTTTTTTTACGGACGGAATCAATAGGTTCATGATTTTCTTTTTTCTCCAGGGACGCCCTTTTACAGTAACAACATCCCTTCAACCGTTTGACGTTTTAACATTATGGCTTGTTGGTGTTGACTTTCTGTGTGTTTTCGTATTTCAAATAACTGCCAGAGTAGAAGGTCGAGAGACCTCGCCAAACAAGTCTTTCGCTCCAGTCTTTGTTCAGCTCATCCTTTTGTTGTTGTATTTCTAGGTGGAGTAATTTTAGAAACAGCAGTTCAAACAAAACAATCTAGAGGATATTTACTGGCAAAAAGTTCACCCTTTAACACTGCAAATAAAAGTAAAATTTGTCATTTAGTCATTTTTTATGATGCAGATGAATTACAGTGGGATTTGGGATTGGGCTTTTACTCAAGTCTTTTGGTCTGAACTTAAATAAATTTAAACTAATGTAGAAATTTACTGCTGAAGTATGGGCTCTTTAGTCATTCACTGCTATATTGCTAGGAAATGAAGAAGTGTAATTGCTGTAAAGTACAGGTACATTTTCCTCCCATTTTTGCACATAAAATATTTGCAAGGTACTGGACATTTTTATAAGAACACAGATGAATACTGCATGCTGTCTAAATGTCTACAGAAGTGTTTTTAAACCTTGGGTCGCGACCCCACATGGAGTCGCCTGGGATTCAAATGGGGTTGTCTGAAATGTCTAGTAATTTATTTTTTTTAATATTTGCATATTTGCATATATTTGGCTTCATAATATTTATATTTATTTATTACATAAAAAATATGAATCTTCCCCTAGTTCTTTCTAGTCAAGTTAAGGTAACAACCTTATTTTTATTGATTTCTTCTTTTTTTTTTTTTTTGTAGCGTCATGTCATTTAAATCGAAGAAACATATTAAATTCATCATTCAGGTATTAGTTTCTAGTTTGCGGGTCAGTTTTGTGTGTGATGACTAAGAGTTGTGGGGAAAGCAGTGAGACAGTCATACAGTGGCAGCTACGGCTTAATGAACCTTACTTTGGCTGGACACCATTTCCATTAGCTTCATTTTAATCCCTCCGTAAATAGCAACAAAGGATTAGGAAAGGATTTTTAAGACACCAGACCCTCGGAAGCTTCTTAGGGCAAAGGCTGAAATGCGTATTCTTTAAAAATGCTGAACTAATTAATATAGTTTTAATTTTTCCCAGCCAAATTGATTTGCTCTAAATGTATTTTTTTTTCTTGTAATGCAAATGAATATGTCCTTATCTTTTTTTTTTTTTTTGTCTCTCTCTTTTTCCAGCATTTGTGATTTACAATTTCCTGAGCTTGTCCTTTGAGTATCTGGGAGGAGAAAGTGCAATCATGGCTGAAATCCGAGGAAAGCCAATAGAGTGAGTGTTACCCCTTTACTCCTGACTACAGTCTCGGTGTGTATCAGGACCTTGCTGTTCTAATAGTTGCAGGAGGAAGTCGTAAAGAGCTGCTGAGCTCTCTCCGTTGTGTGGCCTGAGCTGTTATATTTACAATCGCAAAAGGTGCAATGAGTTGCTATCTCTGAATTAGCATTTTCCACTGAACACCACAGTGAAAAATGCCGGCAATAAACAACTGCATTATTGTGACAGTTGTGCTTTATCTGGGAGCTTTTGACTGGTCTAGATAGCCCGTGCTTTATGGCGGGCCCCGGGGCAGCAGCTCTCGGCCAGGTTCGTAAAACAGTGGAGACACTAATGTTAAATCCTGATAAATTATGGCAGAGTCTAATCCCAGCCCAGGGAGACAAGGTATACATTTTTGTATCTGCTTTCAGGATTCCCTTTGACAGTTGGGCTTTTCTTCCTTTTTCAGCTGCGGGAACATTGTATTTCCAGCTAAATGATTCCAAATTATCCAATCTGCGAAAACTTCACTCACTCCGGTCTTAAAACGAGTCAGGGTGTGACATTGTGAATTAACCGGTGCAGCGGTGTAAGCCTAATGAGACACATATTGAAGACAAATTACTCAAAGTACGAAGTATGAATTTGCATAACACCACATAACCTGTAGTTGTGGTTCAGGTGTTATGGTTATAATACATATTTTATTAATACATGTTTATTTATAACCTTTTTACAGTGTAAACATGTCTGGATGCTAACCCTGGCATCTGGATGTGCTACTGAGGCTAAGGTTAAAGTGAACCACAGCTTAGTTCCTAAAAATCGAAATATATTTTATTATATATTATTTTATATACAGTATACAGTTCCTAAAAATCAAAATATATTTTATATATTATATATTATTTTATATACAGTATATTAATATTAATAGGTTATATATGTGTGTGTATATATATATAAATTCATGCAGACATAGCTATTTTATTTGTATTACTTAGATTACTTGTGGTATTTAATTTATTTTTCCAGACTTAAACATTCAAGTTTTTATATTCTAAGAAGAAAACAGCAGACATACAGACACATCAACAGCAGAACATTGCCTCTGAGAACTGGACTGAATCTGTGGGAACGAAGGCAGAAAACAAGTTTTAGACAACAGTATAATTACTCCGCAGGCAAAGGCCAATTTGTTTTTCAAATTAATTCCGTCTCAAGGTCTACGTTCTTATTTGCAAGTCCGTAAGTCGTCTCCCTTAAAGATCGACTCTTGCAGCTGCGAAAGGAATTCAATCTGATTTCGACTGGTCTCTTCAGGGTCTAGGGGCAGGTTAAGGACATGGAAACAAATGATATTTAACGCACACTTAAAGAAGCTGAGCTGTGTGTGAGAATATTTGGGGTATTTGTCTAAAAATATAAAGCTAGCTACTAAGCTAATCAGCATCAAACCGCTTTTTTAATCTGCTTGTGCGTATGGTGTTTTAATAAGAATAATAAAAATATAGTTTTGCCTTCTGCAACCAATTACCAATACTTGAAAACACTGTACTTACTAATACATTTTGGTCCAAATTGTGCAATACCAATACTGCAACTTGGAGCATATGGACTCAGGTATCAGATTGGACAGGCTGTTGTTTAAAATTTGAAATTTTGACCAATATCGGACGGGTATGGATCCTAGTATTTGATTGAGTTATCCCTACTTCATCAATGAGGTACTGAAGTGACATTTCACGTTGGTCCTTTTTGGATCAGTAAGAAAACGGTGTCAGTAAGACAAGTAAAGATCCCTACTGTTTAAATTAAAATATTTTTACATATAGATGTGTATAATGAAGCATCTTGTTCCGCTGCTGAGGAATAAACAAACTTACTATAGACGTGAAGTGGAATTGTAAACACTGTGGGAGCTATCCTCACCTGACCCCAATCCTATTTAAGACATGTGGCGCTGTGATCTGTGAGGTAGGATGGAAGGTTACCTGAGAACAGCAGCTGTGATGATGTTATCATATTATGTTATTATGAATATATTCAGTCAGAAAATATAAACATTTCAGGAATAAGTTGCAAAAGTTGACATTTTGTCAAATCAATTTGAACTGTTCTTTCAGCTGTCTAAGTTTGGTTGACAATTTGGTATAAATCAGGGGTGTCAAACGTACGGTCCATGGGCCAAAACCAGCCCGCTCTAAGAATTGTAGTAAATTTTAGTTTAAATTTTAGTAAAAAGTAAAAAAAATGCACACATCATGTTTGTGATGATTTGTCATCACAAACATGTGGTACAACCTTGGTACAAATGGTTTACCTAGAGGACAACAACATGTCTATATTAACGATTAATGACTAATTTAGTTTTTTTAACCCACACTAAAATATGATTGTTATATAAATTCCGATCCTCATCCTTCGCCTGTTCGGTTCACTGTCTTATGCTATAGCTCAAAATAAGTAAGTGTATTAATATCTGGTTGAGAGCGTCGGAGGGTTGTTAGCAGTACATCAGAGCGGTGTGACTGAAGGTGCTGCCTGTGTCAGGCTACTGGGGAGTTGTTAATGTGAGGAATGACGCTGAATTTGCCCCTAGTCTGTCTCCTTTGGCGCAGTCCTGAAGACATTACCGTCTCTCTGACAGGCTGGTTGTTTCCATCGCACCTCTTGTTTCAAAAAAAAAAAAAAAACGTATTGAACCCAAAACAGTGCAGCGCCCCTGTTCTTTATTACCTCCATTTTTTCATATATTTTTTTTCAATTACGGCAACCTGCTCTATTTACTTTTGCTCTCGTTGACATCAGATCTACACGGCGATGATATAACACCAGCACGCTAGCTTGAAACCTCTGCCACAGGCGACATCTTGACCTGCTTTACTTGTATTGTTCTTTAAGGTGTGGTAAACAAAATCATTATGATGGCTGAGGAGTCACTTTCTGTGGCACATTGAAGACACTGCTGCTCCAAAATGAAACTGTTCCAACATTTAAAAATCCAAATTTTAATTATTCGTTTTTATTAGTGCAGCCCTTGACCTTGTGAACGATAACACAGAGCTATTTTACTAAAATACAATCCGAAAAAAAATATTTATTTTATTTCACACTTGTTCTCTTAATTGTAATATTTGTTTTATAATTCATTATATTTTTTAAAAATCATTTTCTTCTCTTACTAATACTGATGTTGAGTATTGGAATTCTAACAATCTAATCCACATTTGACTGGAGCTTAATTTCTTTTATTTTTCTGACCTTTAATAATAATTTCTTTTATTTTACTCTTTTATTTTTATTCTCTCTGTTTGTGTCATCTATTAACTTTTTCTTCCTAAGTTGCTCCTAGTTTAAAGGATCGCTTTTCTCAAATTGGCATATAATTAACCTTTACCAAAATAAAAGCCCAGAAAAGTAAATGATAATGTTAACTTTGGCACGTTTATTATGCAACCTTAATATATTTTATATATTTTATTCCCATTGTAATTTCTTTCTAATATATTTTATTCCCATTGTAATTTCTTTCTCTTACTTTGCCTGCCTTTACTTCACCAGGTCCAGCTGTCTCTATGGTACATGCTGCCTTGGTGGTATGAGCTACTCCATTGGATTCCTAAGATTCTGCAAACAGGTAAAAATCAATGAAGTTATCGAACTACGTATCTTAAAGTTGTCAGGTCAAACAGCCAGAAGATCACTAGTCTCTCTGTGTAAAGATTGACCGTGTTTCCCATGTGCGTTGGTTTTCTCCAGGTCATTTGACACTGAAATAACTGTAATATTGTGGGAATAGTTATTTGTTTCTGTATTTGGCCCACCTTAATCACCTGAATACTTCAAGGATTGGCTGCAGCCACCAATGACGCTGACAAGGATTAAACCTTGGAGGGTGCCTGCGGGCCGCAAGGGCCGTGGAACTAGGTTAGGTTATAAACTGAAGACACCAGAGATCTTTGGCCTCGAAGTCAAAAAGGTTAAGAACCCCCTGCCTTAGAAGTGAAATAAAAACAAGTGTGTAATTGTGTTCAAGAAGATATATTTTAGAGACTTTAAATTAGTATTCTGCCCTTGTCACCAGACTGTTTAAAAATGACAAAGTCTGCTGTCAACTGAAGACAAACTCAACTGTTGCTCTGTGTCTGAAGATGCTGCTACAGCTCCCCTGTTCTCATACTGATTGGACTGGAACAAAGTGTTTTATCTCCCGAGCAAATGTGCTCCCAACCCCCTTCAATAATAAACATTTATTGTCCTTTGATAAAAAATACATTTTAAAAGGTAATTTTGAATTTTCTATGGTGGCGCTTCCTAATAAAAAGCGTCTTTGGGAAATAATATTGTTTGTGAGAGTGGGGAAATTCAGTGTCGTCTAGTGTGTGTTGTTAAAAAGTTGGCTCAGAATTAGTTTCCTGCCTTTTCTGAAAGTTCATTGTTGATCATTTCTGAGACTGTGAAAGTGAAAACGTGCACTATTGCAGGTCAGGTTCAATAGAAATAGAAGCTAACTTGAGCTGGAATAATAAATAGGCGCCGACATGATGATTTACTCCGAATGGATCACTTCAATGTTCATATTGGTCTGTGGTCATTAGGTCTGAGGTCAAAACTCCAAAAGAAAAGTTTTTAAAAGAAATCAATCATTGAATTTAAACTAAAAAAAAAACCCTAAAATTATAAAATTTGGTTTTGTACTGAATAAGGTAATAAAAAAAAACTGCTGACATTAAAAGTGCAAATTGAAGTTATAGTCTTCCAAGAGAAAGTTTGAAAACAAGCTCCTGAAGCATATTGGCCGCCAAGGGGCACAAAAGGGGTCTCAGAAAATTGGAGAAAAAAAAAATCTAATTATTATATATTTTTTAATTAAATTTTTTTATAACCATTTTTCCTGAACCATACAACACATAAACTGCTATAATTGCTTATAAAGTTGTAAGTTTCCGATGGTACCTGAACACACAGTGCTACCTCTGTAGACCTGGAGGTTTTACAGCTGTATTTAAGATGCTCTGCGCATCAAGCTAGCATGTAGCTAGCAAATGCAAAATGGACAGGTTTTTGACAACACCCGGTGCAGTTATTCTACCGATCAAAAGACGATAAAGTGATAAACACACTGCCGTGATATGATGACGATGATGATGTCACAGAAAAAGCACTCGTATTCCAGAAACTTCAGCTGAAACCTTTGTTAAACCTCAGCAGCTGCAGTTTTCCAGCATGTGTTTCCAGGGAGCCTCTGAGGCTGTCTCTAATTTAAAATTACGTTTTTATATCGTCTCCTAATGTGTCGAGTGTTTCAACTTATTTCTTTCTTGCCATTCTTTGTATTGTAATTAGTTTCTCCACAAAAGGAGTTCTGGCGACAGCGTATTAATGATGACAACCCTAAAGGAAAAAACAAAAACAAAATCCAAAGAAATAATTTGCCTTTGACAAATGCAGCATGTCAGCGAATGTTAAGACATAAGACGGTGTGCTTTTAGTCGGCTTCACAGCCCGGGTTGTTTAAGGATACTTTTGTTTTAATTATTTTCCCCTGGCGATATCAATAATAAAAGAGTTAGTCATTATCAAAAGGGCAAATGTGTGTGTTTTTTTTTTTCTCCCGAGAGAAAATGTGAAAGTAAGCGAGATCAGCAGCTGAGCTACAGGACAATTACAACAGCGTCCTGTTGGACCAGAACATACATTTATAATTAAGTTGTTATCATATCAGACGGACAAAGTCGAAGTGTGTTGCTGTTAATTGAGACCCGGGAGAAATTCGGCTCTGTCAATAGCTGTCACCCATGAGTGATTGTAATGAACTCCGAAGTGAAAAAAGGCAGAAAGCAAACACTGTGGGTCACCTCGTAAAAAAAAGCAGAAAGCAAACACTGTGGGTCACCTCCACCTGTGAAGTCCCTCTAAAGCATTATTAAAGAAAAACCCAAAGGTCTGTAATTAAGAAGAAATTAGTTAAGAATCTGAACAGGTTTGTGGCTTTATCTGAAATTAACAAGCTTATTTGCACTTGCAATTGTTTGTAAAAACGGCCTAGCCAGACATAGAGAATTTACACATCCTCCTATCTTCCGCCGGTGTCGTGCGATGTATCCAGTCCCTCCTCACTGAGGTTAATTTGTTGCATTTTTTTATCGAGACTCTGTGCGTGGATGCATTACGTACATTAATTTGAAGCAGAGACCATGGTTGACTTTTAATTTATTGAAGTTATGAACGCACCTTACGTTTTGAATACAAAGCACCCGGGTAACTGATACAACAAAGGCACGGAGTAAAAGAAGGTCAATTTTGACTTGGATTGGAATAATGCGAACCCTTCATGAAGCCCTGGTTAAAAGTTGAGCCTAGGTAAGGTTTTATTATTGTTTTACGTAAAGTTGTCGTAATTTAGTGCAGATGTTTTTTTGTTGTTTTTTTTTTGAGCCATGGCACATATTTTATATTTTTTTATTTTATTTTAAATCCAACACGACAGCATCAAACAAAAATGTCAAACAAAAATTTGTGAATGAATGAAATGGTTGAAATTTACTCACAATTCTGTATGAAACCTGAGCATGTTAAGTTGAACACCACTGATATACTTGCAGGAATTGAAGAAAGAGACAAGAAGCTTGTTTTCAATTTTTATTTATTTTTTATAAACCTCATGGAAGAGAAAAGTCTAATTATTTGCAGTAAATAAATAATATTTTTCAGACCAATTTACTGAAACTGAAATCTTCCAGGTACCCTAAATAATCTGTCATGGCACACAAATGTACAGGGCTTGGAAATCACTCATCTAGGGGCCAGGGATTTATTTTTAGGCTGCATTCTGAGCCGTGGAAAAAAAAAAAAAAAATCATACAATGCCATTGTTCACAACTGGCCAGGTTTGAGTTCAAAAGGAATAAATTTATTCAGCGCTTAATCCTTTTCAGGGTCGTGGAGGGAGCTGGTGCCAATCCTAGCAGTGAGCGGGTGAATGCTTGATACACCCTGGATCTCATGTAGAGACAAACAACCATTCACATTCACGCCCATACCTATGCTCAAATGAGTAGTTTCCCATGAAGCCAATCTGCAAGCTTTTGGGAAAATGTGCACATTCCAAACACTAAGACCAGGAATTGAACTAGTGAACCAGTGATCGTGTTGCTCTTTCATGTGAATTGTTATTGAAAAGCCGGCTGACGTAGGTAGAAGGAGAATTTCTTTTATTTTTGCTTGGGAGAATTAATCATTGAGAACTGTTTTGAGGAAGTCAGAACACAGTTATCAGGTGTTATCGGGTTCTGCCGAGGCTTTATATAAACTCTAATTACAGTAATAAACACAATGCGTCTCATCCAAGCTAAGAACAAAGCAATTTGGAGTTCAATTGAAAATAGCCCGAGAACTCTCTTCAAAATGAACTGTTGTTTGGCACTGATCAGAGAGAACCACACAAAGATTTTTTTTTTTTTTTTTTTTTGTCTCTGAAAAAGCAAAATGATCTGTGTCATGTGAGTCCGAAATATTGATATGTTCACATGAAAACGAGGATCAGATTCAATCCTTGATTTCCTTTGGTTTGCTTTCCAGACCGTGTGCTTTATGTTGTAAGTAATAAAGCCGAAGGGGAGGCAAAGTCCAGGCAGTAAAGCGAAGATTGAATCTGAGCTATCAAAGTGAATGACCTGAAGTGTTCATTTTACTCACTTTGATATTCTCAGCTAAACAGCTTAACCCCGCTTTTCTGTGTAAACAATATGTGATCTAACTTCTAACAGAAAATGATCTTATCCCAGAAGGCCTTGGAGGAAAGATGCTTAAATATTATCTGTTAGAATAAAGCCTCAGAATAAAGCCAGAATCCCTGACTGGAAGTCAGAGAAACAAATGACACCGTTTAGGTTGGAAAGAAAAACAAAAAATCTTTGGACAATATATGAACCTTCTGGTTTCTATACAAACAAATTCTGATGTCATCCTTCATACTCACCCCTCCTCCCCCTCCCTGCCACTCTCACTTGTGTCTTATTCTGCATTTTAATTGTGTTCTCCAGGCGACTCTTCAGTTCTGTGTTGTCAAACCCATCATGGCGGTGATCACCATCATCCTTCAGGCCTTTGGCAAATACCACGATGGAGACTTTAAGTGAGCAGCACCACCCTCTTCACTGTATTCTTCTTCTATCTTACGTATCCATGCCGTCGCCTGAGGAGCTTGTTTGTTGGTTCACGTGCATATCAAACACTTTGCTACTTGTGATAGTTTTATCACCTGATTGCAGGTGCTGTAAATAAACTGTTTGCAAAATAAGGGAATGTTTTTCACATTCAAAGTGCAGGGTTTAAACTGAGTTGAGTGTCGGCCGGATCCTTATTTCCCCAGATTATTGTGCGGCTGGCATGTCCGTGGTTCGCCTTTTGAGGGCCGATCAAAGTGTTTGAAGTAGTTTTGTGAAACTGTACTTTTTCGTAGCTATTTTTTTTTTCATCGTCTGTAAGATTTTAGGACTTCTTTTCAACCTCTTCGACAATAGATCTGTCAAATATTGTAATTCTATTGTAATCCTTTTAGCTATTTTGCTTATCTTTAGCTGACCTTTAGCTCACTACCCTGTGCTAACCTTGAATTATTTTGGCTAACATTTGTTATATCAGGGCTAATCTCGATTCTAAGTACAGTGTCTTCTATATTAAGCTTATTATCTGCATAGTTATCTTTAGTTAAGTCATGCTCTAGCTAGCTCCGGTCACAGTTTTTGGTATCTGCTAGACCAGCATTTGGATTTCTTTGCAAACCCTGCGTTTTGGGTGTAGTGACTGTTTAAATTTGGTGGCAGTAAATGTTTGGGACACCTAATTACAATCCAAAATATCACAGAAAGAGCAGTCAGCTGGTTGATATTGTTTGAGGTTATAAAAACTGGTCCAGCAAAAAAGAATTACAAATAATTTATGTTGCAATAGCTTTCTGTTGGTGTTCTAAAATGAACCAGCCTTATTCTTACTGTATGTCACACTTTCTGTTTTTAATTGAGATTAGTTGTTTTCTTTCGCACTCTGACTCTGAAAGCCCGAGGCTGTGGGTAGATCTCAGACCAAAATGATTAAATCTTTGGCACATTTCGGATCGGTGTCTTTAGGAAACACGGGGGCAGGTTCTGTATTATGTCGTCTGCAGGTGTAATCAAAGCTATAAAAATCTGCAGTCCATAAAGTGTCTTACTTTTTTATTTTATTTTGATCCTTTCAAGCCGTTCTGCCTCTGCGTTGTTTTTGAAGTACAGCTCTAGCGGTGGCAACACTCGGTTCTAAACTGCTCAAAACAAGTACACACTTTAGAAGCAGCTTTAGACAGATGTTTCTTCTTACTGCAGCATCAAATAATAGCTGTGATTAAATTCTTCCTACGTATGTCTCTGTACCACAACAGAAAAAGTCTCAGGCAAAAGGAAAGTTTTTTTTTTAAATATATTTTCTTTTGTGGATCTTTATAGTGATGCACAGATTGTTTACTGAAAGACCTTCATTCAACCACGGAGTATATTCTGCCTGGGATAATTAATGCAGTCACAGCTGATTCCACAGAGAGGCTCGACGGAATGTAAAGAACATAGAAAACGCAGGGAAAATCTGTTACTTAATCAGACTTTTTCTCGGCGAAGAACGGCCAAAACAAAGGGCTTTCATTACTGCTTGTTTGTGAGGAGGACAAAAAGACGGCGCTTGAAATACGCCTGAAATTATATGAGCGATATGACGGCTGATTTAATTTCTGCATGCAACGAAAACGTTTTGAACTCCGAAAATCAGACGCTGGGTTAAAGGTTACCTTTAAAAAAAATACTCTGGATCCAAATTATTCACTTGCCGTGAACTAAAAATGCCGTCTCCTTCTGTGTGTCGTCATCCTTTTATTGCGACTACTGCAGCGTGCAGTCGCTAACAATCTGAATAAAAATGCTATTGCACTGCATAGTGTATAATATATATCATATCATCACCAATAATGAAACAATACCCTCTTTTTTTGTGCAGTGTCAATGGAGGCTACCTGTACATCACCATCACTTTTTTTTGTGCAGTGTGAATGGAGGCTACCTGTACATCACCATCATCTACAACTTCTCAGTCAGCCTCTCCCTCTACGCCCTCTTTCTCTTCTTCTTCGCCACCAGTGACCTGCTCAGGCCGTATGAGCCCGTGCTTAAGTTCCTCACGATCAAATCGGTCATCTTCTTATCGTTCTGGCAAGGTGAGCTCACAGGACTTTGTTTTTGGGTTTGTGTCGGAGCTCACACATTACGTACACGGCCGTGCGTGCTGGTTGCGACTGTAATGTTTCTGCTTTGCAGGCATGGTGCTGGCCATCTTGGAACGCTGCAGCGTCATTCCCAATGCTCTCGTCATCGATGGAAACAAGGTCGGTGCCGGCACTGTGGCTGCAGGCTGGCAGAACTTCATCATCTGCATAGAAATGTTCTTCGCTGCTATCGCCCTGCGGTACGCCTTCACCTGCACCGTCTACCAGGAGAAAAAGAACGAAGTGCCGGGTGAGTACATCTGGAGTGACAATGCTGTCGTTTCTATTTTCCCTCTCAGCTGACGAGCTGGGAGAGAATTCCAACATTTGATATGAGGCAAGAATGTGAATTTTAAAGAAAATATATAGATGTTATGTTAGATTGTTATCATTACAACATCTCAAACAAATGGGCGTAAAAAGTGTTTTTTGTTTTTTAAAGGGGCATCCGCTGGTGAATAAAAAGTGTTTTTTAAAGGGGCATCCGCTGGTGACGGAATAGCTAACAAATATAGAAAATGTACTGTTTTTTTACCAGCTTTTGCAACAATATTTCACTGTTTCTTATATTTGGCAATACCGCAAGTGGACCACAATCTAAAAAACAAGGTCTTGACGGAAGATAGGCTTGAACCTGAGCCTAGAACTAGGCTAAATGTTTGGCTAAAGTTGTTCTGCGCTACAGCTGTATTTCAGAGCTGATTCTGATTTGACAAATATTAATTTATCGGCTAAATATTTCAAATTAAATTATCGGCCGATTAAAAAAAAAATTATGTAATATCTGTAACAATCATTATTGTTTTTTCCTCTGATAATAAAAATCCGATAGTTTTGGGGGTAAACGGCTGTATATTGAAGTGAAAGTCACTAGATGGCAGCATTGCAGCTTATTTATTTAATCTCATATTCATACAGTAGTTTATACAGATTAATAAACATTTTGATTTTGTTACGTTGTGCTGTGCGTTTAAATCTACTCAAATTTGAATGTAGGACAGAGCAGGAGTGTGTGAGCGGTGGATTTGTTCTTCGCTGTGTTGAAGTGCTGAGCCTGAACATCTCCAGTGTTTGAGAGGCACAGGCATTTCCATTAGGCTGAAGTAGTGCCCACTTACTCATGGCTCAAAGGACAGATGCCGTTAAAGAAAAGGCAGAAGAAGATGAAGAGAAAATCAAAGTACATTACGGTAACAAGCAGAGAGGGGGGTGGGGGGTGGCGACCCTTTGACGTCGGCGCTGTGTGTCGACTATAGACAAATGGAAGATTGAGGGAAAAGCCCTCTGCGGTGATATCAATCATTTCACTGCTTTTCCCCAGCAATGGCAGCCGTCCATGCCTTAAGCTGCTTAACATGCAGAAGTACTGAACGCTACTGCTAAACTGGAACGTTTCTCCATCAGCTTGATGAGCATTGAATAGTAATTTACTTATTTGATTTATTTGGTTGTTAGTGTGTTCATGTGTGTGTGGATGTTAGGTCCAGATTTTTTTGACAATTGTTTTATAGCTCAGGATTACTGGCCTTTATAACAATGTACTCTGACGTCTGTATGTATGTTACACATAGTGGTATGCAAGAACATTGCAACGGTTTGCTACATTTTTTAATATAATATCAAGCACCCCCTAGTGGCAGCTCGCGCAACCCTAAGGTTTCTTTGGCTTAAAACGTTGTCAGAAAAAACGTCACCAACAAATATTTTTGACAAAAGTATTTCTAAAGGTTAGATAAATGTAGCCAAAAAATACTTTGTAAAGTAGCTACTATTAACTCGTAAAAAAAAGTTAGAGGTCATAAAGGTCAGCTCCCATTTTGAAACACGTTTGCTTGAAAACGTTTTGCTTGGTTTTTCTTTTCATGTTTTTCTTTTCAGCCTTATCTTCATACACCCACATTCCGAGAGTGATCCTCTTTTTGGGGAATAACAGCTTTAAATGAAAATCATCAACAAACATTTAAATACCTCTGTCCCTGTTCTGTGTCGCTGTTCCCGTAGAGACCATCCCTCCCATGCAGAGCATTTCCAGCGGTCTGAAGGAGACCATAAATCCCGGGGACATGGTGCAGGATGCCATCCACAACTTCTCCCCGGCCTACCAGCAGTACACCCAGCAGTCCACGCAGGAGGTGGTTCAGCCCAGCGCCAACGGGAAGGCGGCCACGGGCAACAAAACCCCCCACAAGTCTGACAAAATCATGCTGATTACCTCCGACGATGAATTCTAGGCTTCACTCCAGCTCGGATCCAGGTGCGTGTGTTCCTGCCGCCCACTCTCCGCGACCCCCTGGGGGGAACAGCTGGATCACGTATCTGATCCTGGTGTCTAACTCCCCCTCCTCCGCCCAGTATTTACCACAAACTGCCTAAGTCTCACCAGCATTTTAATACAGGAACCAAAATAAAAAGTTAAGAATTTATGATGTAACAAATTTGTCAAACTGACTCAGAGAGTATAAAACCAGCAGGACTCGGCAGCCGACGGCGTCTCTGTAGAGTCTGGAGGGAGGATTTATTTAACAAATCAAAGGCGCCTGATGAGCCGCCGTTCTTCCTCTGTCACTGCACCAGCGCTACCCTCTGGCCGCGTGGAGCATTTTCCTTGTGATTCCTTTTGCAGTGAGTCGGTGACCTTTCCGCGTAGCTCCGGGTAAAAGAAGCAGGACGCCGTGGACGAGTGGAAGTGACACTTCACAAAAACTAGTCTCGCCTACGCGTTCGAAGTTCTCACTTGGCCTTACCGCTTGACAAATGTAAACAAATCACACCTGGCTTTTTTTTTTTTTTTTTTTTTTTTTTTTTTTTGGAAGTGGGCCCCCGACGCTGCTCACCGGAGACAAGGACAAACAGGATAAATCTGCCTTCCGCCGGTGTTATTCCTCATTAATATTCCCAGCTTGCTAAAGATCGTAATTCAGTGCAACTCCACCAGACAGCCGTTTAGCAACGCTTCATAATTAGTCTTTGACGACGCGGGCCCCTCGTTTGTAACATTTTAACAAGCCGCAGTCTCTCACTCTGTCTCTGTCTCTCTCTCTCTCTCTCTCTCTCCTCTAGTCTCATGGGAGTTTAAACACGTTTGTACAGAATGAGATTTTTTTGTAATTGTGGTGTTTTAATGTATATACGTGTTTGTGTGTGATTTTACAAATGTGTCTTTAATTTATGAAGGGGAAGTTATTTACAGTACGAGAGTGAAGGTCAGGTTGACTCAGGCGCGAACACAAACTAACGGGTGATTTAGTTCTCCACGTTGTACTTCTTCACTACTACCTTTTTCTTAAATTCACTTTGGACTGACGTTTGTTCTCGGTCTTGGTCGCCGCTTGAGATTTCAAATCACAGAATCACAATTTAAAAACCCAGTTTGTTTAGACGTAGGATGATTTTTGTTTTGTTTTTTTTGCACGGCGGGAGAAGTGGCTTGTTGTAGTTTTACCTCGCTGATCCTGGTGGTGTCGTCACGGCGTGAAGGGGAAACGAACGGGGGATTTTACTGCGGTTATAAATAAAGGCACGATAAGTTTGTGGACTTTGTAAATATTGTACTGTAATATTCTAACATGAGCTCTCGTGCTGGGATAATAAAACAACCGTGCATACAGTACTTCCTGTTCTGTGTGTGTACACAGATAGAAGTACCAGTCGAACTATTTTATGCTCACCTTCGGGTGTTTTTAAACAACAACGACATCACTGGGCGCCATGTATGACACAGGGAGGGTATACATTTACTTTAGGTTAGAGCTGTAAAATCCATATACAGGACTTTTATTTTGACGAGCACTTTGACATGTGTCAAGGGTCATCTGTCATTGTAAAAGACCACAGTCATTTTCAAAATAAAACTAATTTCACACTGATATTATTTATTTTATTTTTTTCTCTGTGGTCCAATGTGAAACAACCTACCGTCAACTGCCTGCCCCAGAACCATAGTTTGAGAAACCTTCCACGAAACTATCATTACCATGTCTGTATGCATGATAACGTCTTCTTCGTTTCATTCAGGTCACGTACTCGGCCACTCAACAACACGGCCATAGTCGCAGGTCAAACAGGATTAACATTGATTGAACAGGAAGCCAGGAGGCGGGCAGACTTCAACATGCATTATGGGAGACGTCGTTTCTGGTAACCATACGCTTGATTATAAGTGGAATTAAAGAATTAGAATTTTGATTAAATCGCCTTGCATATGTTATGAACTCGCTGTGGTTCGTAACCTTTTTCAGCTTGTGGCCCCACTTTGACAACACAAATGTCTGATGACTTCAGAGACATTGTTTTTTTTTTTTTCTAGAATTAATTAGTTTGTTATGCTGTGTGAGTAGCTGGATTACTCACTTGTGCGGTCACATGATTGGAGCCCTCAGTCGAGATGCACCAGCTCAGATATTTTATCTCACCTGTTGTTGTAATTTTAGAGCCATACAGTGGATTAGTGGTTAGTGTTCTTGCCTTACTGCAAGAAGATCACTGGTTTGACCCCCGTGGGTTACTAATGGTTTGGTATAATGTTGGTGTGTTTTCCCTGTGTGTAGATTGATTCGGTGGTTCTCAAAGTGAGGGGAGCGGACCTATTTACGGTCCAGATGACAAATTAAATTTTTACTTTTAAATGGACAAAACCTGAAATTTGATTTTCTTGTTTTGGTGAGATTCTACTTTTGTAGTTGTAGTTGTACTTTTGTAATTGCATTATTTTGGAAAAAAAAAAGTCAGGGAAACTGGGGATAAATTGGACATCTGCCCTCGTCTAATGAAATCTGAATAAATGTAAATAAATGTAACAGGAAAAACAAACTTTATTTAACTTTTATCTTCTTATATTTACCACATTCCAAATAAAGGCAGTAACAATTTCTCGAGTGCACGTGAATAAATGCGTGTGAAATGAAAAATAATTTAGGTGTTTATTTCGCTTTAATTACACAAATCAATGAAAATAAATATAAAAACACAAATACATACATGAGCAGAATAATGACAAGCTGAAAGGTAAAGAGCCCTGGAGCGGCTGCTTTGTTTCTATCCTTCTTAGAGATATCTTTCAAGTACACACAAAAAAAAAAAACTGCCGCTGTTGACGCAACTTCCTGTGAATTCCGCCCACGCCCGCGTCGTCCCCGCACTAACCACCTGTACAACAGTAACGCTGACTTTCCACTGATATAAACTCTGTAGCTTGCAGGGCTGTGTGTTTAGCTTATGTTCTACAAGACATTTTCATAAAGGAATTTTTAGGTCCATAGTCTTTTTAGTGAAAACCTCGTTTGCGTGCATAGAATTGCATTGTCGTAACAAAAAAAACAAAAAAGAAAAAGAAAATCTCTAAACAGCTCCTGGCAACAACAGGCTTCACTCAGAGGAAGGAAAGCAGTTCAGACCAGTTTTAGTAAACATCCACAGAAGGTAATGTTTGTTTTTTATTTTATTTTCCTTTTAAATATTCATAACAGCATATTGCTTTGTAAATTAAACTTTGAAGAAAAGTTTTGTTGCTTTTATTTTGGTGGAAAAGTGCTTTGTCTGAAAATGTTTATTACTCAGTCTGGCAAGTGTTGGCGTAACGCAATATAAATTAAGAATGAAGCTTCACTTTAAAGCAGTGGTTCTTAAATGGTGGCTTATGGGTACCTTCAAACAAAACACATACACAGAATTTGGAAGGAAGCTGTGCACAGAACAGCCTGATTGGTCTGTTTAGCAAATCCAACCAATCAGTTTCCAGTGTGGGCTGGCAACAAATTACTAGATTTAAAAGTAAGTGGGATTTGTGAGAATACGACCTGGAAAATTCAGGTTGGAAAGTGTGTATAAAGTTTATTTACTTTGCTAGTTACTTTTGTTTAGCAAATCCAAGTTTAAAGTTTATTTACTTTGCTAGTTACTTCCTGGTATTCTGTGTAATTTATTTATTTTTAACCGTTTTTCGAATAAGTCATTTATGTTTTACTATTGTACATCTAACTTGATCTCTAACCAGTCATTTAACGTGGCAGAAGGAACTAGATAGCGTTAATTTGTGTTAAGAACGCCCTCTGGTGGAGAACGATGGTAACTAAATCAGTTTTTTCCTTCATTTTTTTTTTGTTACCTTTCTAATATTTCTGCACTAAGCAGTAAATGTTATGGCAAGATTGGCTTAAATTACAATAATTAGTAGTATCACTATGGTGTACAAATATGAAAGAAAATTCCAAAATCACGTGGGGATGTACAACTTGGCACAAAATGACACACTAAAGTAATAAAGAGTACATGTGCTATGGGGAAAACTGTAGTAAACCTGGTACAATACGTCAACATTTAAGATCCGGTAACGCTGCTGCCATGAAGTATTCTCTAGATTTGATCATTGAAGAACCACTGTTTAAGGTATTAGCAGATCACAGAAAAAGTACTCGTTTCGCCTGTAGGTAGGGTTGTCTTTGATTGCAGTATACTACTTGTACACACTACTTTAATCTCAATTCAAGTAGTGACGTCACTAAACGTAGCGTCCACCTGTGATCCTGACACGTCCAAAGCTGATCAAGGAATAAGCTAGAGCCTCAAAGGCATTGTTGTAAAGCTTAAGCTAAGAAGGTTTTTGTTCTGTTGTGACCGTCGCTAACTAGCTTAGGGCAGTCTCGTCATGTACAAATCATATTTTGGTGTACGTCTCTGGCATTTATGTAAACATGTTCCACTGAGTCACGTGACTTGCCTACAGCAGCTTCGGACTTTCTGTCAGCTAAGGTCCGTGAGCAGTCACAAAAGCATTACCGACGGCAAAGGTCGTCTCGAAGTTGGCACACAAGCTGCGCATGAGAGTCCACGGTGAATATTATACCAACGTTTGTATTTTATACGCATTATTTGTCTATTTTAAGTTACTATTTTAAAAAAAAAAGAAACAGAACAATGTGCTATTTTCTTACAAGGTGAAATAGCAGTCAAACTCAAACATCCGCTGGTGTGAGATCGTATCTGTGTGGATTCAACTTCATGGGCTATAAATACACACAAGAAGGTATAAGTTATACAAATGGGTTTCTCTTTATGGCTGTATGTAGGAGTACTGTGACCATCGGTACGGACAAAAACATGGATGTAGGCCGCATTTTTTTTTTTTTTTTTTTGAGCCATGGATTCAAATTGAGTCTTTTTTAGACAAACACAGACATTGTATGTATGAACATACATACAAATATATATGTATGTATATATATGCATATATGTGTGTTATGACATAGTATATAGATACTGTATGTTTATAAATGTATGCATGTGTATATATATTTATATACTTTATCAAATATATATACACATACATGTATACAAATACACATGCATACATATATGTTTGTGTGTGTAATAACAATGGTATTAGAGTCTTCATATGAATTTACATCAGGCCTGTCAAGTATTTTTCTAGCTCAATCTGCATATTGTCCTTACATCCAATCAGATGTCTTGTGTCCTGTGGATGGATCAGTATTCCTAATTGTAACATTATGACTTTTTGGAAACAAAAAAAAAAAAGAAAGAAAAATTCAAAATGATTCGACGTCTAAAGATTACATAGTCACACCACTCCCAAGATAGCAAAAGACATAAATATAGAAAAATATGTAATATATATATATATGTATTTAAATATTTATAAATTCTATATACTGTATATGCATAGAAAACTAGGTATCGGAAAGAGGACATTAGTTGTATATCTACATAGAAACCAGGTGAAAATATACAAAATGTTAGAGTTAGAACACAGCAATGCCCCCGCCATAAAAATCACAGCAGGTTGTACAGCAGCAAGTTCCCCAAACTGTTCTGTTGCAGCTATGGAACGGGAGGTGAGGGGTCGGGGGGCGGAACAGTCATGTCCTCTTAGCCAAGAGAAAATCCTGACATTTAACAATCTCCAAAAAACTTCACTCCCAAAATAAGGAATGGATCCTCGGTAAGAACGACTTAGAATTTCAAGTGAATATTATATTCAAATATCTCCGAGGAGATAGACGAAGACAACAGAAGGAAGTGTGTGTAGTGACGGCGCCACCGTCTTTGTTGGGCTTTTGCGTGTAGAGATAGGTCGTCAGGAGTTCTCTTGCAAAGAGTGTGTCAAAAGCAAAGGTGAAAACGGCTACTGTTTCAAAGTGACCGACACCGGCAGAGGCACGTCTGGTGAGAGAGCAGTAGGAATGATTGTCTTTCTCTGTGTGGACGGAGTTAAAACAAAAAAAACAGGAGGCGGTGGGAGCTTTTGTCGTCTCGCATGGTCTGTAATATACAGGAAATTCAGCCGATTCGCAATTCACTCGTAAGGACCGCCCTCGTCACACTGTATCCAATATGGATTATCTATCAAAGAGTGGCATGTCAAGGAAACACGTCAGCCAGTAAGTGCTGCAGCAGAACCATCCTCAGTTACACCCGGGGTGTGACTTTGCAGTGAGAGAGTGAGTGGTCACACCACCTGTGATCATTGTGCACGTACAGCAAGTCCTGGTTACTTCACAAAGAGCTTCTGTCTGTTGCCATTTTGGTTTTTCTTTTATACTGCATTTTTGACAGTTTTCCCATTAAGTGCTATGTGTAAAAAGACCGTATCATGAATCGTACAATAGTTTCCTAAAAAAATTCAATTCAAAGTCAAAAATTGTACTGTTACTGTGCTTTTTGAATCAGTTCCACTTTCAGTGACGATGGTAAGAAGAGTGTCTACTATTCTATGTCCCGGAACTAATTATTATTATTACACTGTTCGGGAGAGTCTGTATCAAACAAGTAGCTCTTTGTATGACTAACTCTCAGTTTCAAAACGGTTGGTGACCCCTGGACTAGAGCTAGTCTGAGGGGAACTTGCTAGTACGTACGTAAAAGGCACGGCAAGGGCCTGTTATTAAGGAGTGTGGGGATATTTTTTACTCTGCATCAAAGTCATTTAAAAATGATACTTCCATCCCCCGCGGAGAAATAACTGCACATCATGACTGAGCACTGAGTAATCAAGATAGAAGAGATCAAAAAAGTGTCTGTGAAGGTTCTCCGTCATCCAGGTTTCATCTTGAGGGTTTGTTTGAGGAGGCTACTGAACTGGGCTAAGGTTTCAATGATAGTTTCTGCTTCTAAGAGCTGAATACTCCGGTTTGACTAACATCCTGTAACAGGGTCAGGGTGTGGGTGACCTGTACTGTATTGTCTATCATAACAACTCATTCTTCAAGTATTCAGCCCTCCCCTAGAGGCCGAACAACCTCTGGGATGATAGGCCTCTTATCCAGTTCACTTACTACTTCTGAACGTCTTAGATGTCAGGTCTACGGTTTCACTGCTGCGGACCAGTAGGTTAACACCGGTCTGTTTGACAACAGGGGACTTTTTTTCGTAGGGTCTCTAGGGTTCAAGTCTATGTTCAGCTTGGTTTGAAGTCCAACGCAATATCTATGAAAAACAAAAATCGGACGAAGGCTGTATGAACTATCAGAATCCAATACACAAACGCTTGTCTTGACTTGGCCCAGCGCCACCTGCTGTATCTGTCGGCCTTTATCTCCTCTATAAAGACTCTTCTCTTCCCACTGTAATTTAACTTTGCTGTCACATTGTTTCCCATCTGAACTCTCTAGTGATTAGTAGGCTAGTACTGCCACATTAAGGCATTGCAAACTCCTATTTTGTTTCACACCTAAGTAAAAGCGAATGTCTGCTCTCAGTCGGGCCAGTGGGTCACAAAGGCTCGCCGGTGCTGAGAGTGCGGGGCGTGGATTTGCACAGTGCACAGACAGTGTAGGTTGTGTGAATCAGACAGAAAGAAGCCAGATGCAGTTATGAAATCCAAGTTACATCACATAGAGCTCGCCTCCCCCATCCCATCCCTCAGTCTGACTACTGAGCGTCTTCTCAGTATAGGATGAACAGGGTCTGGCAGGGTCAGGACCAGGCAGGAGCATCGGAGCCCAGTCCTGTCAACACTAGGACGGGGCTGAAAACGGGGTGGGGCTGGAATTGGACTTGACGATGGTGATCACACTGGTGGTCGCCACTTTGCCCGGCGGGAGGGGTCCACGGGTGACAGTCCGGGCGAAACACTGAAGAGCCTCGTACTTGGCCCGTAAGGCATCCAACTCCAGTCTCATGCTGGCGTTCTCCCGTGCCAGCTTGTCCACCTCGTGCTGCAGCTCAATCTTTTGTCTTTCCAGCTCCTCCTTCTGGGTCACACGTTTGATGCGGCAGCTGGCGGCGTAGCCTCGGTTCTTCAGGGTCCGTCGCCTCTGCTTCAACCGCACCACGTCCTCTTTGGTCAGCCCCCGCAGGTGCTGGTTGAGCTCCCGTACTGACATGGCCACCAGCTCGTCATCGCTGAGGGCAGGGGCATTTTCCACCACCTCCTTCTTGACCTGCGGTCAGAGGAGGCACACGTCAAACATGTTGACAATTGATGAACACGTGAAAAGTTGCATTGATCACTCTCAGATCCCACACACATACCTTTAAAGCTTTGCTGGTTTTAAAATGAGTAGTCATTCCCTGCATGCGGACAACAGGACAGAAGCTCTCAGAAGACACGCTGAAAAGCAAGGAGAAGAAACTGTGAGACTAAAACTCGAGTACTGCACTAAGGGAGAGAAAAGTGGGGACAGACTGGGTTTTCAGTATGGAACAAGTTCTGTATTCAAGCAGAGCGATATATTGCTCAGACTATTTGGCTAAGACCCCCAACTTCACTATGTTACTTCTTAAATAATTTTGAATAATCATATAATTATTATTTTTGTTGATTCAGTTGTTGTAGGAACAGCGTGACATCTGTTTAATCTGGCACTCGGAACTGAAATCCACTGTTATGTCATACGTCAACATTTGTGTTTGCATGCTGGGGACGCTTTCGCCAGCAGAGGGCAGCAAGGTACCGTACCAGCGCAGAGGAGCGCGCCTCTGTTTACTACACGGTCAATCGGAGGCCTGTGTAGTTTATTGAATTGAACAACTTAAGAAACCTTCTGTGCTTCTCTCACGCCACTTTGCAACTATCGTTTGACCGCTGCTCTTCTTCTCTGGGGGCAGGCAAACTATCGTTCGACCGCTGCTCTTCTTCTCTGGGGGCAGTTAAGCTAATGTTTTTCAGAGGAGCCAGACTGTAGCCAAAAACAGGGGCAAGAATGCTGAGCTGTGAACCTGTGTGAGGCACACACATCCCCCCAAGGCTCCATTTCAGGAGCAGCGGACCAGCATGACTGCAAGTGCACTGTTCCACTGCCATGGAAACACCCTGGGCAATGGGCGTGGAAGTGGGAGTCACATGGTCCAGCAAAAGAATAAACAAGTCTCATTCATAACCACAACGCCGGTCTATACATAGCAAGAAAATGGGGGCCTTGGAGTTGTGTTTATACCTCCAGGACACCTTTCACAACCCGTATCTCTTGATGTTTGAGGGGATGGGGTGGGGGGGGGGGGGGGGGGGTGTACGGGGTCAAAGTCCTGTCCACTGCTTCATCACTGGAGACTTTAAAACAAACCATCACATCAGCATAACATCTACACTCGTGCTGAACGTTACGGGGCCCGTCTGATATGCATGTGGAAAATTCCTGGCGGTGGAGAGTCACTGGGAAATACTTTCCTTTATAGTCACCGATGTATTTTCTGCTACGAGACAATGTCGTCCGTCAGTTCCTAGTCTGTGTCTCTCGCTGCTGCTTGGATCCTCTTACAACTGGGCTTTCCTGAGCCGCTCCATGCCCTTATTTAACTCTTGCAGATATATTTAGCTCCGCACTGCTGATACAAGTTTCTGCCAACTAAACAGTTTGAGCAAGCATGTGATAAGTGATATGTCAGTAAGAGGGGCAAATGCTCCCTGCAGCCCTGTTAGCTGTGGCCTTCTTGGAGGAATACTGTGAAGTCAGGGTGTGGCTGCTACTTTTTGGGATATTTACCATATTTTATAAACTGACGGATAAATCTTGGGGCACCAGTGCTTCATCTCGGAGATTACAGGGAGAGTCTTTAGGAATAGTTCCGTCCTTTAAGAAGTCACAAAGTCGATCTCTGATCTGTTTTCTGCTCAGACAGATTCTATTTCAGTGCAGTCACTGATCCAGCTGTTTCTGTTCAATTCTATCCATTCATTCCATTACACAATCCTTGTATGGGTTGCAGGAGGAGCTGAAGCCAGTCAAGGCAATCAATGGTGGAAGACGAATATACCCTGGACAGTTCCCAGTCCATCACAGGGCCATATATAGAGACAATCAACCAATCACGCTCAGATGTTTCAATGTGGTCAATTTAGACTGAAGAATTAGGAATATATATTGTTCCTAGGCAAACTGGAGTAGTTATGCTACGTGCTACGTGTAGATACTTGGAATGCAGTTTTGGGTCTTTATTATTAAAAACATAAATTAAAATGAAGAAGTCTGTAATCCGAAGTACAAGGGAGGCTCTGGAATGGTTTAGTGCTGCATTCCAGCCAGGGGAGTAAATTATTTCACTTTTATCGACTTAAAGACGTGCTTGTTTGTATCTGTATCTATCTGCTAAATGGAGTAAATTATTTCACTTTTATGCTTGTTTGTTTGTATCTGTATCTATCTGCTAAAAGTCTTTTTTTTGTTGTTGTTAATTCTTCCGTCTCCAGACTGTTCTGTGGTTTCTCTGCAAACAGATGAACCTCAAAGTCTCTTAACTTAGTAAAATAAACAGATGTGAGGCGAATAAGCCAACACAACAACTAAACCCAGAGCCAAATAAACTGCTGTTTGGAGATTCAGGGAACATCTGTTGCTCTTTCTGGTGTGTTCGACTCGACACATGCAGCAAGGAAATAATTGAAATTTAAAATGAGGGTCGAGAAGTAGAAATAGAAAGCTCTCTTGAAGCCAAGTTGGCCTAAACTTTGTATCTTGAGTGGAGTTGCGTCAGAGGGGGGTCCCTGGGTCTATTTCTTCTCAAAGATCATGGAAAAGCAGAGCGGGGGCCTCCAGCTCGGGCTGAGAGGCCAGGTTGTTTTCCTGAAATTCTTGAGGCATGTGCTTATGTTTTTGCAACTCACATATGGACATGGTTTTCCTGAACATGACGCCAAGCATTCCTCAAGAGGAAATCCACACTTGAAGGATTCTGCCACATAGACAAGACTGAAATGTGTCTGACAACAAGTCACGGATCACATCCCGGAGCTCGCGTTCGTTTTTCTGTGAAAAAACACGTCAAAGAAAAAGGGCTACAGATGTGGGACACGGAAAAGAAAAGTGCATTCCTGAGTGAGCGCACATGTGCACAGAAGGCAAAGAGCTGAGCTGGAGAAGAAACATGCAGCCTGAATGTGTGTCCTGTGATGCACTCAGCCATGGGGGTGGAGCTCAGACGGTCCCCCTTGTAAAACAACGGCTGCAAAATTCACAAAATGTCTGGAATTCACCGGAGTCTCACATCGTACGCCTGCCCAAACAAATCAAAGCTGCAGCCTGTGAGCACATGTGAGATTGTCAGGAGTCGACCACCTCAGCTTTTCAAAGAACAGGGGTCTGCCAAACGTTGGTCAGGGGGGAGACAGACGTGGTCATGTACAACAACAACACCACCTGACCATCAACTGATTCTATGGGATGTGATGTTTAGGACTATAAATGTCATGCTTTTATAGATAGATAGATAGATAGATAGCATTGTTACCGTTGTTAGCAGATAGATAGATAGATCAGCGTGAAACCTGGGTTTCGCATTTAGTTGAACATACCGCTGATACACTGACAGGAATTAAAGAAACACAATAAGATCTTTAACACCTTTAGGTGCTACTTAGTGAGAGATTATTTTATCGTTCCGTCTGTCACTGTGACATAGACAAACAAAGGCTTTTTTTTTTTTACAGTTGTACTACAGCACAATGTTTAAGAATCGTTCATTTACCTGCACCATTTAAAGATAGTTGTTTATTGTTGGCCCAAAGTGTCTGACTTGTTGTATAACCTTGATAATATTTGGTTTAATAAAAACTAGATCATAAACTGAGCTAAGGAGGACAGAAAAAAATAGTTGTGGCCTTGAAGAGAAAACTTCTCTTTTTAGTGGGTGAATCCAGACACCACGGTAGAAGATATATATATATGCATGGCTGACATCAAAACGCGGTGACATTCCTGAGTGAAAAGGTGCATTTTGTTTACGTGGAGTTGGCGCACACAGGATGTCAAAAACTTCTGAAGCAGTTGTTTTTAGAACACGTTGGTTCGGCAGATGGTGAAACCAGCCTCGCTTTGTTTTCAACTCTTTCGGTTCGAAGGGATCCCATCAAAGTCCCTCAGAGAAATATTTCGAACCCAAAGAACAAAGTAGCAGGTCTGCCATTAAACGCATTCTGCTCCCTACATCAAAAAGGACGCAGGCAGGCGGAACAATGACGCATCGCCATGAAATGCGCACAAACTGCGGTTTGTAGATATTTGAAAAATGACTTTCATGTTTCCCTCTGGGCAATCTTTAATTGTTTTTCATCATAGCTGCAAGATGGAATCAATTAATATCAACTTCTGAATAATAACCACTAACTATCTGTTTATACAAAGCAAGCTGATTTGGGGTCAGCATTTATGTGTACTCTTCAGGATCTTTCTAAAAATAACATAACAATGACAAGCTCGCCAACTAGTTCACACGGGAACTATACACGAGTCCTCAAAGGGGTGGATCTGTTGTTAACACAATTATTTCTCAATAAAGCTTAAATTATTAACATAATTATAATACACAGAAGACATTGTTGTTTACATTCGCTGGTTGTATGCCATACATTGGATTGTGTTACAATAGATTTTGTGTGTATGATGTCACCGCTGTGCTAGCATGTTAGGTGAGAAACACAGGTACGTATGTGAAGAATGCGAGTGCCGTCCTATCGTGCAAATCGAGTTACACCACATCGTAACAGAGTTCCAACATAAGTTGACAGGTTGGTTGTTGCGCGTCATCAACACGCAGATTTGACGTTATTTTGCGATCAGACATAAAAGTGTCACCTGAACCACTTTGCTCCCTGCAGTCAGGAGCAGTAATTAGACTTCGGTTGCCACCGTTGTCAGTCCTGTTTTGTTGCAGTTTGTTCAAGATACAACAGCACCGCGTTTAACAACGTTCAAGTTCAAGGCTGTGCTTCAGGTAACTGCGGGGCCCAGTCTTCTCCCTAAAACAAACAGGACATCAAAGACGTGTGTGCTCATGCTTCAGTGATAAATGCAGAGCAGGCTTGTGTCTGCCCTCTTTGTTTTTCTTCCCTTTGTGTTTGTGGCTGAGCAGAACGCAGACTGAGAGTCAAATGCATTCCTGTGAGGAAGAGAAAAAAAAACTTGTCCTCTTTGCATTTTTTTTTTTTTTTTTTTTGCCTTTTTCTCAGGGAGGTGGAGAGACTTTGCTTTTTAGACTGCAGTGCTCTCGCAGCAGTCTGCTCTTTCTCCAGCGAAGCACATTTGGTGGGATACTATGTGAAGGAAATGGAGAGCATAGTTGAGCAGTGAGTCACGCTGTTTACTGGTAAAAGCGAGGACCAGCGGCAGGGAATCACACACCCTCCCGATCTGACGTTTCCTGGAAACTCCCGTTGTTTCATTTGGGAGGAAGGAAAAGTACAGAGAACCTTGGAAATGGTTGGAATGACCACCGGAACGTTGGTGCAAAAGGGAGGAGAAGTCACAGAATATTTGAGCAAAATGTATTTCACGCAGTCTCCAACGCTAGGATTTAAATCAAGGTCAAGTGCAAGGTTGTATTTTACCAGGTTTTTACTACCTGGTAAATACCAGTTATGTCCAAAACATAATGGTTCTCATTAACTCTCGCCGGGACAAATATACTGCTATTATTGATTCTGTATAAACTACATTTATGTAAAGATCATTCATTACAGCCAGCCACTGAGCTGGTCCATAATAAGTGACAGCACAAACTGTGACTGTTGTACAGTGCTTGTGTTGCTGCCGGGGTGACGTTTGAGTCATCATGGAATCAGGGAGTTACCGAGGAAAAGGATGAGCAATTGAATCAGCAAATAAGCCTCAGTCATTTCTCAACAAAATAAGCAACTGACAAAGCAGAAAAATAAATAATGGCAGTAACCGGGGTACTTCTAAATATTACTTTTCCGCCTGACCAGACCATCACAAATATAGAGACAAATAACAGTTCACCTCGGTACTCACGCCTACCACCAGTCTCTAATCAACCTTATGTTTAATCCACATATTTTGGACTGGAGGAAGAACCCAGGAAAAACTCTATACAGATGAAACCAATGTTCCACCATGTGGCCAAGTACTTTATTTTCAGCCCTTAAATTCAACTGTAACCTTGTATAAAAAATTACCGATAATGAACAATCAGCCCATAATCTGCCCTCTACTTGTATTTTTTTTGCTTTGTAACTGTTAAAATCATACCACAAAACCAGGGGTTTCAATCTGGCCCACTTAATGAATTTTGAATGTAAAAAACACAAACACATGTTCGTGATGTTCTGTAAAATATTTTTAACACATGTTCGTGATGTTCTGTAAAATTTAAGTATGATTATTTTCCAATATACTACTTCTTTGCATGCAAACAAATGGGGGAAAACATGGACTTATTGTTATTTATAGGTAATTGTGTTATAATTGTGGTCTGGCCACTAGAAATCTAATCAAGCCAATTAGTTTGACAGCCTTGGTTTAGAAAATGTTGAAGCAAGTTCAAAGTTGGAAGAGCTGCAATTAAAAGCTTACGCTAACAACAAGCGAATGTTGGCAGCAGTTGGTCGGATCTGCTCTCCAACCAACACTCCACACTCTGCTCCTGCTGTTTGTCTTATTCCAACTTCCGACTGATTAATCACAGCGCTTTAAAACTAAATGTATTACATGAACTTGCAAAACAGTTTCCCCGACTTTAAATTTGACAACTCATAACCCTTGACCCCATCAGGGAAGAGAGAAGGAGCTTTATGTGCTGTGCACACGGTACCTTTAAAAAGCCTCCGGGCCACCACTTGAGCCCCAGACTCTGCCTCCCTGCCGACAAATGGCCCTACTGTCAGACAGTCACTTTTCATGGACCGACCACAGACCTGTTGACACATTCTCCTTCGGAATGCCTTGTGCAATACCGGGCTGCGTTGAATCCACACTGACTCTTCATATTTTTCCAGTAAAAAGAGCAAAACATCAACCATGTTCCCTGTGAGTCATCACACCACTGACCACAGCTATTCCACTTTCACAAAACTTCACCAGCGAAAAAAAAACAAAAAACGCTCTGCATTCTGCAGCCTTTCATTAATCACTGCTGGCTGGCTAACCAGTGGAAATGAGAAATCCTAGCTGCTGAAGCGCACATCGTCCAACTACATCCTGTGGCTGCAGGTGAAATTTCATCCGGTGTGTCCTGTCATTGTCACACACACACACACACACACACAGGTGTGCCCGCAGAATAGTGACTCAGCCAGTCTAATTTCCCCACTTCTGAAGGAGGAATCATCGCTGCGGAGATGTGACCACATGTTAACCTTATGACAAGTGGACTGCGCTGACGTTCCCGCCAATACTGTCTGTCTGTCTCCCTGGAAGCAGCGAAAGTTGCACACCAGATACAAGAATGAATCAGGCTGAATAGAAGCCTCGCACACGCAAATCTGTGGCTATCAAAGTGGAACGAGTTACTCACACGCACAAGATTTTCCAACTGTTCATCACAAGCACTATTTATCCGACGGCTGAGACAACAAACTAAAATATAGTCAAATATGTTCTAAAGGTACATTTCATTTTTGTGTAAATATTTATAATTTCAACTTATTTTCAGTTTTTAACACATAGAAAAACATACTGTAACTAAAAAGAAAAAGGATAAATGCCGGAAGGATAGCCATAGTTAGGAAGTAGAAGATAACCCTAATCATTTCCCAAACTTACTGAAAAGTCCAACATATAGTACCGTCATGTTAGCCTAGTAATATTGTTAAAAATCTCAAAGGCTAACCAGGGCTAGCAATCGCCTTGAGCAAAGCAAAGGTTGTGCAATGTTGGCGAAGAACAACTCATGATAACTAAAACATGCAGATTGCTTCCTAACATATGAATAAAAACAGAAGTCTAAACAGTCTAGTCTAGAAAAAGACTCATGTCATCCAAAGCAGTTATAAACTGCATAAGCAGGTTAGCTAAGAAGGCTTACAACACACAAAACATTATTCTAAGAATTAGCATGAAAACCTGTTGGGGTTTTTTTTTTTTACATTTGTTTTTCATCAAAAATTGACCTAGTTTGGCCGTAGATAAGACAACGTCTTTGCAGACTGATTTATTGTGTGTGGAAACATGCACTCTTCCTGCTCCTGCTTGTTGCTGCTCTTGGAGGGCCACTCAGTGCTGGTGGTCTGACTCCAACTCTTGCCCTTTGTCCCACATGTCTAAAATGCAGACCACGTGTTGCCTTCCAATGTCAAAGCATGGCTGATGTTTCTTTTAGGTGGCTTTGAAGTGCCGAGAACCTGAACGAAATGCATTTGATTTTAAATCGATTTCAATCAAACGCAATCTATTTAAAGCCCACTTGAGGCACTAAGACATAGATTATAAATAAGCAACAACAAAAAAAAAATTATGGTGATTTTATGACTCATTATGTTTTTATGACTCATAGTCCATGAAATTAAAAAAAGGAACAAAAATGTTATATATATAAATAAAACAGGAACTACATTATAGAGGCTTGAAAATGGTCTAAAATGTAACATATTCAAAAAAGCTCATTCAGCAACAGGTTATAGATATAGTGGCCATTTAGTCAACAACTCATCAAATATTTTTTGAATCTTTTTATAGCATGTTAAAAGTGTAAAAAAAAATGTGAGTTAAAACGATAGTTATAAACAACAGCAAAAATCTTTAAAGTCTAACTTTAATCTTGAAATTCTAAAGAGAAAAAGTGAGAATTCTGACTATGACTGACTTCAAAGCCATTATGTTAGAAAAACAGAACAATCATAAAGTCAAGAGTTCTGGGGGGGAAAGGGTCAAAATTGTTAGATTTAATCTTTTTTCTCTCTCTCTCCAAAAATCTCAAATATTTATTTCAAAGAAAATGTTAACGATTTAGACCTTTACTGAAAGTAAAAGAAAGAAGAAAGAAAGAGTCATGACTGACTTCAAAGTAAGAGTCCTGCCCACATTCACCACAAACATGTGTTTATTAAGTTATTCCATTATTTATGTGGAACTTCTTTAGGCTTAACTTCTTTAATTCGGTCATGTAAGGTTTAGGAAAGTTACAGTAAATGTGTGTTTTTGTAAAAATGTGTGGAATTTAAAAGGAATTTCCTGCCAGTCTTAACTTAATGTGACTTAAACTAGCAATAAAAAATAAAGACAACCGGTTGCTTCAACTCTGAGATACTTTTACTCCACCACAGCACGTGTGCCAAACATGTCAACATAACACTCGGCTTAAACTGCTATTTCTGCTGGTGAAGATGAGTGGTGACGGTGTGAAAATATTTTTTTTTTTAATGTCTCAGTTCTGTAATATAAGAATGTACCGGCCAGGAGTTGAGGCTCCAGAAAGTCAAGAACATCCAAGTCAGCCTTTTGAAAACGGAAATAATCTCACCTCTGTGGACTGCCTTCCAGCTCCGGAGCGAGGGTAATGATGGAGACGGAGAAGTAAAAAAGTCACAGCGGCGGCGGCGGCGGCGCTTGTTGTTGTAGTAGACTTAGTTTTCCCCCTGGTCACCGTCGCACAGTCTGTCTTCTAGTCACAGCAGAGTTTTTGGGTCAGACGTGTCTCCGGCAGCGGCAGCAGCAGCGGCGGTGTCTCCTCCTCGCACTCGTCACTGAAAATACATTAAAAAAAAAAATCCTCTACAAAACAGGGGCAATGTACCAACATTCCACGCTCTGCTTCCGCAAGCGCTTACGTCACTGGCTCCTCGTGACCGCCCCCTCCATTCATGAAAACAACTTTGTGCTGACGTAAGTCTGTGGAGGAGGTGAGAGGCGGGAGGCGTGGGGGAGGCGTGGGGGGAAGGGGGGGGGCGGTGAGAGGCCATAAATAGAAGACAGATACCACAACTGGCTTTTTGCTTACTTTACAAAAGGCTTCTTAAAAAAGTTCTAAAGTTTTTACAGTTTGTGCTGTGCTGTTAACTTTTCCATTTGTTTTTATTTACCTCAGGACCAAATACACCTGGGTACTCAAGTACCTCAAGTACTTGTGTGTGTGTATACACTTGAGTATGTTTCAACTTCTCTTATGCATTTTATTCCAAACACACCAGCAGTGTTGAATCAATTTATGCAACACTAAAATCATTGCCACACCAGACGACAAGTCCAGACTTCAAAACCAGTAGTAAAAACAAAGTGTTTCACGCGAGATAAGATAACGATAACGTATAGTTGCACATGTTACAGCTTAGAATCATTGAAAATGATCCGCTATGGCTTTAAATCGGCCAGAAGGACCGCAAACGAGACGACCTAGGTGCTAGCAAAACAGAGGTAAGGCGACGATAACGGCGTGTAGTGTAAGTCAGTAGATAAAAATGTCAGACGTGGCCCAGAAATAGCTTCACCGTAAGTTACCCAAGACGGTTTCAAAGTAAAAGATAAAACAGAGCGCAAGATTGTACAATCACAGTGACCCAAAGTTAAGAGTTGTTAAAGGTTTGTAAAATAAGTACAAAACAACTAAACAAACAAATAAAACGAGTAAACAAATAAATAATTAATGACAATGACTTAAAGTTAATTAGGAAGAGGTTAAATAGTTAAACAAGTCACAAGTTGAAGTTACTGAAACGTTTAAATCAGTAGTTGTTGGTTTAGAATTAAGAGATTAAGAATTCGGAGAAATGTTATTGTTTGCAACTCGGATGTTGACGCAGAGAACACTTATCTCCGAGGCTAACAATATATAGCAAACAAGCGGTCAGAGTTACCAAGAAAAAGTGCAAACAAGGCGACCCTACGGTTAAATGATGAAATGAATGCCAAAGATGAGGCCATCAGATACACCGCCGACCGGAGTCATTGTGGTTGATGTGCTAGTTATTTATGAGACAGCCCTATCTGTGCATCATAAATGTCCCCCAGTTATATTTACACACTAAAAAGATAAGTCTAGTTTGTCTTCTCTCAGACTTGTATTCATCCTGATTTTTTTTTTCACCTTTTCAATAATGTAATGAGGGTTCAGTTCTGGACAGCAGACTCTTTTTGCCAACCATTTGAGTGGAGTCACTCACTGTTGGAAAATGCTCTAATGCAATTGGTCAATCAAGTCGACACACAGGATATTATTATATTATAGTCCCGCAAATCCCATCACTTTTGAACTCGCCCTCACCTAAATAATAATACTGAGCACATAACCATGATGGGAAATATACTTACCTGAAATTCTTGTAATTATCATCAACATTTTTTTCTTTTTTCTTTGCTATTTCACATTCATAGAGAGCGGACTAGGTGGAATTAAGTCAATACAGACTTGTTTGAACAATGAAATCACATGACCTAATGTGACTGATAGTGATAAAACAGTCAAAAAGTGACAGGGAATCAGTTTAAACATCCTGTTGACGGTTGTGAAGGAGCACTTATTTTATCATATGTACAGTATATGGATAATTGTGTTACCCAAATAGGTGACAAACAAGTAAAAATACACACAGCAGATTTCTAAAAGTGCAAAGAAAAGAAAACCCCACAATGAAAAGCTTTTAACAGTCAAGGCATAAACCAGCCGCTTTCATAGACGCCTTCCCTACAACTTTCCTCCTCACACTGCTTCTTTTATGGTCAGGTCTGTGCTACAAGGTATTCAAAAATGTGTATTAGTTGAGACAGAACCTCCTCCTCCTCCTTCTCCACCCTCTGCTAAGTTGGGAGCAGCAGCGGCATTCCATTCCTGAGGAAAGTATGTAGTGTAGTAGTCCAGCAGTCACAGGATTTTTCTTATTTTAACTGCACTGCTGCCGTCACAGGTTATCCTGGGTAATTAAGCTCTGGATGGAAATATGTTAAGTCAGAAGCCTTTTTAAGTCCTTCAGCCTTGTATGCCGGCTGGGGTCTCCCGGTTCGTTTATCCCTGTGGGCTGTAAAACAGCCTTGAGGTTGCTTCGCATTGTTAGAAGTCATCGACTAAAAAACAAATGTGGGATGGAACTATAAACACTGTGGGTGACAAAATTCAGACGAGACAATTGAAAAGACATAAAAAGAAAACGAAAAGTCTCCTTAGATATTTAGCTGACTAGACCAAGATTATGTGAAATAATGTGATTTATGTTTCCTAGCAATCCAGTGTATATGTATTTAATCTCTGACACGTTATATAAAGATAGTTACGGTTTTGGCGCGGGGGCGTTTGAGGTATAGTGTCAGTGTGATCCATACAGCATATGGCAGCCTCTTTAGAAGGAAGTCGGGCCATGATTTATGCATTGTTTTGAGGTCAACGGGGACAGACAAAACTGGTTGTGGGAGGCCTGACTGAAAAAAAAAAGTTCCTTCTCTTTGCTCTCCATAATTCACCGAAAGAAAAACTTTAAATCTACATGTCAGACTGGAGTAAACTGAAAAGCAACAGGGGAGTGTGCAAATATTAGCCAAAATTCCTAAAGAGGAAGTAGTTCCATTAATCCAGACGGTGGTAAAGGTCAGCCAAAAAACAGTTTAAATATAAGAAGAATTGCACAAAAGAAAACATATCTCAGAAATACAAAAATAATGAAAAATTAAAGCCCCCAAAAGACAGTTTCTGTTAGCAACAAAATTAATACCGGAAGGATAGCACAAATAAGGAAAAGTATTAGCCAATGACTATATAAGGTTACTATAAGGACAGGGGCCAAAAAGCTCACAAATGAAACAAATATGTAAAAACAAAAATACCTCAGAGTGAGGGAGTCAGAATTAGCCAAAAAAAAAAAAAGTAACTGCAGAAATAGATCACAAGTTTAAATGGATGATTTTGTAAACATAAAGAAAGTCAAGCTAAGTCGGCTAAATGATTTTAGTTAAGAGATTATTAAGTAAATTGCCAAGAACAGTCCAGCAATAGCTTAAATGGGAATTATTATTAAGTAAATTCCCAAGAACAGTCCAGCAATAGCTTAAATAAAAAAAACTCTGCTACCTTAGCCAATCATTATATTTTCTAAGGCTAGCCTTAGTACAATTAACCTTAGCTTCTGTGACAAACTTAGCCAAAGTGAACCACCAAAATATCATGAACCTGTATTTTACATGGTTATATATTTGAGTATTGCACCATTCTTAAGTACTTTACTGCCACTCCTGATTTCCTCAAACATTAACAGCTCCCTTCTGGTGAAGCCGTCTGAATTAGCCCCATAAATTACTCATGATGCGTGGTTTTAATGACCGGACAAAATATAGAATTTGCCAAAACCGAAGCCATTTTGTCTACCAAAATTCCACCTCAACGTTTTTGAAAGTTGACCATTTTAGGACAAAAGCAACTTTAGCCTTTGGGTCACCTTTCTATTCCGTGGTGGTTTTGCTGTAATGGTGTTGCGTAATGTTTAGCAGCCATAGAGATAAAAGAGGAAACAGAGACACCCTCAAGGTTCACACACACTGTCTCAAACATGATGTAATGTTAATGACGTGCTAAAGTACATCATAAATGTTGAGTAAGATTTTCATTGACTATATGACTGGTGCCAGAACATTTCCCAAACCGTTTTCAGATGTGTTCCTGTTGATAGGTCTTTTTTTCTTTTTCTCCACAGCGATGGTGTCAGACAGACAACAGTACGTATTGACTTTTCTGACTCACACATGGAAGAATCCTTTGTGCAAACCACAACGTTCCGTTTCCAGCTTAACAGACCACCAGAGACCTTATCTCTCCGACCTCGACTCTGCACCAGATCCCAAGATTGTGTTAAATTTAGTTTTATTGGCAGGACTTGAGAACAACATTTCTACATACAAATATATATTAAATATTCTGCAGTTTATAATAAATTGAATGCTGTAAAAAAAAAACGTGGTCCTGGTTATTGGCACTGAGTCATACTTAAACGAACTGAAATTAGATCTTGTTGTATGAGTCATATGTTCTAGTTAGGTCGAACTAGTTTAAAGGAGACTCAATGGTAGTTTGAAAAAAAAAGATTATAATAGATGACAGGAAACAACAATGAGCTTACAGCTACAAGTTAGCCACAACTATAGTCATACCAGCTAAACTGATTAATATATGGGGCTACATAAGTACAAGGTAAATAAAAATGCTATAAAGTGTCTATAAATTAAGCAAGCATAGCCATGGTGCAGCTGAGAATTGGCATAGTTAGCAAAAACGGTAGCTAAGCTAATCTGATAGCTGGGGTTACAGTCATTAGTGACAATGAAATAAATACTAAAATCAGCGAGAAAACATTGACATGATAGTCTAATGTTACATAAGTTACCAAAAATACATACAGAGCTAACACAGCTAAGTTCACAACCAGAGAACATACACTACAGTAATATAAAATAAAATACACAGAAATATAAAACACATAGTCCGAATATTGTAAAACATATCCAAAATGTGTCAGAAGTTAAGGCTGGTATAAAAAGCAGAAGGAAAGACTTTCTGGTTGTCGTCGATTTCATTTGTTTGTTTGTTTCTGTTGCGTGTTTTCAACAAATGCTGACATGAACTCTCTGGAGAATGAGCTCACTTATTTTATGTCAGTCAGACTTTCAGCTGCTCGCTCACTTCCACACAGCCCCGTTACTGTCCGTCTGTGCCAGCGCTGTCCACACATGACCTGTATTACAAACAATGTGGCAAGAAAGTGTAGCGTGTGCTACAGAGTGGGCCCGGGTTTTGGTTAGATCAGCGTGCTGTGGGGTCTGCACTCTTGCAGGTCGGTTTTGGATTACAGGAAGTAACACTGACTCACTAATCTCGTTTCTTTTAAACTCAGACCGTTGAAGTCGGAAATTTGATCGCGTACAAAGACCCCCCTCCAGCCCCCGTAGTACTCAGATCACTTTCCTTCCTTCCATGCGCTCCAAAATAATCCCTGAGTAAAAAGGGGTTGTGGAACCTGCAAAGCCGAAGTTGTGATAATAACAACACACACTTTGACGTTTAAAGTGGTCACTTATTGTTTCCCAAAGACGTTTTACGAATTTCTACAGACTTGGATCGCGCAGGTGTGTGACGTTTAAAATATGGGTCCCCAGAAAAAAAAGTTTGGGAAACACTAACTTAGACAGCCCACCAAACTGTCCAAACATGAGAAAATATCACGTGGTCTCCACTACCAGAGATATTTTTGAGACTTAAAGAACTACCAATAATCATCTGCATTTATGACTCTGTTTGATCCTCACCATTTTTCAATCCGGTCATGGGCCGGATTGGGCGGTTCGGTGGGCCGCATTCAGGACATGTGCTATAGAGAGACAAATGGATATAGTGGACCTATCAACCTTTACCGACCGGTAATACCACGCCATCGTTGAAGGATCAATACATTTTCAAAATAAAACATCTTTCAGACTTTCTTCTGTTAGCATCAGAGTCTGAATGACCTGTCGTTTTGAAACATTTACAGTTTATCTTTGAAAGAAAAAAGTAAAGGGACATTTTGAAACATTTACAGGTTATCTTTGAAAGAAAATAGTAAAGGGATATGACTGGATTCTTTTTGATTGAACTAAATTAGTGAAACTGAAGTACATTTTTTCACCGTGTCCCTCAAATGACCTACGGACCAGCATCGGTCCCCGAACCGGGGGTGGGGGACCCCTGTTTTACAGATTTAATTTGAAAAACCAGCGACCTCGTTCGACTGATTTCCTCAGAATGTGTTTGATGTGAAAACACTTGTACCTACGCAACGGAGCCCAGACACACACCAGAGGAATACTGCAGTTACAGCACTAATGGCAGCAGCTGAACTAGGGCCAAAAAAATCCTCCTCATCAGTAAAGATCTCTGCAACGACTCCAACATTCTGAAAGCCTGCCATGAAACAGCCGGGGAGGGTTTGGGAGGGGGGGTTCAAAGTCAGTGGGGCCTGTTGGTTAGATATTCGCTCATTTTCTATATTTGATACTTATGTCAAAAGTTAAGTCATGTGGGAAGAATGAACAAAATCACTGGCTTTGACCAAAGGCGGGACTAAATGTGGATCTTATGAAGCCTGGCGAAGTTCTGCCAATGCTCTCCCACTCTGCTTGCTGTAAAGTTTTAGACAAACTTAAAGAAAGACAAGTACCATCAGAATCAAAATCCACACACTGTAATTCCTCAAACGCCTTTTATCCGTGTGTGTGTGTGTGCGTGCGTGTGAGTAATTCAAACGCCTTTTATCCGTGTGTGTACGGGTGTGTGTGTGTGTGTGCAGGCGTGCGTGTGACTCATCATGACTCTAAGATTCCTGACTTTCTTCATGACTTCATCCTGAAACTATTTGCATCTCGTTGCCTTCTGGCACTGATCTGACTCCTCTCTCTACTTCGCAGCTGCCGTTTCAGTTTGTTTTATTTCCCACCTGCACCTTTTTTTTTTCTTTTGAGAAACGGTGAGGCATGTATAGGTTTCCTTGACTTTTGTAAACTAACTTTTATAAAACATTTGTCGACATAGTCTAAAACCTTTTTTTTTTTTTTCAGAAGTAAAACAGTTTGCCCAAAATATGTTACAAGTGGCTAAAGGCACATGACATGTTGAGTCAGAATAGAATTAAATGTTGGTCCATGCTTTTGGTCTGGGCGGTTGTTTTTGATGTTTTTCTGAAATAAGACAACTGAATGATGTATGTGCAGATTTATATTAAGTCTCCTTCATTTCCACCTTAAATATGCAACGTGGTTTCCTTAAATAAATATAAACTCTGACGAGCTTTCAGTTCGGTAAAATACAGTCTGCGCTGCCATCTACTGGTAAAAGGTATGAATTGTCCGATTTGCTATGTATGACACAACAAAAGTGTTCTGTCATATATGTGTATGTATATATGTGTATAATAAACACGAATAAAGCTAAAGTTGCCCGAAAAATCTTACTAAATATAGGGGGAAACTTATACTAAATAAATAAGAGGCATATCACAATGACTGCGATGTCTAAAAATGTAAATAATGATTGTAATTACATAACAAAGTCCAATATAGCTTAAGGTAAGGTATTAAGGTATTAGCTTCATTAACCAAAGTTAACAAGTTAATATAGATGATAATAATAATAATAATAATAATAATAATAATAATAATAATAATAATAATAATAATAATTGAAGTTAGCGACCATGTTTAAACCAACCCTGAATTTGTTTATGAGGTCCAAGTAAAACAACTAATAAGCAGTACAAGCAATACAGCTGATTCTATACTAGATGGCGCCGTTCGCGTCATGGCCAGTGAAATGAAGCCGAAGAAGAAGACGAGGCTGAAGATAACATGGCTGCTACGATGAAGTTATGAATCGTTTAAACGTTGCGTTTTTGTTACAAGGGCAGCGTCTTGATTGAAAACGAAGGAAAATGAACAAATGAGATGATTATTATGACACAAGTTTAGTATGAAGCTTGATATGCTTACGTGAGCGGTTATATTTTCATCGTAAGTCAAGACAATGCTAGCTGCCGTGATGGTTAGAATTATGTGTTAACATATATTCTAATTCTGGTCCTTGTTTGTGTTTTTTTTTTTTCAAACAGCTTACATTGAAAAACCCATTACATCTTGTATAACTCCGGTTTAGAAAACATGAATCGCCCAAAGCAAACGGCTCTGCGGAGACCTAGTGCAGCAAAACCATCAGGTATGGCTGTCTTTTCTTTTTATAATTTCACCTTAACTTGGTCATTTCAACATATTACTAAGTAATTCGTGTAATTCCATATCAACATTTAAAATTGAATGCTTTAAAATCGCTTTGTATTTTTTTTATAAAGTTAAAAACGATGGTTTAAAAAAACCGTGAATGTCATTGTTGCTATTTGCTGCACACGTTTGTCAGACAAAACTCTGTGGCTGACAGTGTTACTTTTACAAATTTTAACTAGCATTTTGATAAATATTGTAACGTTAGGACTATCTATCTGGTACTGCTATGGAGAGATGCAATTTAACTTAAATTTGACTTGAGTTAAATTTAGCTAACGCCCAAGGGCTTCCAATTCTAACAGAATCAATAAACCAAAATAATAAACCTAACAAACATAGTAATTAAAGCCTTTTTTTAAAAAACATTGCTTAAAACAGGTTACTCGCACAACAAAACATGTCTACCCAGGGAAGTTATTTTTTATATTTATGATCTATAATAAAATAGCAAATCTATTATAATATCTAATAATAATATATGTATATAATATAGAAAAGGTATTTTAATAAACAGTTTTATCTTAAAAACAAACATAACCAACATTTAGGATGTTAAAATAGGGATTTTAAAATAGTCCTTAATTAGTGGATAGATAGATATTTGAATAGATAATAAAAGAGCTGCAATGATAATGAAAAAAACCCTGAGATTTTAAGTTTATGATTTTTATTTTGTAGGTCACCCACCACCAGGGGACTTCATTGCCCTGGGATCGAAGAGCCAGGGCGGGGAACCCAAAGTTCCCGCTGTCCTCCTGAAACCCGCAGCGGCAGGTTTACCAGTTGACCGTAAGAGAGAGACGTCGTCCACTCTGCCCTCATCATCAGGTCTGTCTAGTCTCACCAAGCGTCCCAAATCATCAACCACTCCTCCGGTCAGCTCCCTGGGAAGACTGGCTGATGCAGCTGCTGTGGATAAGAGGGCTATATCCCCCTCCATTAAAGAGCCTTCAGTGGTGCCCATTGAAGGTCTGCGTTTATGAAATATTTTAAACCAAGTTTGTCACCAAAAGCTGTGAGTGTTCAAATCAGCTGAAGACATTTTATTTTTCTCCACCAGTGTCGCCAGTTGTGCTGCTGGATGAGATCGAAGCTGCCGAGTCGGAAGGAAACGATGACCGCGTCGAGGCGCTGCTGTGTGGAGCCGCGAGTCAGCTCAAGATGAACAGAGCCAAACCTGACATCACTCTGTACCTCAGTCTCATGTTCCTGGCCAAGATCAAGCCAAATGTTTTTGCAACTGAAGGAATCATTGAGGTGAGAAAGACGTCTTCAGGAGTCATTTGACACAGAGTTAATAAGTTAGTGAGTTAAGAGCTGGGCGTTACAGTCCCATATATAATGATACATTTAAAATTATTGCAGGTGGTCTTATCTTTACCACCTGGACAGCAGTCAGCAGTTACTGGCTACAAAGCCTCTAGACCAGGGGTGTCAAACATAAGGCCCGCGGGCCAAACCAGTCTCCTAGGGGGTTCAATTTGGCTCGCTTGATCTAAGGCCCGCGGGCCAAACCAGTCTGCTAGGGGGTTCAATTTGGCTCGCTTGATGAATTTTGAAAGCAAAAAAAGCACAAACACTGATGTTTTGTAAAATTATATTTCATTAAATGAATGAATGAATATTTTACAATATACTTATACTACAAACAGGGGAATTATGGGCTTATACTTATTAATAGATAATTATGTGATGATTGTCCTGTCTTGTACTGGGGTTTTTTTTTTTACTGCAGTGTCAACATTGTAAAACTATGTCTGCACTTGAACATAAATAATCCTCTGAGACAACAGCTAAATCTTTGTACTGACTCTCACCAGGCCCTGTGCAGCCTCCTGCGTCGGGATGCATCCATCAACTTCAAAGCCAAAGGAAACAGCCTGGTGTCCGTTCTTGCTTGCAATCTGCTGATGGCAGCCTATGAAGAGGACGAGAACTGGCCAAAGATTTTTGTGAAAGTGAGGAAACATTTTGTTTTGTTTGTTTTGTTTCCTTCAACGTTTGATGCTTTATGGATAATGATTTGTGTATATCTCTGAGAGCAGCATTACCTTTACGTTAAGGTACAGATTTGGATAAAAACTTTTTAATGGTCCTGGTTCTAGTTCAGTGAACTAAAATGATGTGGTTAAATACAGTTCTTTAAAAATCATATCAAAAGATAATTGGGTTTTTTAAACACATTTTCCTTAAAAAAAAAAAAAAAAAATCAGACCTAAAGTATGCAATGGAAAACAGTACAGTTTTAAGATAAAAACCTGACATCTTACCACTGCAACTGTCTTGAAGCACTTTTTCCACCATATTCCAAAAGAGTTTAAAAACCGTTGGCCGTTTAAGGACAGTGGACTCATTATCGTGTTCTAGAAAGTTTTGTGAGTTTTAGTTTAGGTCATGTTATACTACTGTAAGTCACCATCAGAAGATGTTAGGCTGTGTTAATTGGGCTCAAGTACGAGAGAGGAAAAAAACAACACAGAAACAAAGAATAATTAGAAAAAGGCAACAGTGTGGCTGGGAAAAATAGTAGTTTCTTCAGAGCTGATAGCAGAAGATTTATTTGAAGATGACCTAAAAGTCATGCATAAAGGCTAAAATGCTACAATGCTTTTAACCTTCTATGCTATCTACTAGGAAAATGCACTGGTATTCCAGGGGAAAGGCAGAATAATATAATAATAATATAAATTAAATCATTTAATTTGGACAAGTTTTGGACAATGCCTGGTCTAGACTCTACACCAGGGGTGACAAACATAAGGCCCGCGGACCAAAACCGGGTTTCAATCCGGCCTGCTTGATGAATTTTTTTTTAACATAAAAACGCACAAACACACAATGTTTTGTATAATTATATTTCATTAAATACAAATATTTTCTAATATAAATATATTTGCATGGAAACTAAGGGGGAAACATGGACTTATGTTGTGATTGGTGGTCCAGCCCATTTGACAAAAATGAGTTTGACACCCCTGCTCTACACCAAAACCAGGAATGACCGGGGAATGTAAAATCCATTTTTACCATACCACAATATGGTTGCCCAATATGGGTTGGTTGTAACTGGAAGACTGTACAGATGAAACTACTCCATAACTTATTATGACACTGACAAAAGCAATCGATTTTTATTTATTCAATATTACAAATATTGATTTTTAAAATTACTCTTCTAACAGTGAACTGTGTTTTTCAGGTGTACATTGAGGACTCTTTGGGGGAGAGAATCTGGGTGGACAGCTCTCACTGTAAGACCTTTGTGGACAACATCCAGACTGCTTTCAGTACAAAGATGCCGCCAAAAAGTATGCTCCTGCAGACTGACACAAGCCGCTCGGGTGGAGACCTGAGTGCAGGTAAACATATTTACAACCAAAAGTTTTGAAAATGTCTAAGTTAACATGACAAGTTTTGAAGAATAATCATTTACAACAAGTTACAAGTTTTGAAAATGTCTATGTTAACATGACAAGTTTTGAAGAATAATGCACTTTTTTGGCTTCTAGGGAGCAGCCCACACCCGTCAACACCTGATGAAGATGACAGTCAGACTGAACTGCTGATAGCAGAGGAGAAACTCAGCCCTGAGGACGAGGGTCAGGTGATGCCGAGGTATGAAAACTGATCACGTTTATGCTGCAGCCATAAACAAAGAACTTTAGTAAATTATTGATTATTTTAAAACGTCTTTATTTTCTCCACAACACTGAAGGTATGAAGAACTGGCTGAAAGCGTGGAGGACTACGTGCTGGATGTCCTCAGAGATCAGTTGAACCGCAGGCAGCCCATGGACAACGTGTCTCGAAATCTGCTCCGTCTTCTCACAGCCACATGTGGCTACAAAGAGGCACGACTCATGGCTGTGCAGAGGCTGGAGATGTGGCTTCAGAACCCAAAGGTAATAAGTCAAAATGTCCCTGGAGGAAAGGATATACAAGTATTCCTCTTGACTTTAAAAATGACCAAAATGCTGAGGACGAGGATTTTATTTCCATAACTAAGCAGCCCCTAACATCTAACACTTCATTCAATCTCTGTGTGCACTAGCTGACCCGACCGGCCCAGGACCTTCTCATGTCCCTGTGTATGAACTGCAACACCCACGGCGGTGATGACATGGAGGTGATCTCCAACCTGATCAAGATCCGACTCAAACCCAAAGTCCTCCTCAACCACTACATGCTGTGTGTCAGGTCCTTGTCGCACTTCTCTCTAATGTCTGTCCTGTGTCGCACTCCGGTGAATTGTGCTAAGTGGTTCTTTAACTGTGACTCTCCAGGGAGCTGCTGAATGCCCACAGAGACAATCTCGCCACAATGGTGAAGCTGGTGATCTTTAATGAGCTGTCCAACGCCAGAAATCCAAACAACATGCAGGTTCTTCACACGGTGCTGCAGCACAGCCCAGAGCAGGCCCCGAAGGTAAAAGCAAGAAACCGCGACACACTAATCCTCATCAACGTTTTATTTTATTTCATTTTATTCCTGTCTTCTCTTTGTCTGTAGTTTCTGGCCATGGTGTTCCAGGACCTGCTAACCAACAAGGACGATTACCTCCGCGCCTCGAGAGCTTTGCTGAGAGAGATCATCAAACAGACCAAGCATGAGATTAACTTTCAGTCCTTCTGCTTCGGTTTAATGCAGGAGAGAAAGGAGACCAGCTACGTGGACATGGAGTTTAAAGTGAGAAAACACCGAAACAGCTCAGAGTTTTCAGATCTTTTCCAGACTTGATTTGAATCTTCATTTTTTGTTTTTCCTCTTGTTTCTCTCGAAGGAGCGTTTTGTTATCCAGGTGACAGATTTACTGACGGTCTCCATGATGCTGGGCATCACTGCTCAGGTGAAAGAAGCCGGTATCGCGTGGGATAAAGGGGAGAAGAAGAGTAAGTATTGTATTCTTTTCCTTCAGTAACGTCATTATTACCAGTCTTCATCATTATCCTGTGTGAGGAGGCATCGTTTGACGAAAAACGTCTGTGGTTTGTGCCAGACCTGGAAGTTCTGAGGTCCTTCCAGAATCAGATTGCTGCCATACAGAGAGATGCAGTGTGGTGGCTTCACACTGTGGTTCCCACCATCAGCAAAGTTGGTCCCAAAGACTATGTTCACTGGTCAGTAACATCTAATTTATCCATAAATTGTTAACATTGTGATTTGATGTGAGATCTTTAGGCTGGCACCTGTAGTACTGTTGTAGGCCATTAGGGCTGGTTGATGGCGCTGTTTGACAGAATTATATCTTTTATGACTATAATTTGGCCCAGATTCCAAAAATGTGCACTACTGAAATAAACCAATAATATTTCTGTATATTTTCTAACATAATCAATATCTCTCATGTCTGCAGCCTTCACAAGGTGCTGTTCACGGAGCAACCTGAGACGTATTACAAGTGGGACAACTGGCCTCCAGAAAGCGACAGGAAGTGGGTTTTATGCCTGTGTTTTTTTTTTCTATTATTAGAGATTATAAGATTATATAATGAAAAATAACATCTATCTTCTCATCCCTAGTTTCTTTCTTCGCCTCTGCTCTGAGGTTCCCCTACTGGAGGACACACTGATGCGCATCTTGGTAATCGGACTGTCCCGTGACCTACCACTGGGCCCAGCAGATGCCATGGAGCTGGCAGATCACCTGGTTAAGAGGGCCGCAGGAGTTCAGTCAGATGGTAGTTGAGTATTGTAGCCTGGAAAAGGTGTCGGTGTTGTGTAATTATAAAGCACGGGCAACGAACAAATACATGAGAAGTTATTTTTAGATTTAACTTTCGTTACGTAGAGAAAGAAAACAAATGTAGAAACAGATGTAAAACATTATTTAAATGAAAATAAATAACAGAAATAAGTACAGGCGGTCCTTGACTTATGGCGGAATTTCATTCCTACGGTGCAATGTAATTTGAACTCACAGAACCAATGTCACTTACCTACACTAACACAATGGTAACATCAAAATCAAGGACATAAAAACATCAGAAGATTCTGACGTACACTTGGAAGCCAGCAGATCACCTATTGAAGGGCAAAAGTCCCCAAAACAATGTAAACAAAACTGTCTTCTGATTTCTAGATTTGGAGGTTCTAAGAGTGGAAAGGATTCAGCTCATCGACGCAGTGCTGAATCTCTGCACGTACCACCACCCCGAGAACATCCAGCTGCCCCCGGGGTACAAACTCTTGACAAAAAAATACTTTCATGTCTTCTTCAGTTTACAAAATAACTCCTAATAACATAAATAATCTTTAACTTTTAGGTACCAGCCACCGAATCTGGCGATATCCACGCTCTACTGGAAGGCATGGCTGCTGCTTCTCGTGGTGGCTGCGTTTAATCCTCAGAGGATAGGTACATTTAGGTTTATATTTCACGGCTAAAGTGGATTCCATGGCTTTGAAGTGCAGAAAATGAAACACAACCTTTCCAGGTTTTTTTTTTGTGTGTGTCTACAATTTGTTGTTTGTCAATACTTTCTTTTTTTTCCCCTAAAGGTTTAGCTGCGTGGGATGGCTATCCCACCCTAAAGATGCTCATGGAAATGGTTATGACCAAGTAAGTTAATAATAATAATAATAATAACAGCAGTTGAAACTTGTCTCATTCTTGGTCTTGTTCATCCATTAATCTCTCGCTCTCTCTTTCTCTCTTCAGTAACTACACCTACCCTCCATGCACCATCGCTGACGAGGACACAAAGACGGAGATGATCAACAGGGAGCTGCAGATCTCGCAGAGAGAGAAACAAGAGATCCTGGCCTTTGAGAGCCACCTGGCTGCAGCTTCCACCAAACAGACCATCACGGAGAGCAACAGTCTTCTCCTTTCCCAGCTCACCAGTCTGGATCCACAGTAAGATAAATCAGTAATTACAGTTTCAGGGAAGAGTACAAGATTGATACAATTGCATTGTTACTCCTGTGATTTTTTTTTTTTTTTTAGGGGACCTCCTCGTCGGCCGCCGCCACAGGTCCAGGAGCAAGTAAAAACCCTCAACCAGTCTCTGCGTCTGGGGCACCTTCTCTGTCGCAGCCGCAACCCAGACTTCCTCCTTAACATCATCCAGCGACAGGTAACGCCGGCGTCAGCGAAGCTCAGTTCTGGAGCTAAAGCTATTCAAAAGCCACTGATTAACATTGCTGTCGATATTCTGTATTCCACAGGCCTCTTCTCAGTCCATGCCATGGTTAGCTGATCTGGTTCAGTCCAGTGAGGGGTCCTTGGATGTGCTTCCAGTACAGTGCCTGTGTGAATTCCTCCTGCATGACGCTGCGGATGACAATCAGCCAATAGATGATGACGATGAAGGAGAGAGCAAAGAGCAAAGGGCTAAGAAAAGACAAGTATGTTTATTAAATGAAACTTTGTTTTTTTTTTAAAACAGTGTCTTCTAATGGAATTTACTTAATTTATTTTTTGTTTCACAATCTGACCTTTCAGAGAAAACAAAAGCAAAGACAGCTACTCGGTCGACTCCAGGATCTGTTGTTGGGTTCCAAAGCAGACGAGCAGACGACATGTGAAGTGTTGGATTATTTCCTCCGTCGTCTCAGTTCATCTCAGGTGGCGTCCCGTGTCCTTGCAATGAAGGTAATAAACTTAAAGGAACAGTCCACAGATCATTTCTAGAAACATGAGCGAATGAACTAATCCACATGACAAACACGTGTCCAGGGTTTGTCTCTGGTGCTGAGTGAAGGAGCATCGAAGGACGGAGAAGACCGATATCAACCAATGGAGGAAGACTCTGCGGATGCTGAGCTCCTGCCTGGTTACCAGTGGCTTCTTCAAGATCTGCCAAAGCTGCCGTTATTTGACACTGTCAGGGGAATGACGTCCACTGCTCTCCAGCAGGTTAGTGTCTGTGACATTTTACACTTTGGGAACAATAAAGTGCAACTAGGTAATTTGTGAAAATACAAGTAGAAGGCAGCATATCTGATGAACATCACACTCATTAAAAATGACTTCTTAATTTAACTCTCTGCTTCCTCACAGGCCATCCACATGGAAACAGATCCACAGACCATCAGTGCCTACCTCATCTACCTGTCCCAGCATGCACCGGTGGAGGAGCAGGCCGCCCATAACGACCTAGCACTGGTAAACCCCACAAATCTTTTAATTTATTTGATTAAACAAAGTTAGATTGTTTTCTAAAGCCAAAACATTGTAAATCTTTTCTCCGCGTTCTCCGCAGGATGTTGCTCGGCTGATCGTGGAACGCTCCACCATCATGAACAGCCTCTTCTGCAAACACTCGTCTCGGCCCGAGTCTGAGGCGGTGCTCTTAGCTTTTCTCTCCATCTTCTCGGCTTACATTAGAAGGATGAGGAAAACCAAGGAGGGAGAGGATCTGTACAGCTGGGTGAGTACCTTTTACCATTGAATATTTTACATTTCATAGCTGAAAAACAAATATGTATTTTGTTACTTCTCCTAAAAAAGCATAGAACTTTAAAGTTACATGTTCATAATCATTGAAGATATTTTTTTGTTTTGTTTTCAGTCTGAATCTCAGGACCAGGTGTTTCTGCGTTGGACGACAGGAGAAACCGCAACGATGCACATCCTTGTAGTTCACGCCATGGTTATACTGCTGACACTTGGTCCACCTAAAGGTACTGTACTCCTGCGGATGGATGTAAAGTATATATTTGGCCTGCAATGGGACGGAACATATTTATAAATATATTATGTCTTTTGTCTCGTGGACAGGAGAGAGCGATTTCTTCCATCTTTTGGACATTTGGTTCCCTGATAAGAAACCCCTTCCTACTGCTTTTCTGGTTGACACGTCGGAGGAGGCCCTACTGCTGCCTGATTGGTTGAAACTTAGGATGATTCGTTCAGAGGTTTCTCGACTGGTTGATGCAGGTACAAGTTCTCACTGGCCGAAAAATCTTTTTCACATTTTTTTTTCTCACACTATATGTCATGGATTAATGCATTTCTTTTTTAACAGCTCTCCAGGACCTGGAACCTCAGCAGCTGCTGCTGTTTGTGCAGTCGTTCGGTATCCCTGTATCAAGCATGAGCAAACTGCTGCAGTACTTGGACCAGGCCGTTTCCCATGATCCTCAGACGCTTGAGCAGAACATCATGGATAAACGTAAGAATCTTTTTTCAACATCTGACTTTGAAGGCAGTTTCGATGTTCACAGCAACTTACCCTGACTGTGCCCGTTTGTTTTTTCCGCTCTACAGACTACATGGCTCACCTGGTTGAAGTGCAGCATGAACGAGGTGCCACTGGGGGGCACACTTTCCATGCATTACTTAACTCCTCTCTTACTCCAAGCAGAGGTCAGTAGACGTTTTTTTTATGAATGGCTTGTGATGTGCAACTAAACTCATAATAGAACCAACTAAGAATTTAAATCAAAACTTAAATAATCAAAAGAACCATTGAAGGGGAAAAATGGGAAAAGTAATAACCACGGAAAGACACATTTCCAAACTAAAGCTATCAATTGCCTGCTCCAAGATGGAACATTCATGTGCACGTGTTTGTGTTTTAAATATTTCCCTCCTTACAGACTCTGCTGATGGGAGTAAAGTCAAGGTAACAATGGAAACACAACACAGCTCTGTGAAGATGAGAGCAGCCAGTCAACTTCCTGTCATCGGTCCTGACGATGATTTAACCGGCTTGTTGCTTCAGGTTCGGTTCTACCTATCTGACATCACTCTAATCTCTGTGGTCAATTGTTGCAACAGATTTTTTTTTTTCTATTGACCCTTTTTTTTGGACAGATTTTCCCTTTGAAGACGGATGCTCGTTGGCATGGCCCCCCTCCCAGCCAGCTCTCTTTAGCCTTGCAGCAAGCCCTGGCTAAAGAACTGATGCGAGCCAAACAGGGCCAAGTTCAACAGAGCAGTTTGGCCTTTCACCTCTTGCAGGCCATTGCGGCCTTGCTCACTTCTGCCCACGCGGGGCCAATCGTCATGTCAATGCACCACAGCCATGCCCTTTCCTGTCCGCTAATGCGTCAACTTCACCTCTATCAGGTAAAGGCTGTTGCAAAATAACGTAATATGATCATTATAAACTCTTCATGACTTTGACTGCAGTAGCATAATAAAATGAGTTAACATTTTTATTGAACAGTGTTGTAGCAGTATGATGTAACATAGCCTGAAAGGCATACTTATTACCACCTGCAGGTCAAGGAAGTGAACTGCATCTACATGTTGCCAGACAGAGAATACAATTCTAATGAAACAGAACTGTATACTTTCGCTTTAATGTTTTTTGTGTCTGCTTTTACTAGCGTCTTGTGGCCAAGGATGTTGCCTTTTCCTCCCTGTTCCTCAAAGTCGTAGTTGAGATGTTGATCTGGTTGGACAACCCAACTGTGGAGGCAGGGCCCCTGAAAACTCTGCTCAGATCTTTTGCCGGTCAGAGCTCTCATACACACAGACACAACGATGGTGAGCGTCTGAATTGTTCATCTTTTTAAATGACTCTGTGTCTCAGCACGAACAGTGAATCATGAGTGTGCTTTTTCCCTGCAGTGAGGACAGGCTTCCTTCACCTGGCTGAGGCCTTGGCCTACCGCAGGGACACTGACGTGCCACTGAGAGCTGTCATTGCTATGCTGAAGGCAGGAGACAGATGTAATGCGGAGGCAGAGCTCATTAGCAAAGGTACGTTTCAAGTTGTGCATGTTGGTGTGAATGTGATCGAATCAGTTTCTGAACTCTGTTATCTCAAGTGTTTGAGCTGTTTGAGTGGTTAGAAGACAAAACAATGTCCTTCTCTTTTAGGTCATGGCACATATGTTCCACAAATAAAATCCCACAGTCATGAAAAGTAAATGTGATGAAATATATTCATCTCCTAGTTTTAGTTTATTCTCAATTGACCTATTCTGAATAATTCATTTGAAAACCTGGGCCTGTTTAGTTGAACACATTTCTGAAATACCTGCAGAAATTGTAGAAAGACTCACTCTCTTTAGTTTTTACGACCCTCTGCTGCCCTCTAGTGAATTGTTCTGCTTATTTGCAGTCAAAAAAGAGGATGATTTTCAAACCTATTAAGTGAAATTAGATCATTTAAATTTCTTAAATTATAGATTTATTTTTTTAAGCTACACACCTAATGAATTCTCATAGCACTCAAATCACTGGTTTAGGACTTGGGAGTTATTTTTATTTTTCAGGAATATTTTATATATGCTAAGTAAATAGTGTATATATTTTTATAATGTATTATTATTATTATTATAATTATTATTATTTAATTGAAATTTTCATTGTTGTGCAGTACTACAGGGGCTCATGGAGGTCAAGTCTCCATACCTGGAGGAGCTTCTGTCTCTGTTGATGAGTGTAGGAACACAGAACGGGACGGCCGGCCCCGTAGCCATGGTGATTTCCCTGCTGCTGCAGGAGAGCGAGGAACCAGCTGTGAAAAAGGAAGTGGATTCCAAAATGTGAGCAATGCCATTTCTATTTCCCTCTGAAGTCATGCAGGAAATATTGAAATATTTGACAAGAGGTAATGACAGGAGCAGCTGTGTCTGCTGTCCGTGACCAGGTCCTTGTAAAACTGAAGCTGGATTTGGTTCAGGAACCTTTAATTGGTTTTGCAGATACATGCGTACTTTGAAAACCCTCTGAATACTTAACATTCTTCTCGGCAAAACTGTTTGAGAGCCAAGCACAGGGAGCCTGCCCACACATTGTTTTATAGTGCTGTCTGGATGTGTGAAATATTAGTGTTATTTGCTTTTGCTAATTGCCATCTAATGTTTCTAAAGTGCAGCCCCGGTGGCCAGTCGTGTTACTAAGAAAGGTTTCCTGCATTTCCTTCCTCAAAGAATAGTTACTGTGGCTAATGAGCAGAATCTAAACTTCACTTTTGTTAACGTGGCCTTGTTATTTCATGTAAGAAAAAAAACAAACATTTTTTTTAAATAACTTCAGGGTCACTCGTGTCACTAGTTTTGTTTTGAAACTCTCTTCTGGCAAATTTAAGCTATTTTAGGTCATTAACAACAGTTTTAATTAATTTTGTAAAGTCAGTGGTTTTATGTTGTTACAATTTATCACAATTAATTTGACCAAGTGGTACACCTATCTTATTAAAAATTAGAAAATTTGTGGTCAGTTTTAGCTATTTTTACTTGTTTTTTTTCTTACATTTGCTTCTGTCTTTCGGTTTCTTTGAGTGTTTTTATTTTACTTTTTAAAGCCGAGCCTGTTAAAAAGTTTGGGAAACTTGAGCGTCTCGGCCAGATTTAATATAAATTTAGTTATGTTTTGTTTTTAGTCAAGCAAAAGTTCTTACTCAGGCTGTAGATTCTAAGTTCTAAAATCTTCAGTCACACCTCATTAATGACGTACCTCTTCTCGTCAACTTTTGTCCAAAGTTCTGAGGTGACAAAGTCTGGACTTAGCTCTGGGCTGCTCGTGGACTGGCTGGAACACCTTGACCCAGAGGTGACGTCAGTGTGCCCTGAGCTTCAACAGAAGCTGCTGTTTGCTCTCAATAAGGTGAGCTGGCTTTTGAACAACATTCTGAATATATATACATATGTTTTGTTGACGTCTCTGATACATCCTTACTTACTGTCTCAACCGCTCTAGGTCCAAGGCACCCCGGCGTACAGACCGTACCTGCTGGCTCTGCTCACACATCAGTCAAACTGGCCCACTCTCCTGCCCTGCATCAGCGCTCTCCTCAGCAAGCGGCGTGACTACAAGTAAATTTATATTTCATTTTTTCTAACACGGAGTCGATGCTTCCTTTATTGTGGGATCTTGCTTTTAAATGACGCCTTAACTAACATTTACAGACTGGACCCATCATCAGCCCTGGACTTCCTGTGGGCCTGCAGCCACATCCCACGTATCTGGCAGGGCCGTGACCAGAAAATACCACAAGTGAGTTTAAAAATTTAGAAAGTGACCCCTGCGGTGAAATGTTTATGCCAACTCTGTTGATTTTTTTTTTTTTTTTTAACCCTGTGCAGAAGAAAACTGAGAAGTTTGTGCTGCGACTCAGTTCCGAGGAGCTGATCAGCCTGGTGGATTTGATTCTGTCTGAGTCAGAGCTCATCAGTCACACCAAAGAGGAACAAGATGACGAAGGCAGGGTGGACCAGGCCTGTCGCTCCCTCATACAGTCACGGCTTCCCCTCCTTCACTCCTACTGCAATGGAGACCTGGAGAACATTAAGAAAGTGTCGCAGTACCTCATCAACTGTACCGCCACGTGGGAAGACAGGTAAAATAAATTAAAAATATCTACTATATGGACAGTAGTTGAAGTAGTACTCCAAGATGTACTTTAGACGACAATTCAGGATCAATAACAGAACTATAAAAAAAGCTAATTTATAATACCTGCTACCTTCTGAGATTTCTATATCAAAGTTTCTCAATGGAAAAAAATTTATAAATAATTTAAAAAATCTTAACCCATTAAAATTTTATAAATAATTTAAAAAATCTTAACCTCAACCGCAACGTGTTTAGTTTGTGACGTGTAATTGGAATAAACTCCATCGTGCCTGTTGGATGAATGTTTAACGTACCAGCAGGCGTTTATTTTTACAACACAAGGCCAGAACCTTTTATTTTTTCTGCATATTTTCACGATCAACCCTTTTTTTTTCTTTTACCCGACAGCTTAGCTGTACTTAAAATATGTAATTCCGAAGATAATTTTGCTCGACCTTGGCCAAAGTTTCCTCATTAAAGCGCTTTAATAACCAGAGACGTATTTGTGAACACGGGGTTTGCCTCCACCGAGGGCTGCAGCCTGATCTTTGACAGGCTAAGTTAGAACAGGAATTTCACAACACCGGCGAGTTTAGAGCCTCAGCCTTAATCCTCTCGGCTTCATTATAACAAACTGAGCCTTTAAAGAGATCACAGTGTAGACGACCGGTGCTAGGTTTTAATTTCACACCAATAGACCTAATTATCGAGTTTCCCCCGGTCTACAGCGTCGTGGCTGACACAGGAAAGTTCATCTGCGCTCAGAAGGAGAATGTACTGCAATTTTCTCCCAAGTTTCTAAGCACAACGTAGCAAAGAGGAAAAAAAAAACGATTTGAGGCTAATTAGGACAAACAATACAAGGTGTTGAAATGGATGGAGCTCAGCACTGAATTTAATGAAGGATTAACGGTTGTAAATGTGACAGTTAAGTGTTGATGTCACAGGCTGGTTGACACACAGGGCCGACCACAGATGAGAAGTAGAGTTATCTTGAAATGTGAGATGTACATTTGTTAGCTACACCCTCATCGCTCAGCCAATCAACGTATGGCTGCTGAAGTTCTAACTGAGCATCAGAATTTTGAAGTGAGGTGGTTAATAAGACTAAGACTGAGGACGTGAAAATATTGTTGTCCACAAGGGGGAGCATGACAGAAAATAATTGAGAACCCCGGTCTAAGCTAACAAAAAAACTTCCAAGAAAAGTGTTCTACTAGACCAAATAAACCAAAAGAATATTGAAATCACAGTGATTATCAACTGGCGGCCCACGGGCCAACTCCGGCCTGCCGAACCTTCCAATCTGGTCCACAACTGGATTCCGAGGAAGAGTAAACAACTGAGGGCATATAATATCATTAATTTGCACCATTTATGACTTTATTTTATTTAAAAATATATTTTTTTATTTCATTTTATTTGAGTATCTGGCCCCAAAGGTCTGTACAAAAAATATTGACCCTCTGACAAAAATAGTTGGTGACCCCTGGTCTGGATAAACAAAAGTTGAAAAACCTTGTAAATAACTTAAAAAAAATGCAAAAATTACACTATGCAGAATGAAATGATCGTTCCAGATTTTACTAAAGCTTTGATTGAATTAGATCAAAATTTCAAACATATGAACTCATCTGTCTATTATCACTGCTTTAACCTGACTAAAGATCTGATTACCATTTCTAAATGTTTACATCCTTGTACTGCGCAGCCGAGCGGAGCATCTGTAACCAATTGTTGCTGCTAGTTAAACAGCTGTGAGCTTCACGACAAAATAAGTGACATCAGGGATTCGATTTCTCCCTCAGAGCCACAGCCTGTAGTAGCCGAGCCACTTTTCCCACTTTTCCTATGTTTTTGTTTTGGTCTCACAGGGCCATGAGTAAGAGATGCCAGGACCTGCTGCTGCAGATCTACTTACATTTTCCTGAGGTCATCCAGCACGTGACCCTGCCTGAGGGCACGTTCAGCAGTGGAGGGGCTGCAGACGGGAGCAGCTGCAAGGTGACTTCCTCCTCCACATTACAGTACAATTTCAAGTCTTTCAGAATTGGTTACATTATTGTGGTATAAACTCTTCAATTCAACACGGCCAGCGTTGGTTAACTGGTTTAATTTTATTCACATGCATCTTTATTTTTGTTCTCAATTTAACCAGCTTCCTTTTTTTTTTTATTTTTAACAAAACCTTTTAGCCTTTTTTAAGTATTTGATTCCTTCTTACATTTAGCTCATTTAACATGTGTTTTTGGAGTGCCTGAAAAAGAATTCTAGTAAAAATTACATTTTTTATGCTAATGGTTAGCTTATAGCAATTACTGGTCTTTAACATTTTTTGGAAACTTTTTAGACACTTTACAAATCTTTTTTCCAACTCGCTTTCTTAGTCGAAAATAATCAAATTGCTTTGTGTTTTACCAACATTTCAAAGCTTTTGGTAGCTGGTTGAAATTTTACAGCATCAAGTCAGGAAAAATGTTTAAAAGCATTTTTTCTACCCTTATTTCCATGCAAATGCCCATAATTTTTGTCAGGAAAAATGTTCAAAAGCAATTTTTCTACCCTTATTTCCATGCAAATGAGTTCGCCCATATTTGACAAACGTTTTCTTTTTTTTAAGCTGGACGTCCTCGTCCACCGCCTGGTCACTCTTCTTGCTGACATCGGAGACTCAAAGTCCGCTGAGAGCCGTGTGTCTGACGCAAACCTGGCCTGTAGGAAGTTAGCTGTGTCCCATCCTATCCTCTTACTCAGGTAGGAAAATGATGTCCCTCCTCAATCACGACTGCCTGCGGTCATTCATAATAGAATCTGTGCTCTGACCTGTTCTCCTCTGCAGACACCTCCCCATGATCAGCGGTCTGCTCCACAGTCGCATTCACCTGAACAAGCACGAGTTGAGGCAGCAAAACCACATGACCTTCTTCAGCAACATGCTGGCCATCCTGGAGCTGCTGCAGCCCCTGGTTTTTCACAGCGACCACCAGAGGGCGCTTCAGGACTGCCTTCTCTCTTTTATGAAAGTCCTTAAGGCAGGGCTGCTTCCACGTTTTTCCAAGTGTGTTACAGAACTGAGGATGACTCCAGTGTTCATGTTTGTTTGTTTGTTTTCTCCCTCGTAGAACTTTCAGACAACGCGTTCTCCGTTGATCTTCATCAACAAATTCCTGCAGTTCACTCAGAAGTACATAACGCACAACGCAGCGGCGGCCATTCCTCATCTGCAGAAGCATTCCCACATCTTACAGTCAGTAACACACGCTCTCTGACGTGGTCCGTTCTGAATGGTTTATTCTTTAGGTTTTGATGGATTCATTTTGTCTCTACCTGTAGGGGTCTGTGTGCAGAAAACCCAGACCTGGTGCAGCTGAAGTCTCTGCTCGCTGGACTCACCTTACCACTGAAAGGTTCATCTGCAGGGGTCACAGCAGAGGAAAGAGATGGTGAGCAAGCAAGTTATCTTTGTCAGCTTCCTTTGAGCATTCACAACTGCCGTTTGGCAATAACTTCACTCAGAGGTCAGAAGTTTTTTAAGTTTAAAAAAATATTTTAAATTAAATAATTTTTTATATTAATTATATTAATATAAAATTAATGTTATGTTAATATAATATTAAAATTATATAAAATTAAAACGTCTTTTCAATCAATATTTTAAACACATTAAGTTGTGAAGCAGGATGGTGCACATGTATACAGTAGTTCTAGTTTTATTTGCCAAAAAGCAAGTGCAGGGCAATCGAAACATAAAAAAACAACTTTTTTGTCAGCATTTGTAAACTGCAAGTTACGGTGAAAAGAAAATGGTAAAAAAAAAAAAAAATTTAAAGATAATAAAGATTTCCTCAGAGCAGCGTTCAGAACAGGCTGTTCTGTGTCTTTGTGGTTCCCACCACCACCACCAAAAGAAAAAGTCTTCTGTCAGCTCTGGTTTTCAGCCGGATTTTTATCTCTTTTACATTTAAAAATAATTTGTTTCTTTTCTGTACACATTAGATGACAGGTCCACCAGTTCTCTGCCCTTGGTCAACATATCTGCCTCAGTATCACTAAGTGGTGTTGACATGACCATGTACTTGAAAAAGATATCCAGAGGAGAAGCAGTGGAGGGTGAGTACCACAGCGCTGTAGAAATGTCCTCTGTTTTTAATCCTGAATCTTCGTGATCAACAAGTTTTGTTTTGAACTTCTCGGTGTGTTGTAGATGTGCTGGAAGTGTTGACGGAGGTAGATGATAAGTCGAGGAGGAGTCCGGAGATCATCCAGTACTTCATAGTGAGTCATGAACAACAGTCATGTGCAGCAGCCACTGGAGTGTAACACATCCATCATTATGAAACCCTCCTCTTTGTTTTGTGTAGAACGACCTGCAGAGACTCATGGTTTCCTCCGAGGAGCTGTGTCGGAACATGGCCTTCAATCTGGCCCTGCGCTGCATGCAGAACAACCCCTGGTGAGTTTTACAGCCCTCAGACGACTGGCGAATTGCCAAAAGTTCCTACCTGTGAAATTCACTCTCCTGTCAATCACAGCTACGGTCTGTCAGCGCGCCTTAGTTATAACTGTAACTGTTTTGTTTCCTGCGTCGCAGCCTGGCAACCGACTTCCTGCCGACGTTCATGTACTGTATGGGCAGTGGGAACTTTGATGTGGTCCAGACGGCTCTCCGGAATTTGCCAGAATACGTACTTCTTTGTCAAGGTTGGAGAAAAAAAAGCTGTTTTATCGTTGTCTTTGTTCGCAGCGATCAATGGCTGAATAACTGTATTTTCCATGTTTAAGTTGAAGCCTCCACAGATGCATGCTGGGAGATTTGATGGCATTTTAGCCTCCTGGTGCATTATGAAACAATTTTTCATAATATGTGTTCAAATAACAACATGTATCCACTTTGTTTTAGAGCAACGGTGAGTGGATGGATGGAATTGAAATAGAATTATTTGATATACAGTGCGCATCTGTTAAGACAGTGTTTCTCAACCTCAGGGTCGTGACCCCACATTTGGGTCAACCAGAATGTCTAGTAATTGATTGGAAAAAAAATACTGCTTCATTTTCTTTCTGTTTCCAGCCTAAAAAAGTCAGTTTGAAAAAGAAACAGAAATTAAATTCTTCACTGTCCGTTCTCGTATGTTAAGTTTTTGTCTCTCTTCCACAGAACATGCCGACATCCTGCTCCACAAGGCTTTTCTGGTCGGCATTTATGGACAGATCGACACCAGCTCGGTGATCTCAGAGTCCATGAAGGTTCTTCACATGGAAACGACAACATAACAAACATCTTGCAAAAAACAACGTCAACTATTCTCAGCATTCCTAGCCTAGAATATTCCTTCGTTTGATTCTGTGTAGCAGAAGTGGATTATTTTACACATGAAGCTCATCAGTGCTTCTTACTCGAGGCTTCATCCCTGAGCTGGAGGCTCCAGCAGTGGGAAAACTTCAAAGACCGGTGTTAAATCTCCCTCCTAATGAGCTACAAGGGTTATAATTAAAACTGTGAAATGACTCTTATTGCGAGAAAATGACAATTAGCGCATTAGCCGCTAAATTATTAGGTTGTTAATTGTTTTAAACAGATAATGTAACAATACATTCACCAGTAATGAGAAACTGGGACGTTGATAAGTGATGTCCAATTTATTTAAAACATTGCGAAGTTACAGAAACAGTAGGTTTAATAATTGTAATTTATGGGTAAGGAGAAGTGTATTAAATTACAAATATTAATCAGTTCAATTAAGAGGGAGATTTTGTACATTTCTGCTGTTACATTGCTTGATATCATGTTGTGTATTTAAAATGGTAAAAAAAAGTCAGATTTTTACCGTAGGCATCGTGGTTTTTAACATTTTAAAGATCACTCATGATTTTTCTTTTTGCATAAATCATATTATTTTGCTCTTCAACATTTTGATCTGATTTTGTTAGTTTTAAGTCTTGATAATAAACACACAAAAAATAATGAAAGAAAAATGATAAGCATCAGTGAAAAAAATATGTTTTTGAGGCTCTGAGTTGTTGACGTGAGAACTGAATAAAACAACATTTTGAAAATGACTGTTTTAATATAGCTGTATATGTCATCATTTTGTCATTTTGTAGTGTAAAGAAATGCAAGGAGAGTCATTTTGGTCAAAAACGTTAGTTTAAAATAACCAAAAATTACCTAGAGTTTAAAAAACTGGGCAAAAAGAGGACCACAAAGCTATTTTTTTTAAAAGAATCTTGGAATTGATTCTTTACTTCATCCAATAATGTATACAAAATAATAAACCTCAGTCGAAACTTTCCTGAAGTGTTTCATTTTTTAACATTTAACAGCTGAACTTTAAAATAGTTCTGTTAACTAAAAAAAAAAAAAACACTTAAAAAACACAAATATGCCCAAAAACCAATTACGACCTTTCAAAGAAACCTATTTCCAGCTGGAGTGTAAGGGTGTAAAAATAAATGGCTGCAGGTTTTTGTGTCTGCTCATTTCATTCCACTGGTGCTTTGATCCTGATAAAGCTGGAAACAGCTGTCAGTGCTTCGCTCGTTCGTCACTGGGCCGTAACAGACAAATTAAAGGCATCAGTGATGCACACGCTGGGATGGAACCCATTTTGCCATGAAAGTGTGAGTTGTTTTGCCCACAGAGCCTCTGACTTCATCTTCAAACCCTCTTGATGGAGTAGAGGGCTCGTTGTCAGACGATCAGTAGACGCGCTGATAACCAGGAAAGTGGACGTCCCCATTGATGGGAAATTAACCGTAGCCGTAAATGTTCAATAACTGAGAGCAAAGGTTTCTTTAATGACAGTTCGGACCTGTTGTTGGTGTTCGGTTACACTGAAGGACATGGTAATGAAGATGGGCTGTCTTTATAGACATGTCCATACTTGGATCACATGCCTGAAAAAGAAAAAGAAAAAAAAAGCGCAGCATCAAATAATGTTCTGAAAAGTGTCTGTAATAAAACACAACGATGTGGACTTGTTTTTTATTCAACACTGATATACTCACAGGTAATTGAAGACACCAAGATATTTAAAAATCTCTAATTTTAGTTCTCAATTGCATCTGCTGCCACCTAGTGGAATCAATCCTTTTGCATGTCACTGCTGCATAAACAAATATTAATCATTTGCCCTTTCTTCCTTTCCATGTACCTAATTTATATTAAATTTATTTATTGAACATTTCAGTATATCTTACAAAGATGCATCTTAGTTTTGAAATGATCATTTAAGTCTATAATTATTTAAAACAACAAAACACTAAAAACAAATCATAGAAAACTTAGGGTTAGGGTTATTATAAACAACACCAATCTGTCAGAGAGATGATAAACGTATCACATATTTTGCAAATTATTTATTGAAAAGTAATTTGAGGTATACATAGCTTTGTTGCGATTTGTTTAAATATACTGTATTTAATGCTTGTCATTGTTTTGTGGCCAGTATCATCGAATATAAAAGCACAGATGGGTCGAACAACTGTTTGTATTTTATTAATAAAAATTGGGAAGAGATTATTTATTAAATTAACGCGGTGCTCGAACTTCCATGCTGAAACTGGGCACTGACAGCAACTTTCTCGCTTTGCTTTAGCGGATGCGCAAACCGGACATTTGCAGAGGCTGTCGCTAAACTCTATTGAAGTTTGTCTAAAGGGAGTCGCCGGTTTAGTTTTTTTCTTTTTGATGTCCGAAATGGCGCCCATCCGCCCAATTGACGTAGCCAATCGGGCCGCTCGCGGCGCATGATGTAAGACGCTTTAATGTGTGCCGCGTCCTTTAAAAGCCGCAGGTGCCGGCAGTTACTCGTTAATGGCGGCTCGACCTGGTCCGGTTAAATGACGCAGCTAGAAAAGTGAGTGACTTTTGGACTTTTATTCCCTACTTTTGGCGTTTTGATACTGTATAATTACTTGTAGTACTCTGTAGCTAAAACCTCACTTAGTGGTAGAGGCAGACAGCAACACTTAGACTGGGTTTATTTCTGTTAAAAGGGCGTTTTTGTTTTGTCCCCTGTTGCTTTTGCTAAAATGCTAGCTCAGTGAATGGCTAACCTTTTCCTGTTTTAGTTTGTATAGTAAATTTAAATTCAGTATAAACATTTACACAGACCACCTTCCAGTGGACTCACCACTCGCAGGAAGGTTTGGGGGGGGTGGTATGGTGCAATGTTATTTGGGTGGCGACTGCTGCCCCCGCGACCTGGTAACGGATAAGCGGATGAAAATGGATGGATGGATGGCATTTACACAGATTTCCATTTCCCACCAAGTTAAATGTGTTTTATGGGATATATGCCCAGGATATTTCATTCCTTATTTAATGAGGCAAGTGTGTTTTGCTAATTTGGGCTATATGAATGAAATTGACTTGAATTGAAATGGAAATACTTTTTTTATTTATTGCTTTGCTGAGACTAATTAAGTAATGACTTACCTACAGTATGTCAGAAGTTTAATGTCATTCCTTATTTAATACTGAAGTCTTATGAGACCTTTGTTTTGTTAATTTGGGCTTTACAAATAAAACTGACTTAACTTAAGGAGGAAAACCTTTTATTACTTTGCTGTAACTAATTAAATAACTTGCCTGTGCCAGAATGTTTGTTCCTTGAATCATATTTTACCACTTTAGTGTTTAATGTGCAGCTTCAGTGTCTTCTACAGTAAATTTCTAAGAGACTCTTTTTACATTCTATTTAATTTGTAATCAACAATGTTTTAAATGAACAGATGCGTTGGGATTTCTGCACACGGAGACCAGGTTGGAGTTGTCAAGCATCAGAGTTCACTCCTGAAACTGTAAGATAAGGTGAGCCACCTGTCAAACTCAGTATTTTAAATTTAAAAAGAGAGAATTTAAAAAAAATATCACACCCAACCTTCAGTACTTAACATGACTTGTCTCTGGGTTCATTTTCCAGATTGGTCATCCTGAAGATCTTCAACACAGTAGGGAACATCGTTTTTCTTTTATTCCCCGTGGCCGCCGTGCCGCTGTTGCACCTTGCCTGGACGCTCCTTGCCTGGACGCGCCTTGCTAGGCTGCTGTTCATAGCTGTATGTGTGTGGTTGAGTGTGGGTTGTGTGTGTGTGTGTGTGTGGGAAACTTTAATACATACCAACAGAAAATGGCCACATGTCTTTTTGTCTTGTTTGTTTCCTTTCTGGTTTTCCTTTCTTGAGTTTCCAGGCTGTGGAATCTGGGTTTTGGAGCAAGAGCCATAAACTGGAGGATGGTTAGCTAGTCAGTGTAGTCTTACAGGTGGACGGCTCTCTGCTCAGAGTTGTTGTAACTCTGGTCCCTTTTTTCTAATGGTGTGGATGTGGAACTGCTGAGCAAGTAGGTAAATGTTGGCTCTGATTTCTGACCGTGTTGGTTCAGTATTTGTAGTTGATGGAGTGTCTGCAGGGTGTCATTTGGACTCGAAGTGTGTGACTGCAGTGGTTTTGAGCTCAGCAGTTTGGAGTGTGGGTGTGACGATGTGCTGTTTCAATATGTGTACTAACAATGATTGCTTTGTAGGTGCTGTCGTCAAAGGGTGAGTCCAAAACTTTTATTCCCCTTCTTCCGGATGGCTAGCCTGTCAGCCTCCGCCTGTCCCTATCCTTAGATTTTTAGTCAGGAATAGAGTTTATTACTTAAACCATAAGTGTTATTTTGCTGTCATTTAATCTAATTTAATCACTGAGATATGGCTGAACAATGTGGTGCATAATATTTATAACAAAATACTATAAGTGCAACAACTGAATTTCCTCCAAGACTGCAGATGAAGAGCGATACCAGGTATGTACCCTGTTGATGGGTACACACCTGGAAGGTAGGTGCCTGGCTCCATGCCATAACCATTTTTTCTTTTCAGATTCTACTGAAGGAAGACAACCAGTCTTGTGGGAGGAAATAAAGTAAATAGCGATTTAGTTGCGCGATTAAAATGTGACACCATTTCTGTTCTTTCCCAGCCGCCGTGCTGATCGTGCGCTCTATCATGGCCTCCTACCATGACCTTTTTTCCAGCTGCCGTGCTGATCTGTTACTGTATTGTCTTTTCATAAAAATTTTGCGTAACAATGGCTAGTTGTCGGTCAATGTTAAGTAGACATAATTGCCACAGTTCAGTCTAAAATATGTACTATGTGTGTCAAGTTCAGGAGTGTAGCATAAAATTCTCTTCTCTATATGCTGGGCTGTGGATGTGTATGTTTGTGTGGGACCAGATGTTGAACCAGACTGACATGTTTCTCACCTCTGAAACAAGATTAGCTTAGTTTGAATTGTAAGACTGCCTTGTTTTGGCCACTGTGTCAAAAGGCTGATGTCCTGAAAGGGTTTTATGCCATTGTGGTGCTTCCTCTTCCTCCCATGTCTACCTGTCTCCTGTCCTTTGTTTCCTAGTGTGGCCTGTGTAGTCCTACTGGCAGTTTATATTATTTAGTATTCCACGAATTTACGTCCCGTTTGCGTGCATTCTCCATTTTGCGTTGCCGTCATTTTCGACACTTTCGGATGTCGTCCTTCCTTCTGACAACTTTGGATGTCCTGGTTGCTGTCAAATCCCGGCTGTCCAGTTGCTGTCAAATCCCGGCTGTCCAGTTGCTGTCCATGGTGACCCGATGAATTACTGCTGCATCGATCAACGTGGTGTTCCAGCACTCCGATATCAAGAATTTACTTGCCTTTGTACTTTTTGGTAATGTATTAATGTACCATCTGTAAATTTGTATTCTTGTGCTTGCCTTTGTACCACTTGTAAATGTGTATTCATGTGCTTGCCATTGTACCACTTGTAAATGTATTCATGTACTTTTTGTTAATCTATATTTATGTACTTTTTACCTCCTTGTAAATGTATACATGTGTACATCTGTTTGACTATTAGTTATCTAAGCAGCTAGCTCACAGGAGTCTAGCGTTTGCCTCTGAAACAGAACTGTTTATTGTTGACTGTTATTGGTTTAATGACTGTTTAAACTGGGTTAATTTTGCAAAGATGTTCTACGATCAGTGTATATGTGGGTGGTGGAGGCTTCACCAGTCAGTTAAACAGGTAGGAGTCCTTGGTTAATTCCTGCCTCAGATGGGCCGTTGGAAACGCTGGAAATCTGCCATTCTGGAATGAAGGGTGAAAGTGGCCCAAGTGAACAAACTTGTGAGGTCTTCTCAGCCCCAAGATGTCTTCAGGTTTGTTCTTCACATTGAACATAGATTTAATTTTTAAGGACAACAGGCTTGTTCTTTGCGGGTATATTTGTTTTTGATTCATCACGTTGCTTACTCTTATTTTGGATCTAATAGACTTGAGACTACAGTCAAACCAAGATAATCCAGACCTTCCTACTCGGGTGTCTTGAGGTTTGTAGTAAATTATAATCTCTATCATGGTCAGTTTGATATCAAGTAGAAAACTTGTCTCATGTTCATGTTCTCGTCCCCAGGGGCCCAGACTCATCACAACTGATCGGAATTTCCATTCTCATCCCTGCTGGGTTGTATATGGATTTATTTTATTTTCTATGTAATCATCTTTAGCTCCATGGTTCACTGGTGTATATTTTGTTGTGTAAGTTGATCAGGGTCACTACTAGACCCTGTAGTTTCAGGGTTACTACTAGACCAAACTAGTTTGCAGCAGTAAGGCTAGTGTATGAGTTGGATGTTAGGGGTCATTTATCAGTTTACTGTTCAGTAATTTAAATTACCATAGATTGGTTTTAAATTACCGTTCAGCCTTTAGATGTTGTTTTTAAATGTTAAACTTTCCATGTCAAATTTAAACTCACCAGTTCTGTCACGCAGGCTGTATTTGGCCTTAAATTGTCTTTAATGGCATTGAACAGTTTAGCCTGTTAGTTCTGTCTTGTTTCCCTTTGCCAAATCAATTTTCTACTAAAGAACTGTGTACCCTTCTGTGGTACTTAGATGGCGTGTTGGGAGGCCTCCCAGCAGAGGAATATTGTCCTCTGCTAAAGTCGTTTTAGTGGCTAGACACAGGGCTTAGTTGACAAATATATCTGGCTAGGCATACAGGTTAGATTGCGCGTTTAGGTTCCTTATTAGGAAATATATTTGGCAAAGGGGCAACCTAAGACTTGGTAAAAATTAAGTTGATATTAACTATATAGACAAGATCTGTGGGCTAAATAGCAGAAGATTAACGTAACCATTTTGTTGAAGTAGGCAGTTAAATTTAAGAGATTTAGTGCAGTGTCCACAATATTCCATGTTGAGGGGGGTGGCAAAGGATAATGTCACTCTTGTGTAGAATGAGTTTAGGGTGGAATGATAGGTGGGGCACCTGCGAGATGGTATTCAATTGTTAATTTACTGGTGTTTAATCTGGGTCAACTGTAAATGGGCTATGATTAGTGAAGATGGTGGAGGTTGAGGGACAGGTGTAGTCTTCACCTGAGCTCTTCTGATTGACTGAACAGGTGACGCTTCTCAGTATTTCCTGTCCCACAGGTGTTGGTGCTGGGTCCAAACAATCTCTGGAAACCTGTACCGTAGGGTGAAGGTGGCCCAGGAGAACCAACTCCATAGTAGAAAGATCTTCTCAGCCACAGGATATCTTCAGGTTTGTTCTTCACATTGACCATTGAAAAAGCTTTCCTATTTATTCTGCTTCTTAAACGATCTGATCGGTGTCTCTAGGATTCTATGGACCAGTGTTTACCAAGTCTGGAGAAGATGAATCCTGGTTAAAGGGACCTGAGGTGAGCAGAAAGATTAAAATTCTGTTTGGTAATCTTTTTTAATTATTTTTTTGAGAACTCTAATTATCCAAATCTACCGCTTAAAGATGTAAATCCATGACCTCTATTGGTCACTGTAACTCAATTGCTGGTTTTGTTGTCAGGATGGTTAACCCAGTATAGGATTCCTCACTGTCATTGGAGAAGATTCAGGCAGCTCCTGCAGGGTCCACCTTAGAAGATACGTACATCTCAGGGCAGTGGTGTTTCTGCGTTCGGTTTAGCAGAATTTTAAAAATGACCTGGGATGGATCCCAGTAAGCTGAAGTTGGCTAAGTGTAAGTAAGTCCTCAATGATGGTGTTCTTTCTCATCTCATTCTTTGTATCCAGCCCTGCCCCTTTAACGTGCCTATTTTCTTCCCCCTCTTCGCTCTTGTCCTCTGTTTGCAGATGTTGGACCTGGACTGTGTCATCAAAACACATGCACAGGATGACTAATGTGAAAAAACTCCTCACGAAGAGCTCCATTTGAAAAGCCAGGATGCCGTAGACCTCAGACTACAAGATGTGGGTTTCTTGAGGTTTGTACTACATTATAATACCTAGTCTGTGTGCTGTCCATGTAGAAAACTTACTTGACTTATGTATGTTTAGATACAGCCCTCCCCCCCACCCAAGGACCCAGGCCCACCGCACCTGAGGAGGGGACAGCAGTCTGCTTGGCTGTTTTTTTTTTTTTTTTAATTATTTTAATTTTATGTATATTTGTATTTCCATACAGTTGCCCATTTACGATCAACATGACTTCTTATGGATATTCTTAGATTTGGTCTTTGGTCACTGATGACTAACTACACGCTTGAACCCAGTTTTAGTTTAGCTTTGCTTTAGTTTCCAGTCAGAGTTTAATGAGCTGGATTTCCTTCACAATACTAACTTCTACTAACAACACTCCACACTACTGTTCTAAACGTTCATCACCCTTCTTCTTCTTCTTCTGGGTACTTTTAAGGAAATCTAGTCATGAATTCTTACTGTGAGTGCTGCACCATGAATGCAGTTCCCAAAATCAGACTTGGATCCATCTGATTTTGTGATCTGGTCTGTCCATGGTACAACATAATGAGGATGTCAGAATTAATGTAGATTTAGTTAATGATCAAGCGTTTGTGGTTATTTCATCAGTGGTCTTTTGTCCAAATCATGGACTATACATCAGAAGACATGGTGGTTTAGTTTATGGTTCTGTTTGTTGTTTTTAGTTTGGGGAGGAGGTCCACAGTACTCTTGTTTTTGTGTTTGTTTAAGTTTTACTTTGGTTTTGTAGGGTAGAAGGATTCTACTGCTGGCTGGCCTGGCGGCTTCCTTTGATTTTGTTTTGTTGGGCTGGGACCTCCACCCATGGTTCTTATTTCTACATCTTGGTTTGAAGTTTCTTCACATTTGCCATATGTTTGTATGAAACAAACCCAAGTTTCCTCTTGTGTGCTTGTTTTATTTGTGTTAAAAAAAAAACTCTTCCACTTCCAGAGGAGCATTAACTATCAACTTGTAAGAAAAATGTATATATTGTGTATGTTTTCTTGTTTTTTTATTTTCAGTTCTGTCAGTTCTTGTATTATTTTTTTTTTTGCAACCATTTTGCACCAAACTAAATGTTTTGCCAAAATATCTTTCTGTATTGTAGATAGTGTTTTGAACTATCATAGCATATTTTGTTAAATTGATAAAAATTAAGTTAACGCCAAGCATTATTGTCTAACTTTTAGCTTTCCATACTTTTATCATACAACAATCACCATTATTTGACATGTAATCCAAAAATGTATTTTTATATATATATATATATGCAACGTAACGGTAGATTTCAAGTTTGTCAACCATTTGTCAAGCAGCCAACAGGAATGCATGCAGCAGAGGTTCGTGGGGGCCCTGATGTGTCCCTACCTGCCTGTGGACATCTGTCTACCCTCCATCTTGCTCTCCATGACACCCACAGTCTTAGATCATCTCCTCCGTCTCTACGCTCCACTTGCGTTTGGCTCGTGTGGAAACGGCGTAGAGCGTCACCAGCTTTTCTCCCGCCTGGCACTTTGATGTCTCAAGTGTGATTGCTCTTGGACTGTGTCTGCTTTCCCTTGAAGGTTTGACGGGTCGAGCAGACGGGCCTCTCAGGTTTGAGCCAGGGCCAGTGATCCAGGACTAAAACATCAGTTGGCTGACTGTGGGATACTGTTTCAGGCTGAGTGCTGCACAAGCATAGGGGTTCTTCTTTTGCAAACAACACACACTTTTGATGTGCCTTGGTGCAGTCAGACACATAGACCATTGATAGATTAATGAGTTTCACTGGGTAATTTTGAACATTCTCTACTGTACAAACAAGCAGTGGAGTATGGTGTGTTTGAACACAATGGAGGGTAGACACATTTAAAATCTGAAAGATTTGACATGGCAAAACAAAACAGACTAGATTTAAGAGTAAAACATGTATATATGTGTTAATTTTGTATTTATGTATATATATATTTTATATATGTATTTGTATGTATATATATATAAACATACACATCTATAATATATGTGTATATGTATTTTTTATATATGTATAAATGTATATCTGTAAATTTATATATATATATACACATTTACAATATACTGTATATGTATGTATGTATATATATTTTTTTTAAACTGTTGCTTTTGTTTTCCCTGAGCCTTTGCAAATAGCTATTTTCATCATTACATAAATATTTGTTTACAAATATTTTTTATGTACTCTATATTGTTTTGTTTTTTCTCTTGTTGTTTTGTGCAAAATGTACTACTCGTTTGTATATTTTTGACCCCTTTATGAAAATATTTCAGGCTAAAGTTTGACTGGTTTTATAAATACATCTTCATTCCAAGTATAATAGGTGAAGATTTGCCGATTGTCCATTCAGCTGCAGGTTCTCCAGAGTCCCAGGTCATCTGCTGAGCTTAACATACCTGGGAGACCACCACAGCCGGGCATTAGCTGTTACTATTGTTGTTCAAGTCCCTCATCAATTATGCAGAAGCTGCTGTTTTTCTCTTCTCTGATTATCTGGATCCACTTGTATTAAAGGATCTTCTCTCAGGTGAGATAAAAAGTGAAGGTTGTAAATAAAAGAAAGAACTCTGTTGTCTGAGTGGACTTTTCTGTGGCCACCTGTGTGGTGAGAACAAACAGATTAATGGTCAGTCTGACCACACACACAGGTGGTTTTAGACACAACTAAGTCAGGCAGTGGTAAATAACTTTGAAATACTATCTCTGTTGCACTTTCTTGTGTGTTAAGTTTTTAGTTACCCGTAAAATTAAATTAAAGATAATAGTAGATGGAACTTTCACCATATTGAGGGGCATGAAATGCATTAAAAAAATGTTCCTAATATTAGAGTTAGTTGGGTTATGGTAACCTGAAGTTCTACAAAGTTCTGTTTTAGGTACACTATTATTCCAAACCCATTTTCATACATAGAAAAACTGACATTTGGATCTTGTCAATTGATGTGGGAAAAGTATTCCGATTAACAAAAAGTATTAATTTTGCAAGCCTATTAAAAGTTGCTATGTCGTCTGTAAAGCCAATGCGTTTGCTGATGACTCGGCTCTCTTTCTCAGGCACTTTTTGGTGCACTGATGTTACAGTCATTTCTATGTTAATCTGATTGTCGCAATAAAATACTTGCATAGGTATTTAAATATATGTATATAGGCTACACTGATATTTCTCTCTCAGTCTGGACCACATTGTGGTCATCACAGCATTTTCTTTTTGAATAGCAATGTGAATAGAATATGGACATTTGAACTAATAATAATAATAAAAACAACAATAATAATTATTGTTAATATTGCAGTGCAGTCTATTCATTAACCTTGTATATGTAAAGTCCAATGCTGATTAAAAGGGCACGTGATATGGCCAAGAATAGAATAGTCCACGTCCTAATCCATTAATTGTTTATTCTCTATATGCGATTATTAAGCCTATGTGTTTGAATGATAGAAAATGATGTTACCATCTTCCCCTAATCTGTTTTATTTAGGAATAAAGCTGTAATTAACACAAGTTAATGTCAGGGCTTCACACAGAGAGTCGAGCTGCGGATCCTTCTAATTCCCAAAAGGGGGAAGTTCTTCGTGACCTCTGACCTCCCCCGCCGTCCCCCACTGAGGCATTAGTGTAATGTTTGAACAGATGCAGATGAAAGGGCCACAGGTGAGGCTCTCACAGCTCCGTGCGCTCAGTGAGGTATGATGACCACATGGTGACTCACTTCAGGTTTACACATCGCCGTCCCGCAGAGGAACTAGCCTGATCAAAGCAACGACTCGGCCTCGCACTTCCAGCGGTGACAAGAACGCTGTCAGCTCAGAGCTCCCGTCGACGCCTGAGCCGATGAGCATCACAGCCAGACGTGCCGTTGGGTGATGATGTGTATCCGCAGATTAATTGACACACACACACACCTGTGGTTTAATTCACACTTACAGCGCCAGCGATCGTCTCATCACGGATCCATCAACGCTAAGCCGCGGCTGTCGTGCTTTCAAAATGTTAATAATCTTCCTGACTTGGTTGCTAATGTGCTTACGTGTGTGCTTTGATCTGACATGTAAAAATCCTGTTATTGTTGACGGTGACTGGTGAGAGCTTCTCGACGCTCAATGGCACCTGTAATCATCGGCGTACGCACACACTTTAAAGGAGACCGAAGGTGAATTGTTGTATCGGAATAATTTATACGTGTAAACTTCACTAAACTGGCAAACTGTTCGGGCTGTACCCCGCCCTCGTCTGTTGACAGCTGTGATTGGCTCCAGTACAACCCCACCCCAGCTCCCTGCAAAGGAGTAAGGGGTTGATAATGGATGGGTAGAAGTTCTCTAAATAGTTTATGACACATAAAGTTAGCAAAAAAAAAAATAAAGTAAATTAAAATTATTTAGTTAAAAAAAAAATAAATAAATAAAATGAAATAAACAAACGTATTAATTTGTTTATCAGAAATGATAAATTGGGATCGTGTGTCCTCTTTAAACTTTAATGTTATTTTTGCAAAATTTAGGTTAAAACAAATTAACAAATTATGATATATATATAAATATAATATATAAATATATATATTAATAAAATGATTTTAGTTTAAAACCATTGATTTTTACTGTCCTGTTCTCAGTTTGTTCCACAGACATAAACACCGTTGTTTTCATTTCTCCTGCAGTCGTTTGTCCTCATTACGACAGACAACAGGTGAGAGCGGTGTCTGTGTGAACAATCAGACGTCAACACTTGAAAGCTCAGCTACCAGTTACGTTGTGACTTGTCCCGGAGTCAACAGAGGAAACATTCCTCATCGCTAAGACCTATATGAGAATACCAGACTGGGAAATTTTAGGATGTGTTTGACACAGTAATGACAAACTCCGAAAAAGGCTGATGGACTTGGGTAGATGATCCACTGAGAGGTGGATGAATCACAGGATTTTCACCGCTCTCCTCAGTAAACCATATCCTCTTCCCACTGCTGGGGTCATGTGACCTAGAAAGGAGGGGGACACGAGGGTAGAAAAGAGCTCAGGTGAGACCACCTCCACCACTTAGAACCCCCTGTAGCTGCAGGAGGTGGTCCACTGATCTGCTCCATCATGACTCCTTTCTCCTAATTTTTCCCCGATATTGGAATGCTTTTCACCATTCAGGCAGTTTCCCTGCAGGATTAAACTTGGACTTTTGCTGTTGGACATTTGTGAATCGATAAAAGCTTGGACATGTTCGGCCCAGGACAATTGGTCTCCACACTCCTGCCTGCTGTTTTCCATTCACCTGCAGCCCACTTTTTCCCAGCATTCCCAACTGGACTGAGCTCTCTCCCACAGATTCTGATCCCAGGTCCCTTCGTCACCTATGAATCCCTGAGGAGTTACCTGCAGCCGGAGCCATGCGCGGACGCTCTGCTCTTGGCCACACAGACCGTGCGAATTGGGGCGCTCTCCGAGGACCTAGGTGAGTCCAACCTGGAACGCAGTCGCGGCGGTTTGTAAGACAGTCAGCGAGACGGGGAGCGCCATCTGACTGCCGTAAAAATGTTTACAAAAGCTTGGCTAACAGCTCGTAACTAACAATCAATTATCTCTCAGTGTTAAAGTGGCTTTAACGACCGCCGCTCTAATTACCTAATCCAGAGCCATTAGCTCCTTTGTCACCCGTTGGCAACGCCGTAATTGCTGCTTGTGCTGTGTTTTCCAGATGAACAGAGGCCAGTGAAGCAGCGTCGAGCGCGGGCCAACTACAGCAGCTGGCAGCTGGAGGAGCTGGAGAAGGCCTTCCAAACCACACACTACCCTGACATCTTCATGAGGGAGGCCCTGGCCTTTAGACTGGACCTGATCGAGGCCAGAGTGCAGGTCAGCTGGACCTCGAGAATTTTAACCAATCAACTTCCTTAGATGTAGTTACCGGGCTGTCAGGCGTTCACCCCTGGTTAAAATTGATGGTTTTTTTATATTTTGAAAAAGCAATTAAACCAGACCAGATTGATCAGTAGAAATGACACTAAAAAGAGTTTTTTTTTTACTGACCCTTACGAAATCTATAAAAATCGTTATCGTTTTTTTCCTTCGATAATGAAAACCCGATAATGCAATATCTTGGTTTCGCCAAATGATGTGTACCCTAAAAATACCCAGTGGGCCAGTTTTGGCCTGCGGGCCGTATGTTTGACACCTTTGGTCTAAATTATAATATATAATTCTGATGTTTAGTGAAGACCTCTAATGTTCAGTGGAAAAGGGAGAAAACAAACAACAAATGAAAAAAGTTAGGAGTTACGAAGTTGCCAGCAATCTTTTATTTAATGTTCACAGTTTTGTGTACTTTGTGCTCTGGGATCCAGGTTTGGTTTCAGAACCGTCGAGCTAAGATGCGTCGTCAGCTGAAGCTCCAGAGCCAGCTCCCTGCAGAGCCGTATCTGAAAAAAGACAGTGATCAAACATCAGAGAAACTCAGCACAGGTTTGAAATTAGAGTGTTCAGACCCGAGGCAGTGGGACAGGCAGGAGGAGGAAGAACATCCTCCATGGACAAATGTACGTCAGCAGCCCGAGACCCTGAAGCTAGGTAAGTGGGCAGCGCTCCGGGGGTTGAGTTTGGAGGAGTTGCGCTCCTGCAGTATTGCTAACCTGAGGTCCAAGGCCCGTGAACATGAGGCTGGAATACACACCACTGCAAACAAGTCAGAATCTGACACTCAGGCACAAACACAGGAAACTGATGCCCAGCTCTGTGATTGATGCGTTTCCTCTTCCTGTTTGTTCAGATATAAAAGGAAAAACACAAAGCACTCTATCTTATAATCAACCGTATGGACTGGTTTTTATCTTTGCTAACAAATAAATCATTTGAAAAAAAATATGTATACTTAAAAAATGTATTAAAATGTTTCATCCTAAGGCTACTTTATTATTTTATTTTTATACTTTTGTATGTATTAAAAGAATGACCCAGAAAAGACCACTCATTTATTTTTAACCACTGTTTAGCTGTGCTTCTTGTTGAAGAGAAGATAAAAATATATATCTAAAATTGGTTTGAAATAATGACATACCGCAGCGTCATTTACGTGGATGAGTCTAAAACTGTGCTTCATAGGATGGGGGCTCATATTTAATACAAAATTTAAAGAGAGAGGAGGATACATGTTTAAAAATGGTATCAGCTAATTAATCCAACATGCTAAACCCCCCTGAGCTGCTTAATGCAGCGTCAAAATTAAGCACATTAAATCACTAAATTAAGTAGAAATGCTAATAATGTGCCACCAGAGTGGCTTAATTAAAACAAATCTAATACTGTACATGCAGCGCTCCTTTATATGAATATACCGTATATATGTGTATAAGTAGAAAAATGTATTTCAATGGCATTTTCAACAGTTACTTTTACTCTCCTGTCAAAACTTGCTAATTTGTCTTTGTCTTGACTAGACAGTATTACACAGACGTTAGCGGTTCAATGGCTCCACATGGATCATGCAAATCTCCTGGTGTAGAACTTGCTAGCTCCATAGCGGAGCTGTTAGCATGACTGCCTCAAATGTGGGAACAATAACGTTCGAATCATTTATTTATTTATCCACACAGTCTAGTGTTTCTAGTGTTCTAGCTACAAATAGCCATTCGTAGCTAGCATTAAATTGCTACCACGACATTAGCTAATTCCACATTTGCCGTACCAAACAGTAGAATGATGTACCCAATGAAGTGTCCTTTACATGTATCTGCTGCTGGATCACTGTCTTTGGGTGATGAGGTCCATCTTCGAACAACACAGTTACACTGACACCTACTGGTCATAAACATGAAAAATAAAAAGACAGATTTTTTTTTCACCAACTTCAGGACACATTTTGTTTCTTTATTACACACACAGCCTCGTGCTCCAACACTGAATAAACAATTCATGTGTGTAGTGTGTGCAACAGCCGAGTTCTAGGTCAGCCGAGTTCAGGTCAGTGAGGTCATTGTTACTTCCTCACATTACAAACGCAGAAGGTCACCTCTGGTCTCACGATAATTACACCTCTCTCATGTCAGAGGTTTAACAGTCACCAGGTGAAAATCCAATTCAAATCCTAATCCAAACAAATCGGACTTAAAAGATTCAGAAAATAATTTGATCTGTACTCATTTGTCACAATAGCTCGGTTCTGTTAGGCTGCACACAATCCTGAGATCAAAAATAAATAAATGCTCTTCATTGAGGACTTCTCAAATGGTGGGGCGGGGCCCCCTAGGGGGCATGTTCAGGAGCCAGGGAGGGTGGCTCCTCAACCAGAACAAGATGATATTGTTGAGATTGTTGAGGTATTTTAACCTAGATGTGCTTCGTTAACACAAAAAGGTTTTCCCACAGTGTGTTTAACATATCTATTAACTGTGTATTTCCAAAGTAACTTTGAAGAGGACAACAAGCACGTGGTCTCTCTGGGAATCGAACCCAGGACTCTCTGCTCTCTGCTTCCGAGGCAGGTGTGCTAACCGCTACTTTATGGAACCCATCAGGGCCAGATTGAACTGCCTAGCGGGCTGGGCTATACCACATATACACTGTGCCTAATTCTATCATAGCATTGCATAGCTAAATGCTAAAAAACGTATCTGAACAAATTTACAAAAATCGAAAAGTTTTACATAATTGACATTGACATATATTGTGTATTCATATTTTGTGTCAGACTTCATGTGGTGTATATTTGATGATATGTTGTATAATGGTCTTATCCAGTTTAACATCATTCAGAAAACAAAGAAAGGTTTATTTTGGTCTCCCCTGGAGTCGGAGTGAACTCTAACTCTCAGACTAATCCTCGGTGAGTGTACTGTAATGAGAAGCTCTGAGTCTCCTGGAGCTCGGTCTGAGTTCATTTGGCTGAAGACAGAAGAGGAAACAGGACGCAGCTGCTGCTGCTGCTCTGCTGTCGCTGCTGCTGTTGCTGCTGCTGCTGCTGCTCAGGGACAAACCCTGTGCTCCTGCTCTTTGTTTGTAATCTTTGGTTCCTCCTGCTCTTCCTCACTGAAGAAACTCTCCGCCTGTCCTCCTTTGTCCAGTGAAGGGACTCGGCAGCAGCAGAACAATGGCTGCCATCAAGGCTCTGGAGCAGTGGTGTAAAACGCAGTGTGATGGATACAGAGATGTGGCCATCACTAACATGACCACGTCGTTCAGGAATGGAATGGCTTTTTGTGCACTCATACACAAGTACAGACCGGACCTCATGTAAGTATTCGAACGTCTCGTGTTGCCATGGTGTTTATTCCATCATGGTTTCCGACTGTGTCCTGATGTGTTCACTGTATTCCTGTTTACACAGAGACTATGAGTCACTGAAGAAGGATGATGTGTTCGAGAACAATAGATTGGTAAGTTGGTTCTACCTTGTTTTTTAATTTTTAATTTTGCAATATGTGTGAATTGTTATACATTTTCTCATTTGTACTGAAGGGAGCATTTTATACTTTACTGGTTTTTACAGCAAAGTTTGAATTGTTTGACAACTTTATGCCGATGATTTTCAACTGTTTCCTAAAACCATTTGTTCTGATTTTTTTTTTTTTAATTTAGTAAAAAGTGTTTTTGCTTATCTTGATATTTAACTACCGTATTAGGTACACAGGTGTATACAGGAGTAGCTTTATATCTTGATATCTTCTTGATACATTTTTGTTATATATTTTTTTTCATTTTTGGCAGTAATAAACTTTTTCTTGGTTTTTCAAGATCAGCATTCAGAACCCCAATCGTGATCAGTTCCCGTCCGGGCAGCTTGTTATTTACGGACCTCTCCTTTATTCAGTCCACTCCGCCAGCTTCCTGTGGGTGTTTAAGACGTCACAGGAAGCTAAAGTAACTCACCATTCACTCATCCTCTGCAGAACCTAAAGGGAATGGCAGTGAACCCACTACTGTTAGCAACGATAGCCGCTCTCAGGCTATTCATTTTGAATGAGTGTTTCTGGTCACCTGCCACCTGAGCCACATGATGACAGCTCATTGAAGGACTGCGTGGTCCTTACGTACGTCTCAGAGCTGATGCAAGACGAACCTGAAACCAGATTTGTGGTCCACAGAATTGTTGAGTTTAATCAGGTTCAAGTTTTTGTCCGTCTGCTCAGGATACTCTCCGCGTGGTAACGCGAGAGCACGAGTTGTATGGTAACTCACACCTGTGCATATTTCATGAAGGGTGTTGTGTTGCAGTAGTAAGACACAGGTGGGTAATTCACCTCAGAGCTTACTACCAGACACGACAAACAAAAAAAAACAAAAAACGAAGAAAAAAAAAAAAGACAGCAAACAAATAAAACAAAAAACGAAGAAAAAAAACGCATACACAACATAGTTATGATGATGTTTCTACACCACTCCTGACCGATCTCATGTCCAGCCGTCATAAAATGTGTCCCTCCGTCAAACTACCCTAGCGGATGAATGAATGAATAACAACAATAAAAAATAACAATAAATTCATATTATCTATGCAAATAAGTACAAGTATATTAAAATTTCTCCCATGTTTTATGCAAATAAGTACAAGTATATTAAAAAATATTCATATTTAATGAAATATTATTTGATAAAACACCACTTCTTGCTCAGCATTTAACTCTTGGAAGCTAATGCTTTGGCTTATGGCTCAGTATTTTAGCTGAATGGGTTTTTGTTTTGGTTATTTTTTTACATTTTAAGTCATTTTTGTGGATATTTGATAGAACCTCCATTTTAAGCTACGCTATTCCGTGTTTGTATTTATGGGATATTATTAATTATGTGTTACTATATACTATGTTAAGGTTTTTTAATAACGCAGATTTTTTTTCTAGCCACTTCTGTTTTTTATTAGCTTTGAATTAGCACTGAGTCTTAATTATTTTTTGCACTGTATATTAATATCCTGCTCCCTCCCTCTCCATTCTTTCCCTGCACACTCACAGGAAGTCTCTATTCATTATTCAACCTTTTTCAGACCTATTTATCTTCAGGTCAGGCCACAGAGAGCTGGAATTAAAGAACAATTGTCTGACATTTTAACCAGCTCCCGTGGCGGTTGAATTATTTGGGTCCATGCTATGCTATTTTTTTTTTGTTTAAAAAAGACTGGACTCAGTGTTTTTATATTATATATGTATGTGGACAGTAGTAAGTGGCTGCTGGGTAAACATATCTTTTTTTTTTTTCTCTAAGGCGTTTCAGATTGCGGAAGAGAGGTTGGGAATCCCTGCTTTGTTAGATGCAGAAGACATGGTGGCCTTAAGGATCCCAGACAGACTGAGCATCCTCACCTACGTTTCCCAGTACTACAACTACTTCAACGGACGCCCCCCGAGTAAGAACATCAGAGATTTACCATCAAACTGACTTATCTTTGAATGAAAAAAGTAAAGGGATATGACTGGATTCTTTTTGATGAAGTAAATAAGTAAAACTCCAGGAGATTTTTCAGTGTCCAACTGCGGTCCGGTATTAAATGACCTATGGACCTGCACTGGTCCCCAGACCAAGGTTTGGGCATCTATCTAGGACATTAAAACATCAGAAGAGTCTGACTTACTGTATGCCTGGGAGCCATAATGAAGTGCAAAACGTTTCCAAAAAAACAACACAAATGAAAGGTCATTAAGGTCATGTCCCTCTATTCCTAAGTGTGTCATGAAGGTCATGTCCCTCTATTCCTAAGTGTCAAAAATGTCCAAAGTAAATTTCTGTCTCTAATTTTTTGTACTCTCCCAAACACAGAATACCATTAACAAGATACATCGTTTTTTGTGTTTTTTAAAGATCACAAAACCAAAAAAAAAAACTCTTAAAATCCACACACCAAACCAACAGTGGAGTCACTTCAGATCTATCTAAACACTTCCTGCTGTCTGATTTTAATCCTCTTTTTACCCCCTCCACAGTGGGCGGTGTGAAAAGGCCGGCTGAGGGCTCCAGGGAGGAACCATCAGAGAAGAAGAATCTCCCGGTAGTTGCCAAAACCTTTGTGCCTAAAATCAGCGCTGAGAATCGTGTAAACTCCACCGTCTCAGCTTCAGCCTCAGCCACAGCGACAAGAGCTCCGGACCAGGTAACTTTTTGCCGATATCGGATATGCGCATATTGTCCAAACACGTAATTTCCAATTCCGATATCAACTGATACCGATGTAGGCCTGGTAACATTTATTTACCAGTATGATATTTATTAAATGAGCTGCAATGCTGCCATCTAGTGACTTTCACTTTAATATACAGCTGTTTGTCCCGAAACCTTTTTTTAGGGCGGGTTTTCATTATAGGAGGAAAAATCGATAACGATTCTTACAATATTACATAATATGCTAATATCGGACGGATATTATCGGACATCCCTACTGTATTTTTGCTCTCATTCAGGTTCTTTCATTTTTCCCTCCACAGAAGGCTGTTTTGGCAGAAAGTGCGAACAAAAATGGAACTCTGAACAGCAAGTGCATCGCATGCAAGAGTCACGTTCACCTGGTTCAGCGACACTTCGTGGAAGGAAGGCTGTACCACAGAAGCTGCTTTAAGTAAGTCCATGTCCGAACTCACCAAAAATCACCAAAATAATAAAGTTGGTTGATTATTTATCATGACATTTAGGTGATAATAGATATTTTTTCAGCCATATTTGGATTTTAAAAATGACTATGAATTATTATAAACTTCCTCCAGATGCAGTGAATGCCTCAGTGTGCTTCACGCAGGAGGCTACAAACCAGGCAAGAGCGCAGACACTTTCGTCTGTAAGAAAAGTTGCAAAACTTCTCCCTCCAAGGCCGCGGCCGAGAATCGACTCACCGGCTCAGTCCTGCAGTCAAGCGGGGTTGTTCAAACCCAGCCTGCTCCACGCCCCACCGCCGTGCCGCCTGCTGCTCCGACTGTTGCGCCAAAACCACCGGGTCTGACTCCACCTCCTCAATCCTGGACGTCGTCAGCGCAGAAGACGCAGGTGGCACGTCAAAGGTTTTTCCAGGCCGCGCCGTCGACGTCTGAGGCCTCGGCAGAAAGGACGAGGCCTGCAGATCCATCAGGGCACAAACACGTCCGGCCGAGCGCTGTCGATGAGAAGAGCAGTGGCAGGGCCATGACGGGAAAGACACTGGCAAACCGCAACAACAACAACAACAACAACAACACGTACAGATTCACCGTCCGCTCAGCAGAGAGACGGTGAGGGGACATTTGTGTAGCTGCAACTACAGTTTGCTTTTTGAGGGATTTCTAACATTCAGGACTTCCCTTTTACTGCAGGTTTGGAAATGAGCCAAGTCCAACTGAATGGTCCGGAAAAGATAAATACAGCCAAGAAGCAGCAGGAAGCTTCGCGGGACGAGTCTCTACCAGTCAGAGCAACAATGAGAAATCACCGCATCTAGAAGAGATCGGCGACGACAACAGGAGGTCGAGAAGTGTTCAGTCAGAAGTCAAAGGCCAGTTCTGCTCAACTCCTATGACTACTCACTATTATCATGCTTTTAAACAACTATTTACATATTGTAGATTTGGAACTTCTGGAATGCAGTCAAAGGTGTAACAAAACAGTGTGCTTTAATCAGAAATATTGTACTGTACTGCTGTACTAGTATTATTTTAGGTAAGCATGTTCTGGTAGGCCGCATAAAATGATGCAGCTGCCTAGACTTGGCCCACAGGCCGTGATTTTAACACATGGATTATTCATCAAAATTAGAAACAGAATTATTCAGTAAAAAAAATGTAAAAAATAGTATGGAGGTTAATTTTAACCAAATTGACTCTGGCAAAAATAATAATAAAATAATGGTGACAAAGGACCAAGGAGTCAAAAAAGCTAATGTTTTTTTTTTTGTTCCCCATCTTTTCTTCAGATCCAGTTGGTGGTGGAAGCCAATCGAGCCTTAAACCAATGAGCCCAGAGCTTTGTATTAAGTAAGTACTTTATATTCTATGAAAAAAATTCTATTCACACAGCTGGTTACAATGTCAAATCTAAGTCCCCCGACTGCAGCAGTCTTGATCCGTTCTCTCTCCTCCATCTTAACCTACGATAAAGAGCTTAAACCAACTGAGCTAAAACTTAAAACTTCTGTTATTTTAAACCTCATCATATGATTCCTCCTGTATTATCTCCTCTCATATAACTCCAAGAGGTGATCATTGTGATGTATTTACAGAGATGATGAAGTGGAAACTTCCACTGAACGACAGGAGCCTCAGCTCATGTCCTCACCGTCCTCTGACGTCTCCAACGCGACCATACAGCTTCCAGTGTTCCAGCTAACAACACAGCCTCCGTCTGTTGCATTTAATGCTGTCAACTTAATGGACATTCCTGCGGAAAAACCTCAGCCAACCTCTGGAGGTCAGTGTAAGTCCAACTTATTTCAAAGAAGTCTTTTTAGTTGTATTTTTTTTTTTTTGGAATTTTGTGGAATTTTTTTCTGTACATTTTTGTCCTGCGTATCATACAAAGGTGGATGCTTCCAGTCACTCCACTAGAGGGAGTGCTGTGTATTTGAACATAGCATCATGTCCAGATGCATAAGAAACATCTTGTGTTTTCTGAGATTATTATAACATTTTAAAATATTAGATATCTCTTACCTTAGTACTAATGTTTTCTTTGGTTGCAACACTGCCACCTATTAGATCATTTTTCCACTCAATTTTTTTTTGCCAGAAACTTCCTGACCACTGGTAAAAAAGGAAACTGTAATACAGAGTGTAGCATTGGTAGCATTGTTAGCATGACTGTTGATTAGGGTTATCAAATTAACTTTCTTTTTTTTCCTTTTTAAGAAATTTCTAAAATGTTCAAGGAATCAAAACTGTTAAAGGGATGATTAAACTTGATGATTAAAAAAAATTGTCAGAATTCACTTTTTTCACCCCCCAAACAATCTAAAAACTACCTATACTATTGAAAATGCTTGATTTTTTTAAAACATTTTTTTTTTTCAGTTTCAGGTTTTAAACCTGCATGTCACACACCTGTTAAAGTTCCGACCAGACGGTCAGCTGTGGAGTCATTTGAAATTTCAGCGACTGCTGCTGCTAATCATGGAAATGTGTCACGTAAGTCCAATGCCGTCACCGCAGCGCCACATACAGGTAATTTTCTCATATTTAATTAGGTGATTTCTCTTACATTAATTATTTCTGTCTACCTCCCAGGTGCTAAAAAAGGAAAGTATGTGTCAGCAGCTAGCACGTCCAGAGCTAATAGGAGAACTCCCTCAGTAAGTTCTGTTCATTTTGATGTTCCGAAGATGTAAAACAGTGATTTGACAATCACAGGTTAACTGGCTAAGTGCACAGCAAAATAAAGGAAAATGACAGAGCCAGAAACAAAGCAAAAAAAGCTAAAAGTAGGTGAACTTTTCAAAAACGATTCTGAAACTAAAGCAAAAAAAAAAAAAAATTGATAAACAAAATTAAAAACCTTTAAAATATTACCCCGGTAACAACAATGTATAATTTTGAAATATAGCAAGAAATTAAATAATGTTAGCACAAATGTTAAGAATTAGCAAAAGAATGGAACATAGCTAAAGTTAGCACAAAGCTAAGGTGATAAATAACTACAAAAACCATGTATGGGCCGCAGTTTAATCTGTGAAACCAAAGCTAATATTTCACTGGCCGACTCTTCATTCTGTTTCCTTATTTGTCCAGGTCACATCTCACCATGTTACAATGCAGCAGATAGAAAAACAACTCTGTGACATCGAAACAAACCTGGTTCATCTGGAGAAGCAGGGTGTGGAGCTGGAGAAGAAACTCCGCAGCTGTGAAGAAGGTACTGTTGGGACAAAATATTTCACAACAAAACAAACTTGATTGGGACTAGACAAGTCAAGGTACCCGATCTACTGTATTTACTGAACCACAGCTTAAACCAGTGATGTGCATCAATGGAAAAACACTCTAAACTCTGGAATTGTTTATTGTTCCAATTTACTCTCTTTACTCTCTATAGTAAAGCTACAGGCTAAAAATGTCCTACCTAAGTTCACGCTTTGTAAGTGTTGAGAATCATAACATATTACGTCTAAATAATCTTTCATATTTAATAAAATGCAATTTGACAAAACATCACTAACATAAAGTGCATTTTTTTCACTTGAAATATTATTCAAATGGGCCAGATTGAATGCCCCAGTGGGCCATTTTTGGCCCACGGGCCGTATGTTTAACACCCCTGCATTAAAAAAAAAGTAATATAGAAAGCAGTATAATAATATGACACTACAGTATATTACCAACCACACTGTTATCCAGACACGTCTAATTTAAACAACTCCATTGGGTACAGTCAAAAAGAACGACTGTTTTCTTTCTTAATCTTTTAGTTAGGATTCACATATTTTCACCCAGATATTCAACGGTTTTCTATGTGAATAGATTTTGCTGAGTGTCTGTGACTGTGTTTTTTCCAGGGGGAGAGGGAGACGTGTTGATGGACCCACTGATGATCGATTGGTTCAATCTGATACGGAAGAAGCAGATGTTCATCAGAAAAGAATCGGAGCTGGTTTACATGTGGGTGTTTAACTTCCTAGAAATGTGTTTAGTTAAGTACAAAAATATAATTTACTTATATTTATTGTACACTATAGATATTCCTGGTGCCCTTATGAAAATGGCTAATAGGGAAAAGTTGTATGATCAAAGTTGAAATCAATGAAAGAAATTTAACAATATATAATAATAATAATAATAATAATAATAATAATAATGTTAGTCTGATTAAAAGCCTCTAATAGTAGCTGCCAAAAAGCAGGTTTGTTTCTCTTGTTGTCAGTATCTAATACAGGGGTGTCAAACATATGGCCCGCGGGCCAAAACCGGCCTGCTAGGGGGTTCAATCAGGCCCCATTGATGCATTTTGAAAGTGAAAAAATGCACAAAGACTTCATGTCAGAGATGTTTTGTCAAATTATATTTAATTAAAAATGTATATTTTTTATTTGTAATATACTTATACCCCTGATGTAATGTATTACTTTCTTCCATGTTGTCCTTCCAGAGCCAGGACTCAGGAGCTGGAGCAGCAGCAGCCTAGTGTGGAGGAAGAACTACGCAGACTGCTGGAGAAGCCCGGTAACACAATCCGCTTCTAACTCAACAGTTTCTGTTTTTTTTTTTTTTTTTCAACTCATTGAAGTACAGTTTCTGTGTTTCTATGTCAGATGATTTGAAGTCTGCAGAGGAGCAGCAACAGGAGACGCTGCTGATGGAGAGGCTGATGGAGATTGTGAATGGCAGAAATGCCATAGTTGAAGGTTTGGACAAGGACAGACTCAGGTGACTTAGCTCACGCACCTGGAACCAGCGCTTGAGAACTAACCGTGCAAATACAGCCAGAACAACAACAACAACAACAACAGAGAGCTATAAACAACAAACACAAAGCATAGTAAATGTTAAATATACATTTAATAGATTCATTCATGTTGCATGTTGTTTTAATGGTCCAAAAAGAAAGCTACAACAAATACAAAAGAACCTGCGTTAGCTGGAAAGCTAATTTTCATCAGTTGTAAGCGTTATTTAAATTAGCCAAAAATAGAAAACAAAAAGAAATTTTACAATATTACTTTTTACAAAAAATATTATAAAGGTAGGCAAAAATATCAGCATGTATGAATATTAAGGAAAGTTAGCCCCAAAACAATAAGTAAGCAAAACTTAAATAATAAAGTGTTCAAAAAGACTAGCAAAATTTGGCATAAAGGAAGCAGAAACAGTTTCCTTTTCCCAGAAACAGCAGAATAAGTCAATCTGGCTGAAAAACAGGTAAAAGCTTTGCCAAAAGTGTCAACCCAAAAAATATATGTATATAAAAAAAAATGGAGAAAATGTGGACAAAGAGATATGAATTAGCCAAAAGGAATTGGAGTAATTTTCCAACCAAAACTACGTATAAAGAAAAACTCTCCAAACAGCTACACTGACGAACAGGCTATGAAAGAAGGCAAAATAAAATGTTTCAAATTTTTCATTTTTTCCAGAGAAGTAGAGGAGGATCAGCAACTGAACGAAATGATGAGAAATCTTGGCAAGTATCGCTTTTTTTTTTTTTATCACATTTGTTAATGTTTTAAAAATAATAAAATTACAGGTTCAAGATTTCTTTTTTTACATCTTAAATGTTAATGTTATGCTTTCACAATCAGAAGCGTTTATTGGTTTAATTTCTCTTTGTATATGTTGTGATAATAACATCAAGCGATAACAATTCAAGTCAATACTCTATCTGTTTTGTTGAATAGGAGTTAAGAAAAGCAAAAGTAAGAGGAAATCCTCCATCTCCAAACTCTTCAGACGGAGAAGTAAAAGAAGAGTTGAATGAGGTTCCAGAGTTTTTATTTTATTATTGTTAAATTCAATATTCTGGGTTTTTTTTTAACATTTGTTGGGTCAATAATTGTGTTTAAGGAAAAAATATATATTTACTCCAATTAGGTTTTATTTACCCAACTCTTCTCATTAATTAAATACATTTAATTTTGTTTTTTATTTGTTTAAGGGACATCAATCAATCAATCATTACAACAAATACAAAAAAGAAAAAAAAACCAGTGTTAGCTGGAAGGCTAATTTTCATCAGTTGTCCTCTAGCCAGCTGTTAAAATGCATTATAAAATTCCACCTATCAATAAACCAAATACTTTCCTTGGTTTGGAGGAAAATATATTATTCACAGAACTTTATTATTTATGTAAAAATCTCAGCTATTGTATTTTGTCCTAGCTCACTGAACTATTTATGGATTAGCCATCAGTGATTTTTCAATTACTCTTGAGTTACTTTAAAAGACAGATATTTATTCATGTATTTTTGGAAAAACACAGATATATTTTATTATAGCAAAATTGTTATACAATATTTTTTTGTTTTACAGCAAAGTATTCAGACTTTATATTACGTACTGTATTCATATTTTATCAAACCTCTCTTCATATATTCACCTATTTAGCTATCAAGACTATTGTAGCTAATCACTAATTATCTTCAGATAAATTTTTAAAGTCTTGGTTCACTTACTGTAACTGGCTAATTATCTAAATTTTTACCAAGATAAAGTCTTGGTTCACTTACTGTAACTGTTGGTGAACTTACAGTATATTAGGTTATATTTCTTATCTTTCTATTTTAACTCATTTTATATAAAACAACAATTTTGCCCCAACCTGTTTTCACAACTTTCCTATCTTAGCCGTGTGGCTAAGTTAGCTTCCGTGGGTATCGCCTCCATTTTTGCTTCTAAGCAGTTTTCCAAATCATTTTTAACAAATATTTATTCAAGGACTCGACTTTATTGGATAAATTATTAAACCATTTATTTAAAAAATATATAAATATACATGGACTGTGAGTTGGAAAGCATTGATGTGATGACGAAACAGCCACAAGATGATGCAATCGTCACGTACTCTTTAAAATGATTTCCAATCATTTATTTAATAATAAAAGTAAACATGTTTTCTGTAAAGTACTATATATTAAACAGTGAAAAAAGTTTTAAGGAAGAAGTATTAAAAAAAAGCAAAAAAAAAAAAAAAAGCACCAGACCTGGCTGCTGCTGGTTTCGGGCTCTCTTCTGTACAGTAGGTGGCAGCCTGGCTTTGCTGTATCATGGAGTGACAACTTGAAAATCCAATTTGCCACAGTGCAGACAGTTAATTTCTTTTGCTAATTTTATAAATGCTGCAAAAAAGAGTTGAGCAGCACTGATGCAATAAAAATGTAATGTGAAAGAGGATTAGGTGGAGTAGCAGCAGCAGCAGCAGCAGCGGCGGTGGCGGCGGTAGCTTATGGCCGGGGAAGGGAATTATAAACTATAGGTTGTATTGAGCTCTTTATCTTTAAAGCTGCTGTAATTAAACATGACTCTTCTTTACTAATATCTGCATCAAAATTGCTCCACACCTGAGCGGTGCAGCTTGAAGCACAGAAAGGACACGTGGAGTCGCCTAATCGCTGTTTGTATGGGGCTGTTCTATATATATATATATATATATGTATATATATATATATATATTGCATTTTGAGAAGCAAGATTGAATGGAATATTTTTTAAACTTGAAATCTGTTGTCCAATAAATCCTTTGAAGATTAGCCTGTATGTGGATATTTTTTCCCCCCATAAAAAAAACACTTTAGTCTAATCCACATAACCTATTTTTTTATCGCTAGCTTCTCCGCAGACTGTTGATTCAACAACTTGAAGGCTGAGACTCTGAATAAACACCGGTGGCTTTGCATCAAAGCGGCGCTCAGTAATCGCAAAGCTGTATCAGTGTTAGCGCAGGTAAATAAGTTCCTGTCTAAATGATAATTGTTTTAGGGTGTTCCGGTTGAAGTCCTCAGAAAGTGTAGCCCACGACGAACTCAAATCTGGTCTAGTCCATCTTCAGCACACCTTAAAGCAGGCGTGGGCAAACTTTTTTGACTCGTGGGCCACAATGGGTCCTGAACTTTGGCAGGGTGAACTAAGATAAATGACATGTAGAAAGTCATGCATGGAGGCTAAAATGCTAAAATGTTTTTAGCATTTTCTATGTTTTCTGTTGGGGAAATGTGAGCATTGTGGGGAAAAGACAGAAGCAGAATGATAATATAAATTAATAATATAATTTGGACAAGTGTGGCGGGCCAGAAGGAAGGAAGGGATGATGGAAGAACACGGGAGGGAGGAAATAAGGAGGGAAGGAAAGATTGACAGAAGGAAGGAAAGAAAAAAGGAAGGAAGGACAGTAGGAAGGAAGGACAGAAGAAACATGGGAGGGAGTAAATAAGGAAGGAAAGATGGAAGGAAGGACGGAAGAAACATGGGAGGGAGGAAATAAGGAAGGAAGGAACAAGGGAGGGAGGAAATCAGGAAGGAAGGAAAGATGGACAGAAGGAAGGATGGATTGAATTCCAATTCACTCCCTCTATCAAGTTTCCGATCGAACATCGGAGCAACTATTAGCACTTCCGATCTGATGCCTTAGCCTAAATGCTCAACTTAACTTTGCGCGACTTTTGCGCCGCAAACAGGAACACTCACATCACCCTTAGCAATGGCAGCCTTTGGCACGCAGGGTTCGTGAAAAAAGAAGGTATCCAATTGATATCGGTAGAAGCAGATACTCCAAGTTGCAGTATCGTGAAAAGGTTGTATCGCGCTATCCCTATTAGAAACTACACAGTATTTGAGTCATTTTCCAATGTTTTAAAATAAAAACCTGATTAACGTTGCTGTTAGAAACCAAAGCTGCTGAAACGGTTTTCATGACGTTCTTTTTTCTAAAACCAAACATTGTTCACTCTGACACGCATGAAATTGCAATCGTGAACTCGGGAAAAACACGTCGGGGATGATATTTGGTACAAAAATGTCACGTGTGATTTCAGCTGACAGTCGAGACCCAATGTGCGATATTAGAGTTAATTAAAGCTTTGCGCCCCATCTACTGCGAATGCTTGCACTCGTGCAATTAGGAATCAAAGGCGAAGGGCTTAGTGTCAGGAGGGGGGGTGCGGGGGGGGAGTCGGCTTGGTCTAATACGTGGCTTTAACAGGGAACGGGCCCTGATTTGCCCAGCTTCTAGCGACAAGCATTAACAACAGCCTCAAATTAGAGGGACATTAATATTCATAAGTAAAACAATTCATCCTGTGAATGTGTGATGAAATGGAATCCTCTGAGGTGAGTCCTCTCCTGTCCAGGCTGCCATTGTTCATTAAAATATGCCATTACCCGTGAAGTGCTTCATCTTTATGAAGGGGTGGTAAAAAAAAAAAAAAAATCAGTCGGAATCACTCTGACAGAAAAGGTGCAGTTGGCGATATTGTTCCGGAAGCTCACATTATGATAATCCTGCACGTTTTATTTTAATTTTTTTTGATGATTTCTAACACCATGTTTTGCTTTGTCTGTGTCTCATTAGTAGCCAAGAATAGAAGAGGGAAAAAAAAGGACAATGTGTTTGGTTTTTTTTTTTTTTTTTTTTTTTTCTATTAATGAGAGCTTTGTAGTGTTTTAGGCTGTAGCTGTCGTAGGCTGACGCTTATAAGGCAATCGGAATTTTGTGTGTGCGTGTGCGTGTGTGTGTGGTTTTATTCTAGTCCCTGCCAGGGACTGTGCCACCAGCCTGTAATTATGATCCTGGAGGTAATTTTATCAGCCTCATTAGCTCTGATGAGTAAACGAGAAGCGTGTCTCTAATTTATTGGCCATTCAGCCTGGAGACTTAATTCTCATCAGAGAGATCATAATATTTGTATAGAGAGCGATCTACACGGCACATATAGTTTAGGCACGAGGCTCCGGGCCCAGATGTGTCTGAGATGTTGTCCAGGAGACAAATGAGGAACATGTAAATATACGTATATATATAAATATATTTTTAAAAATTGCTTTTTTTTCCCAACAAATGGTTTGATTGTATTCGGCCTAACTTTGAAATTTTTTCCATTTTTTTTCTCTCTATAAGTCTCTATACTCTATATGTTTTGTTTTTTTTTTGTTGTTGTTTTTTTTTCAAATTTTAACAACTTATTTTTTTATTTAATTCTGGCCCCAGTTTTAAGACTATTGGCTTTTTTTTTTTTTTTTTTGGCTACAGTAACTTAAAGTACTCCCTAGTTAAACTGTTGGACTTTTAGTCGTATTTCCAAAAATTTTTTTTTACCTGTTTTGTCAGTTTGACAGTTCCTTTTGCAAGTATCTCTCCTGCTATTTTAATGCTATTTTTATTAGCATAGCATAGCATTATTAGGAATATTTTTCAAAAATCCGATACTGTAACATACTGATACTGTATAAAAAATACCAATACGGAGAGGTTTCTTTTTCAATGACAAAATATTATATGAAGCTCAAATGTTAATCCAAATCTCAGTTGATTTGCGTGAAATAATATAAATGATCCCATGTTCGTGGTAATGGTCTGTTTTCTGCGTTGAAGAATGTGTGGATGACAGAGCGTAAATAGCTCGTGATTTCTTTTCGGTTTGTAGAAATTTGCATTAAGGGGAAAATCGTGTGTGCTGGTGTAGACTTGACAAGTGCAGCTTTCATCCATCTCAAATGAATAATTTTCACTTCCCCTTAAACATCCTTAATCCCAGCATGTTATCAGTGGGCCTGCAGGATTCTGACAGACTTTCTCCTCAGAACGGAGCGGCAGCCTTGCACATGCTTGGGAATTTGCGCCACACTTTCCTCCTACAAGTGACTCGCTCTTATCCTCCCCTGCTGGTTTTGTGGATCAGTAAAATTCCTCCCCAAACACAATATATACAGGAGGCAGGTCTTAATAGATGACAGAATGTCTCACTCTTCCCTCCTCTGTGCTGACTCTGAGGTCGTCTTACTGCACTGTATTTTACCTCTGGTTTACACCAGCATTTCTTTTACCCTTTGGTGTCTCCAGGAAAGAAGCGACTTTTTTTTGTTCAGCGGCTCTTTGTCCTCTATTTTTAAATTTCACTGACAGACATGGTGTGAGGGGAAATACAAAAGGATACATAACTTATTGACAGTCCAGTATTTAGCACTTTGAAAAATGGGTTTTTTTTATTTACCAATAAAAAAAGGACTGAAACACGGGACAAAAATGTTCAAATTACCCCAAAGGCTGCTGGTAAAACTACAACTGCTGTTGGTATAAACACATAAATTGCTTTAAGTGAGCACAAAAAAAGACAAAAAGCATTCTGTTAGCTTAAGAATAACACAAGCCCTGAAAGTAATGTCTTAATCAAAAACGTGGAACATGGAATTTGGACCAGAAAGGGACCTTTCAAACAAATAGCTAAATCTATGCTAACCAAATAAAAGGGAAATGTTAGACTAAAACTGTAAGAGACACTAAATGTTAATTACACAACACAAAACCAAGAAAACAACAAGCAAAAATTATATAAAAAAAAGAAACCAAAATAAAAACATTTAACATTTCCTGAAAGATGTTTCTGTTGGTAATAGCCACAGTATCATTTAGCATCATGTCTGCAATGCCTATGTAATAAATAGCTGGAAAAAATACCCCAAACC